CCCCCCCTAAATAATGTCAGAAAGCTGCTTGCTGGACTACCCCCTTTGCTTGAATGTTTTTTTCAATACTTTTGAATAAGGGATTTTGTAAAGAAAGTGTGCACTGACTTTTGGAAACTTTTGGAAAGTTTAAAGACTAAAGAGCTTAGGTAAGTAAAGCAAACCAAAAGGAAAAGAAAGGGAATGAATACACGTTTACTTCAAGCAAAATGGTTTTTAAGCCTGAAATCTCTAGACATTATTCTAGGGGCCCCCCTAAATAATGTCAGAAAGCTGCTTGCTGGACTACCCCCTTTGCTTGAATGAATTTCTTGTTTTTTTCAATGCTTTTGAATAAGGGATTTTGTAAAGAAAGTGTGCACTGACTGTTGGACACTGTTGGAAAGCTTAAAGACTAAAGAGCTTAGGTAAGTAAAGCAAACCAAAAGGAAAAGAAAGGGACATCTTCAAATGTTTAATAGAAATCTCCATCCAAAAGCCTCCAAAAGCATCAAATCTCAATGGACATCTCCAATTGTTAATTAGAAATCTCCATCCAAAAGCCTCCAAAAGCATCAAATCTCAATGGACATCTCCAAATGTTTAATAGAAATCTCCATCCAAAGGCCTGTAAGATAAGCAAATCTCAGCAAACTCAAAAGGGAAAAAAGTAAACTAGAACAATAAAAAATATTCCACTACAACTACCCCTCCACAAAAAAAATACATTATTCTGGGGGCCTTTATAAATCTGTGCAGGGAAAAAAAGTCATTATTCTAGGGGGGCTTATAAATCCAGGGACCACATTAATGTGCGCTCACAGGTTGCCAGTGCTTGCCAGTGAAGTGAGCGAAGTGATCAGTCAAGTGTCTGGTGAAATGCGCATGCTGGATACATCGCCGCAGCCATGCATGACTGTATTGGTATGTCAATTATAGCTCCGTGTGCATTGCAACGTCTGCCACCAATCTACTATACGCAATAGCTCAAACCCAATGAGTTCGCAACGATGAATTCATGCGAACTGAGAATTCGATCGCAACGATGAAGCGAACACCGGCCGATCGCTGGCACCGCGTTGCCGACGGTGGGAGCGGTGCGTAGAACGCAGTGATGGATGACCGAGTGTACTCGTGCGTGAGTGAGGACTGATCGGTGTATGTCATTGATCGCCGCAATGTGGCATTGCGAACTGGTGTGAGTCTGTGACTGTTCTCCCTCCCTAGCCTGGCCCATAACCTACTGGTCCGTGCTAAACCGCACTTTTCAACAATATATCGGGAACCCTTTGATAGAACGGCAGCTACCTTTCGCATCAAAAAACACAAATTCAACAGCTAGTCACCTAGTCCGAAGAGACTTCTGTTTCTTCAGCCAATCGTCCTGCTGCTGGTGCAGGATGTGTTTTTTTGGCCAGCATGATGCCACAACTTCCAGCCTTGATGTCTTCAACTTCACCCCTCCAGTTGTCTTTCAAGCAGTTGCCCACGTCCTGGCTGGCATCTTCTGCAAGCACCTTACCTGTGACCCGTAAGTATGATGCTTGCTGGATGTGCGAAATTTGCAGGTGGTGAGCAGCAGGTGCGAGGGTTGCTCAATGATGACAGAGCCTTGGGCGCTGAGCATCTCTGAGGGTGAGAATTTAGGGCCCGGGGATAAGGTGGCGGTACAGGTCGTGCAGGCTGCTGGAATCCAGTGCTTATGGAGCCAGGTGCGTATGTTTTCTGTACCTTTTTGATTGGTTTTTGGGTTCTGTAGGCAGTTTAATAGTTTCCTCTCATTGCATGATTGATTCGTTTGATTTGAATCCTTGCGGTAGGATCACATGTGCAGTCGATGTTCCAGCATTTTGCCAATTAAGATAGTGTGATTTGGCTACGACTATACCTTCGAGCACAGGAAGCTAAAATCCTGCACATTTGTCACGGGCTTGATGTTGTGTTCCTATGTTTTCCTCCAGTATGGTAGGGACATGTCGGGACCCTTTGCTTTTCAGTGTGGAAGGCAGGATAATTAAGGATGTTTCTTTCAAAGCTGTGCAGCTGCTGACCAGTCAACCCAAGGGCGCTTAACGTGCAATGCCACGGTGGATGCGCAGGCTTAGACAGGTCCTACACGTACTGCACACATCCCAGTACGCAAAACCCATGCTACAATCATTTTATTTTGCATTAGCAGCCCAACCTCACAGATCAGATTCTAGCAATCAGCAGCTCAATTAGTAGCATGGGGAAGCAAAAAGCACACTCTTGCATCAAACCGAAAACACGAAGCACACAAGATCAACCACCTTTCCGCTGAAACTTCGACCAATGGTCCTTCGGGACCTGGACGGCTTCGTCTTCATTGACCTCCTTAATTTTGACAGTGGTGTTGTCCACGCACCAGTCCAGGTCGTATGTCTTGTCCTCGTCGCCTGGCTGTTCGTCGCCTGAAACATCATCGTCAAAATCCATCCTGATGACAGCATATCTATAACCCCCCGTCGGAGTTTGATCAGGTGGCAGAGTTGGATGAGGTTGCTCCGGCAGCTCTTCATGCTCATTTGGAATTGGGTCGAAACCGGGATCCGTTGGTTGACCTAGTTCCCGCTCGTCTTGTTCAGGATCAGATGACGTCTGCGATTCTTCTCCATCAGATGATGTCTGCGATTCTTCTCCATCATCAATCTGGCCAAAACGGTTTCCCAACTGGTTTCCCATTGGTGCGGCTCCTAGCTTCTGGCCAGCATGAGCTCAAAAACTGCGGTTGCATCCTGTGCCTCAACCATGCCTACAATGCCTACTACTAGACTACTCTTTTTATGCTCCTTTGCAGAACGGAAGGCGTGTCTTCCATCGACTGACTCACAACTGCCAACCACATCCGCACTCCTCAATGACATTGGATGGTTCTTCACTTTTGAGTCTTTAAGGAGCGAGCAAGAAAGAACATGCGCTCCGCTTCCATATTTACAGTAAATCTTAAACTGCCTACTGACCTGCTACTTTTCTGGTATAGAGCTTGGCTGTCACAGCATCCGTCAGGGGATACCCTGGGCCAATGCCGACAAGTTGCATTGTTATGTCAAGGATGTAAAGCTTCAAGGGGATGTTGACGAAGCAGGCAGGCTCAACATGGCTCAACACATGGCAGGATTTGACACAACATTTGATCCAACCAACGTCCACAAAATTGGAGGTCGAGTCCTTGCACTCCACACACCAACAAAACAAGAAGTATGGGGCATGGGGTCCGTTTAAGGAAACAGGTTAGAAGGCAATTTGAACATATGAAGCCGGCAAGCAATTGCTGACCTTCCGGCACCAACAACTCGAAGCTGGGCAACTCACTTCGGACAGTCCCAGGCCTCTCACTCCACAACCGAGCCAGGGAGCTGTGAGCAAGACCGTGCCGCTTGGCTTCCAACGAAGGTCAGAAGAGGCCGCAAAGGAAATGCCCCAAGAAACAACGATGAACAAACAACCCTTCCATCCTCCTGCTTGTTGAGACTGGAGTGGCTTAGAATGGTTTAGAGCTACATCTTCCATAAGCTTACTGCACAACGTTGTGCCAGGTCTCTTCAATGAACCCGTTTCAGTCCCCAAGCCGTGTTGGGGTTTGTGTAGGGGACTCTCGAGAAAAAAGAAAAGGTATTGTTCTATTGTGATGACTTTTCGGCATGTCTTGACTGTTTGACAAGTTATCCCTCCAAGCTTCGCCGGTTCCTCCGGAAGCAGCGTCGACACTTCCACCTTCGGCTTCGGAAAAAGAAGCATCGCCACTGACAATACTTCCTTGCGGTGGAACACGCTGGGCAAACACATTTTGATCAGCGAAGGGCTGGGTTTCAAATCTTAAGGTCGTTGATAGTTTTTTTTGCAATTGGCACAATGCTTTACAGGGGAGTTTTTCCACACTTGCAGAAGCAAGAGCTGGCAGTTCTGGAGTGAGATGAATCGCAACAATCAAACAATAGATGTTAGAGGTTTACCAGGTCTACCCTTGGGCACAGGGTGAAGCAGCATTTCGAAAGGGCAACTGCCACCAACACTTGCGAAATCTGCTTGTCAACATGAGCGAACTGTTGGTTTTGTGCAGGGTGTCACATTGATGCGCCCAAACCGGGGATGGCTGGTACGAGCGTGGCGCGTGATCCGCAAGCGGCAGCTGGGATGGGATGGTGGTATCCCCCCCAAAAAATGTACCGTCTCAAACACCTTCTTCCCTGGGTCATCCTGTCTGGGTGTCCAATAGACTGCCCTACACTACCCTTCACTGCTTACGGACCTCCATTGGACACCCATTGGATGATCCTGGTTAGAAGGTCTATGCATCTCTACGCCCTAGCCAATGAAAACGACTGGCGACTGGATTTGTGTTGATTTTGGCAGGTGTCACTCAGGTTAGGGATTTTTGCAAATGACGCTGTTCTTTAGGGACCCACCTACCTTCTCAGGTGATTGGGCACGCTGTCAATGTAGGTTTGGAGGGTCCGAGTACCTTCTGAGAAGGCACTTGAATATCTACTTCTCTTCAGACATATGGTTTGCAACACCACACCATGGGCACTTTCGAGGCTGCAGCGGCGGTCTTTTCATGCGGGCGAAGTCCCTAACCACTTGCTGGGTAGGTTGCTCAAGCCACCAACATCGAGGCTGCCCCAAAAAGAAACACAGTTGCCCTAAAAACATCCTGACACTTCAGAAACCTGAACCTATGGAGGAATACCCTCCATAGCGACAGGAAAGCACTCCACAAAGAAAGTCCTTCTGAGCCCAATTCACCCAAAAGTGCAACAAAACATGGACAAAAGTAAAGGTCCTCCAAGGAGACCTGTGCATGTCCATCATGTCCGATCGCGCTTCTGGAACGTTTTGGCAGACGAGGGGGCCACCAATCTTAGCCAAGCATCCAGAGACTCCACTCGCATCTGAATCTCTGAGGGAGTGCAGTTCTGGGAAGATGCTGGCCCTGGCGAGGCTGCAACCACTCGGGGCCCTCATGTCATCAAAGACATAACACCAGCAACACTGGCAGCCTTTGATGCTGAACTGATCTCCAAAGGTCTTTTACTGAGCTGAGTGTTCTTCTGTTTGGACAAGCCGACTGTCTGGACTCCAGGAACATGGTCCTGTCCGGATGTCCCGTTGCAGGGGATTCGCTGCGTCTTCCTCTTCGCAAGATCTGATGAGTTGACCCCTCAACACACACCTAGCTCAACTTCATAAAGCAAAAACATCAAGCAAACCTTCTGGAATCTCCCCTTGAGCATGCTCTCATGTCTTCTCATCATCTTTCACCCTGGCTCTTCCATCCACGCCTTTGAAGAGTTCATATCCGGTGTAGCCCAGCTCACCCGGCGACACGAAGTGGTACATCACCGGAGGCGGCTTGGGCAGAAGCGTCGCACCGGGATCATTCGGCGTTGGATCCTCTAAGACCTCGGAAAAGAAGGTCATATATCTTGTGGTTGGGTGATGGTCCTTTTGGAGCGTTATATAAAAATATGTTTTTTTTGCGGCTTGAAGGCGTGGTTGAAGCTCCTATGTATGTGTGGGTAGTCTGTTGAATGTTGGAGAACCATGTTGGTTTAACTTTTGGGCGGGACAACAGCGGATGAGCTAGTGATAGCTATTCGGCCCAATGGCAGTACAAAAGAGATTCAGTAAACGCATGGAATGATAGGTGTTGCTCCCTTCCCTTGAGGGGACGGAAAACAAAACAGCCCGTTGGGAATGGTTTTGGATCTGGTCAGCCACACCCTGAGATGGCAGTTCAACTCTTAAACGCACTCTTGGGGAGATATGTATGTTGACAACGCCAAACAACTTTCAGAAGGCCTCTGGATGTTTCATGGACCCTACTAACCTGTTCCTCCATTTTGTGGACTTGTCCACGGCGATGGGCTATGGTGGTGCGGCTGTGATTTGACACGCAAAAACTTCCCGCCAAGATGCAGGCAAATAGATCCTTGGTGCGTGGGAACAGCTCGGATATAGTTCATTTGAGGGATTAACCGACCCAATGACCCATATATACTTACAAACTGGCCGGAAGTTAACCTACCCAACCAGCACTCCGTCTACGCCCACTGACCAAACATCACCAAAGCCCATGCGCTTCTGCAAGCTGCTTGTATCATGAACGACACGCCTTCCCAGGCATCCATAGGCTCCCATACCCCAAAGCTTTGGCCCTTGGGGTATGTGATTTAGAGGATTGATCCACTGAAAGAATGCATCCGGCACATGGGAGTCGATCAAACACACACCAACAATCAGTTTAATTTGGGTCTGTCCTATTACCTGTAACAGCGGATGATGCTGTTTACTAGCTTGTCCAAAAGTAGTGATATTTTTACTGACTGTTACAGTTATATAATAGGGCAGACCCTAAGTTTAAACACCTTTCAAGTCTGTTTTGTGAGATGATAAAGTTGGCAGAATATGAAAGTATTTCATGCATAGTGGGATCTCCACTTCCAGTTCAACAAAGCTCCCACAATGGTCGTAAAAGGACATATGCAAAATGTAAAACAATGACATTGTATCAAATTATGTTCTTTCGTTTTACTTAGCCCATTTTCTCAGCCCATCTCCCAAGTCTCAACAGCACCAAGTCTCTCTTCTCCCGCCACCAGTCGCACCTGGTGACAGGGTCCAGTGCCATGCACGTGCGCGGCAATCTGCGAACGGATGAAAATCATCGGAGGCAAGCCGTGGGGTCCAATGACCACCTGAGACGCGCATGCCTGCGCAAGGCTGTGGACCTACAAAGCAGGAAAGGAAGTTCTGCACCGGAAAAAATCTACTGTGAAAAGTTGATGTGCCCTAAACATGATATGTATGATATTTCTTATCTTTCCCTAATAGTGTTGCCCTTACTACCCTAAAATGGTCTACCACGATATTTATGATATGGCTCCCCTACCCAAATGGTTTTATGTGTTTTTTTTCCGGCGAATTCTCCGGTAGACTCTGCAGACAACTCGACAAATCCTACGATTTGCCTTTGACATGTCACCGATTTTCGTCGTGGATGTGAGATGAACTGTACATTCCCATCAGTCACCTCTGCCAAGGCTCTGGAACTTCAAAAGGCCCACTAGCATAGGTCCGCGCCCAAACCTGCGACGACCGTGGCAAATTGCCGGCGATTGCTGAAGCCAGGAGCCACTGCGTCCGTTCGAACGAAGCAGGTCAGAACAAAGCAGTTCGGGGTTCTTCACGACGATTCGATCCCAGCGACTATGACATACTATGGCTACCAAGGCTTACTGTATAGACCCACAAATAGATAAACAAGTAAAATCATGTAAAATCCCTTTCAACATGAGTCTTGGATACCGTTTCTATCTATTAAGATATTATTGAGATACTATTAAGACAAATTAATATATATATATATATAAGATACTATATAGATATGACTCGATATAACTAGTATAGGGGGGCTCGCAGTTCCCCCGGGGTCGGCTCCTTTTTTGCTGCAGGGGGGGGCACACCAGGTCGGATCAGGTGCGAAACTCCGTGTCCAAACTCCTCCAATCGGCTTCCCAAAAACAAATTGGTTTGAATTCGTTGAATTGGTTTGATATACTAGTATGATTCACACTGACAAGCAGTGCAAATCATTGGCAACATCTGTTTGGATGTCCTGAACGCAACGAATGCCTTGATAAATCACTCACTTGATAACTCCACTTGCGACATTCGGCACAAACCTACACACTTAACGAATGCCGCATGCCTCTTTAAAGATTGTGTTGAACAAGGTGTAGGAACATTCGGCAAATCGTTGAAGCTGGCATTGACACCTTGACACCGTCAACATGACCGTCCGACCACCTAACCCATATTGACAAATTTCACCACTATAGACTATAGTCACTATAAGGTCCTAGTGCTGCGGTAAGTGAGCGCACGTACCAAGAACTTGAAACAACAATCCCTCAAAATGAATCAAGCACGTGAACACCAATTGAAGCGGAGGATCAATGCAATGCCCTCACCTTATCTTTTTTGGTGCCCAAGGCCTCCACCTCTAGGCTCAAACCACGCTCACCCCCGGTGCGTGCGGCCACCTCCTCGCTGACCGGTGCCGGTGCGCCCTGGAGCTTCGGAAAGCTCTTGGCCACCGCGCGCTCGGGCGTCGGCCGAAACTCCGCCCGGCGCAGCTCGGCAGCAGTGTTGGGATCCAAGTCCTCCAGGTGGTGGATGGGATGGGATGGGATGGGATGGGATGGGCGGTGAGGTGGTGGGATTCTTGGGGTTCATGGGGCGACTCAAACAATCATACGACTGAATGGACTGACTGAGGAGGTGAGATGTAGAAGCGATGGCGGACACCTGAAGTGACGTACATAATGAGTGGACAGGGTGAGGTAGGCCGGATTGGTACTCTACTCAGCTCTTTTTCTGCCTCTGGTCCTCCCGCTTGTCGTCTGGTTTCTATGCTTTCATTTGGATGCCTTTCACCCGCGCTGTGATGAAGTTTCTTGACCAACCCTGGCAGTCTTCGGGATTTTGTCACGGGTGCATATGATGCGAAATCCAACAGTTGTGGCCCCAGGAATGGTGCGGGCTCGAATCCATGTGGCATCTCGCTTTCTCTTCACCCTTCGTCCAAGGAATGAGCTCTGCCATCTCATGTCCATCTTCTAACTGAAGAATCCCGCGCAAACGCCATGTGACCGTGAGCATCACAAAACCTATTGTAGCTTGACTTGAGGCATCCTACTGCAGAAGTCCCATCTAACAGGATCTTGGTCTTACAATTGGCTGTTAAACCAAACATGTGAAAATCAAATTTGTGTTGAGATAGGTCAAAAACTTGAATGACGATTTGCCGGCAGAGCTGCGCGATTCGTCGAGTTATCATGAATCACCACATGACCAGGCGGAGCCTGGGTTGGTTCTGTATTGTGTGGACTCTTGTGAGGAAATCTCAGTTCAACCCCATCATCCGCCCCAATCATTCAGTCCTCACCCTCCTGCTTGCTGAAGACCATGCAAACCTCGAAGATCCCATTCCAAAACAGCCCACTGGTGGATCTTGAACGTGGATCAGTTCACCATAGTGAACGCCCAATTGATCCCAAAGAATCCTCCAGGTCAGGAAAGTGTTCCTAATAATGCATTTCCTTGGTTTCCTTGGAGATGATTCAGTCTTTGACCCCCCATGGCGCCAGATTTGGAATCCAGTGCGCAGTTTTGCTCGCCTGACGGTTAATTTCTCACGTGGCATCACCTTTGCAAGTGTGGAGCTTTGACACTTTCGTCCACAAATCCACAATTTGAACCAGGAGACCTCCACCGGTTCCCAGGCATAAAGCTTCACCGATTTCTCCACCGGCTGCCCGGCAGGCGCCAAAGGCAGCTGCAGGTAGCTCCAGCGACGGATGTGCGCGAAGTCAGCCAGATCGAGGAAAGTGATCTTGGAACTATCAGCGTAGACCTGGGCTGGTCCACGAGCTAAGCGTGGCGGCTTTAAGCAGCATATGACTCTAATAGTAGCAACAAGCTTGTTTTGGACCAATTGGTGCATGCACAAAATGCTGCATCCACAATAGAGTCGGTTTGTTTCTGGTCACTGTCTCCTTCTACCATACCGACGTGAAACCGCAGGTACCCCACCCGGGGCAAACGCACATGCAACACAGTAGTCTCTTACATGGATGGCTAGCGCCATTTCTGCACCAGCTCATTTGCCGGTCATTTACGGTCTTTGGGTGCGTCCAGGCGCTACCTTTCTTCCAAAGCCTAGGGTGCTCCCCAGGGTCCCTGTTTTCCCGACGTGTTTGCAAAAGTGTTCAAGGACTCCAATCGGGGACTTCAGGACTGTGATTGGAAGATGAGCCTTTGGCACTTCCTAGAGCTGCCTGAAAAGTGAGTCTCTTTTTTGCACTTCTTAGGATGTTGGTCTAGCCATGTCTAGCCTGAAGGTGAGAACCAACAAGCATGGACATTTGTAGACAAATGTGGCAAGGAGAGCACCAATGAGCAACGAACATGGCAGTTGCCCAAAGTATGATGGTGGTTGGAACTGACGGCGGGCCAAGAGGCAGGGTCATTCTTGATGAAATGGCCCAGCAAACGCGCGCCTGAACCCAAGCTTTTTGAGACGATATAGTAACTTCATCAGGAAATGCATGGAAATGCCATAGAACAGGCAGCACCAAGCTTGTGCCCAGCAGCTAGTACAGGTGACACACTCCAGAAACGCTTGGTCATTCAGTTTCATTTGGCAATCGCTCGCTCGCTCTTCAACAATCATGACAGTGAAACATAATGAAACATATGCTCCTGAAAGGCTTGTGCGTTCCCATATGCCAAGGGTCAATGCTGGGCTTTCATGCCGTGATGGTCTGAGGGTGGTTTCTGTAGAAGTTCCTGGTTCATCCAGTTTCCCCATTGAAAAGCGTGCCTGCGACACAAGGAGTGGTCTACCCCCCCCCCATATTTAAGGAAGCCTCCTACTCCTCATTCCAAGATCCATCGGTCAATAGTCATGTGAGGATTCGGCTGAATGCAGCTCCAGGAGCGAGCTTAACCCGTACCATCTGTTGATCCCAGAATGCCATCCAGTAAACCCTAGGGCTCCAAGCACCTCCTCAGGTTCGGTATGACTGGACCCTCCTGGCACCCACCCCAGTCCCACCTTCGAAACGAAGGTACGACTGGAGCCCTAGGGAAAGTTCGGGCCCCACGAGTCCCACGAGCCTCCCGGAGTGGGCCCAGTGCCAGTCGATTCCGTGAGCCAAACTAAGCCAGTTGCAAACCTCAAGGCATCCTCAGCACGGTCGACGTCTGCGCATGCGTGAGGGTGAGGATCTCGATCTCATACATGCAGTAAGCAGTTCCATGCAAGTGCAAGTGCCAAACCAGCTGAATCTTTCCGGGCCACAAAACACCAAAAGCAATGTAGGAACACCCTCATCTAATCAGAGAATCTAGTTATGGAATAATATGGAATAATGTTATGGAATCAATCAACAATTCACTATAATTCACTATTCTAACCGTTTTAGAGACACCTGCAGTAAGGAAGGTGAGTGGGAACAGCTTCGTCACTTTACACCTACTATGCAGTTCACCATCCCACTTGTGGGTTCTTGATCTTTCAGGAATCCAGTCGTCTCACTGTGTGCATCCAAGTCTCACAGGCATCCGACAGCTTTTGTGGCGCCTGTGTGCAAAGCCAAGGTCCCCTTGCCCGGCTGCCACTGTCACATCGGACGTACGGATCCGCCGGCCAAAGGCCTCGGACGGAGACACGTCGGAGGACGGAGACCGATCGAAGACCTCGAGAAATGAAGGAACTCTTGGGACTCACAGACAGTCTTTTTGTTGCTGCACTGAAAGAAGAGAGCTGCACTCCTCAGAAGTGAAGAGCTGCACTGAAATACAGGTGAGCTCTCTAGAGTGGAAAGTTCAAGGTCCATTAAGTCGACTCTAGAGTCTCTAGAGTCGAAGGTGGATTTGAGATGTTTTTAGACATCATAATCATGCTTATTCAATCTGATTCATCTTATTCGACCTTCTTCGGCATGAAGCCATTCTTGGAGACTTCTAAGACTAATCCTTTCCTCTCAAGAAGAGGTGAGTCGTAGACTCTGAAGCTATGCCAACCAAAAATGGACTTGGTCGCCGCCCCGGCACGACCGGCCCGTGGTCGCCGCCCCGCCCGTGGTCGCGGCCTGGCACCTGAGTCTTATGGGCTTCAGCTGGGAAGTGCCACTGACCTGGTTCCACTTGATCAGGCGACTTCACCTGAGACGGCGCACGTGCGACTCGTGGCGACGTGCGACTCACTCCGTGCGACGTGCTACGACACACGTGGAAGGATCTCAGGATCGACGACACGGCAAAAACGATCCAAAAACTGCATGATTTGGATCACCCAAACAATGCCCCGCCAGTACTGGAGGGTGAAAAGCACTTAAGGGCCGCGTCATTCTTATCCCTAGCCTGTTTCTGGCCGCCACCAGTGGCGATGATTGAGAGACTGAGACACTGGCACAACAAAGTTAAATGTATCAAATTATATTTGGCCAAAGCCAATGAATGCATTTGGTTGTAAGCTTGGCAACAGGTCAACTAGCTCGATCAAGCTTCCCCTTATAAGCGAAACATGGTTGCAACTAGCTGCAACGGCTCATTAGCAAAAAAACACGTGAATCATCATGTTGTTTGGCAATTCACAATTTTGCTGGAAGATGGGTCCAGCTCCCAAACACTATCTCCAGACTTGGTTTCAATGAGACACAATGGTGGAACTAATGGTGGACCATTCAACTATTCGGATAAGAGCAAGCCCGCAGGGCAACCATGGCAACCATTGTATCCCCTTCTGCCACAGCTCGTTGGGATGGAACCTGGAACAAACTAGTGGCGGAGCCATTCAGGGATTGTTCCCTCCCTCTATGTGTTCTACATGGTGGGAGCTCGGGAAATGACCAACAGCACCCAGAAGACACAGAGTGGAAACATGGATGAGCCTGACCCTTGCAACCCGTTTCCACTTTGATCCATGGGCTGTCCAAGCCAAGTGACCTTCGCCTCCGTCCAACCCAAAATGCTGGGGTCGCAGTAGTCCTTGGTGAGCTGCACTATACCATGGATTCTCCTCTTCAGTTGTTTTCATCAGGGTCCCTCACTTGGTCTGCTCAAACATGAGGTGCATGGTCTTGCGTTCACAGTGCCAGCGCTAACCACGAAGCACTACGAGGCCGACCCAAACACTCCATGGTATGGGATACCTGCCTACATTGACCTCTTTTCAACCAACCCCCAGTCCCATGGACGGTGGCCAGTCTACCGCTTTGGGGGCCTATGAGGTCGAATGGCATGGTCCAGGAAGGCCTACTTGGTGGTCATACTGCTGCTGACCACTTGGTAACTCCACCAATACTTGATCCATTAGTTTTGATCATGGGCAAGACTGGGACACCGGTGGGGCAAGATTTCATGAATCAAGTCAATCACACCACATCTGCTGGAGGCCAACGGCCAAAGGTTCCATTTGGCAAAGGTAATATAGAATAGAGCTTGAAAAGAAAGAGCATCAACAAAAACGCTGTTCAAACAAAGCATGATCCTGACAATTTTTGTGTTTACAAATTGTTTGCAATGCACTGTATTTGCATGTATGTTCTACATATTGACCATCCAAAGGCAGGCCAAAATGAAAGCCAGCGTCGTACTTCTTGAGTGAAGCGCTGTACTTCGTCGTAAAGGTCCAGCAGGGAAGCATGCTATCTGATCCCACCACGCCCTTCTGGCCTTGGCGCTGCCGCCCGGAAGGGTGGCAAATGGTGGCAGTGCCACCCAAGCAACTGGCATGTCTTGACATGTCTGGACCCTACTGCACATAGCTGAAAAAAAAAAACCGTCAAAACCTTCAAACAATGCTCATCATGCTTGTCCAAGGGGCAGTAAATCAAATACACGTCCTTGGCTTTGGAGCCCAAGCTTTGCATGGCAGCTGCTGGCTTACACCAGACCGGCCGGTCATCCACCTGTTGCCGGAAGGATCGGAAAATATGTCAAAACACTCCATGTATGGCATACCTAGAACCCAAACATGACCTCTGTTTTGATAGGACAAGACCTTTGTGGTCCAAAATAGAGGTCATTCAGGTTCTAGGTAGATGCATTGGGGTGGTTTCAAGTGGTCAATGATTAATGTAAATATTCTATACATGGAGCGTCTGGGTATCGAAATCCAACAAACCGAGGGAGGAAGGGTATTGGCTTGATCAGGTGGCTGGTCTGACGCGGGCACCGTTGGTGATGGTCCCGCCTTTCTTGAAACAACAGCCGGCCTGCGCCCCATCCACCAAGAAGTACTCTCCCACCATGTACTCCCGGCAGAACTGTCGTGCGATCACCCGCACAGAGGGTGGAGCAGTGGTTTGTCCCAGCAGGAAGAGGGCGTCTTTCAGGTTGCCGAAGAAGCCCGAGGCCGCCTGCAGGTGTTGAACATGCGGCGTGCTAGTTGGCAAAAGAAAATCCATGGAATCGACGTTCAACGCCCCTGCATCGGTATTGTTTCCAATTTCCACATGCAGCCTTGTCCCCATGGTCAGGCGTGGGGACCTCTAAATATACAACAAAGGATGATGGCAATAAACAACTGGTAAAAATCAAATCGTCCTTTCAGTCCAGCTGGTGCTCACCTTCGGTTTTGGTTTTAAGGAGAGCAATTCTGGCAAAACATGGGCAATTCAAGGTGATTCGATGTCGGCTCTGAGCTGAGAATCTCAGGAAATACACTTCAATGCTTCACCATCCAACCCACATCATATATATATAGTAATGAATATACAGTATACACGGTATACATACAGTATAACACATAATGTGAGATACCATTTCAACATCTTAATCACTTAATCCATCTTAATCCTTCCCTGGTCATCGACTCGCGCCAAATATAAAAAACAAACCACATGGGTTGGATTGTGAAGTCTCACCTGCAAGGAGACCCACTCGCGAACCCGGAAAAAAAGAACACACGACCTCACCTGCAAGGAGTCTCTCAGCGCCGAGGCCGCTTCCAATTCCAGCAGCTCGGGGCGCCACACGATGGCGTAGGCTGCCTGCTCGGCGCCGCCGCAGATGGAGACCAAGGTCGGCATGATCTTGCGGATCTGCGGTTCCTCAGCGGCAAGGTATATAGAGTCAACCAAGGATGGCCACCTCGGCTTGCCACCTTGTCACCTTGCCAAAGAGCAAGGTGTTGCTTTAAAACAATCATGGCAAGGTGGCAAGGTTTTTCAAGCGAGGTCAATAGAAATAGAGTCAACCAAGTGGGTGGATGGTCCAAGGATTCAAAAGCAAGAATCAAGAAACAGACATGTGAAATCATGTGACATCAGTTTTTTTAATGGACATTGAAGGGGGGGCCTTTTGGGTTGACGCAGCAGACTCGTGGGTCGTTCTGCAGTTCTGGACTGCCGTGCCAGGCAACCTGGGAACCCTTTTGCAACCACAACAATGCATCGTCCCAAACACACATACACCAGGAGTCACAAGTCGGGGTGGTTTCTAGTCCCATCCAGTGAGTGGATGTTCTGGGGACCCCTATTCTCCGAGTTCGGCACCCCTTCAGTGACTCCAGGTGCGACTCCTTTGTGACTTCCAGTTATCGTATTGATTGGTCAAGTCTAGTCTAGTCCAGTTTCAGGATTGGTCGTCTATATGCGTGCGTGTGCCCAAATGGAGAGAGACCGCCAGGCGTTCCGACGAATCAAACCCACCCCACCCAGCCAGGGCCAAGGCACTCCAACTCTCAGTAGCTTGGGATTCATCTGTGTCGCCCTCACAGCCAGGCGTTCGTTCTTCAAAGCTCGCGCCAAAGCAGGTAAGGCTTGCTCACCCGAGCGAGCTTTCTCCCAAATCAGCCGCGGCTGACCTCAAAACGGCCGTGGCGCATGGCTTGCCCGGGTATTTCGAGGTAGTTCAGTGGATGAGAAGGCTACTCTGCCCAACATGGACAGTGCCATGTCGCCAACATGGTCAAACCGAAGCTACATGCACGGGTCCGAAAAGGAAAACATATATGTAAACAAAGTGTCCTAGTCTTTAACATCGTTATTGGCCAACTGCGCAGCGTACTTCTATCACAATCCGTGGGGCCTCATGACGCACGCACCTCAACACAAGTAAGAAAACCTCCCCCGAACTCCTCTATTGTGCCATTCCTCCAGTTCCTTGGACTTCTAGCCCTCTTGCTGTGCCAAGCAGCTCTTGGCAGCCTCGCAAACCTCGTGCCGCACCGTCAGTGTGGAGGCCAAGCGCGTCAGGTTGTTCTCCGAGCGTGCCAAGCGACCTGTAATGCCTGCTGCACGCAGTGGCACGCAGGAGTGCCAGCGACAGGTGCGGAGCAATTGGCTGGGGATCGCAACGTAGTACTTTTGGAGGATATTGGACTTATTGGAGGGTATCATGATAGAGCATGCTGCTTTGGATAACAGTTTTGTATGACTCTGACTCTTCAAGGACTAACTGCTCTGGGGACACCGCCCTATCCTCTTCGCACCCGGCCCGTCCACGGCCTTTGGTCCTCGCCAAGGGCGGCGTCTCTGGACGGGCCGTCTTCGACTTGTTCTTGGAGATGGCGCGGGTGTCGAAGATGTCCAGGTCAGGTTGGGGCTCCAACGTCTGGACATGGCCTCCAGTGGCTGAAAAAGCTTAGTTTGGAGAAACATGTTGGAAAACATGTGAAGATCTGCAATCTGGAAGGCTCATCAAAGCTGTGACATCCTTTTTTTACCACTGGATGTTTAAAGAAATCATGACGATGCGCCAACCAAACCACAGTGGATTGAGAGTAGAAGGGCCCCCCAAGTTTGGTGGCTACGGAACTCCATATGTCAAAGACATCGTGCCAGCGGTGCCAGTGCCAGCTGTCAATACTGAAACCAGCCATAAAACGACGCCTACAGCGTTGATCAGTTCCGGAAGCTCGGTGAACTGATACTTCCTGGAAGGCGGTGGGTCGGTGGAGGGTCGCTCCAGGCGTCCGTGCAGTCGGAAAAACCACACATGGAAGAAAACCGTTACGGGTTTTTGTTTTAATGCATCCGTTTTTACTACACCCCCGAACACGAACCCGCCCCGGTGGTGGAATGGCACCCTGAAAGACTACCAACCAGTGGTTTTCAGGGTCCATGTTAGTTTTCCGACTGTACTAAGCCATTTCTCTCGAAAGGTGAATTCAACAATTGGGCGCCTAAAATCTATTGCTCATGTGGCTCTGGCCGAAGACCAAACATGATCTATACGAGTATTCCGAGCAGTTCAACTCCTGGAAAAATTCGAAAACGTAGGAGGGTTCTTCAGACCAAAAAACAGCTCCAGCGATCGGATCGTCTGACAAAAAACACACTGAGGACATCTGAGGACGAGCAGTTCCATGAGGACGATGCTTTTTCCGCATCGGGGCTCCCAGTATCCACTGGATGGGTCCAAAAGCACCGCGACATGGAACTGAGAAATTCACGTCCTGCAGCGACTGACCAACGGTGGTCATTTCCATCCAAGTCCCGAAAAGGCGACAAAAAGCGCATTCGTGCAGAAAACAAGGACTCCAGCTTGCCTGAATCCTCAGTAGTTACAGTAGTTAGTTCCTGTAAGAGCAACGTCATGACATGACAAATGCTTGTGGCGCAAAAATATCGGCATAACAGGAACATACTTCGAACACACACACACAGAGAAAAGGAGGGAATCAAACAAGTCAATTAAAGAAAAGTGTCATGCCATGTCATGCCTGGATCTTGTCCTTCGGTTGTTCCTGAGGTGAGTTCTTCTCAGTTCTTCAGCCTTCCCATCTTCAGCCGCCAGAGAGGAGAAAACGATCAATTGTCTTCCCTTGGTCTTTTTCCGAGCTTCAACTTCTTCCGCTCAGTGTTATTCAAGTGGTGGGCCGAGTCCACCAAGTGATGTGGGTCGCAACCCAGGAAGTCCTCGCAGCTTTCACCAAACTGCTTGAAAGCCCTCCAGCTCTCAAAAGTCTGCCAAGAATCCATGCAAGTCTATGGAAGTCTCATCTGGAGGGATGTCCATGGAGGGGGGGCTGACCAGAGAGGGGGGGCTGTCCAAGCACCCCCGGTCCTTGCAGCGGATGCCACTCAGCTCAGCACTAGCGTCCTGAGCGTGGCGCGTCCCGATGTCGTAGCGCGTGGGCCAAGTCATCCCAAAAGGTACCTAGAACTCATGTGACCTCTGTTTTTATAGGAAAAGACCTTATTTTGAGTGGTTGGTGGTCCAAGATAGAGGTCAATCAGGTTCTAGGTAGTCACGGTGACATCTTCTTCTTGTGTGGATCGCGATCTTCAAATCTGGTTTCTGGTCGAGTCAACTGCTTGAAAGGGGGGGACACTTCCCGGGTGTTTCCTTTCCGCAGCGAGTCAAGGGAGAACCAATGAATTGGATCTCACTGGTGAAACTTTGAGATGCTATAAGCCTATATAGTACTGCCTATTGGCCTCAACATGCCTGAAACACCTGTTTCTTGTAAGATGCCCCCAACCCATCTTCGACCTTGATTCGGCCGACTCTTCAACCTACGTAGACACTTTCTAACCTACTGACACCTTGCTACAAGGCCTGTCACTGCGTCCTTTCTTGGCATCCCAAGTGTCCAAGGCCATGGACCTCACTCCATCGAAGTTCCCGAACTCCGCCGCGCGCAAGAAGGCCTCGCGGCGGAGTTCCCGTCGTGGCTCGTGGTGGGCGAGGAGCGAGCACAGGTGTCGCAGCGGACAGGGTGGCTGCTGTGTTCGAAAGAGAAGGTGCTAGCTGCTAGAGTTCTTGCTGGGTTGGAGGTGTTTAGGCCTGTCCACCCCTTCTATCTCCTATTGCAGTACCGTTTGTTCCGACAACAACGCGGTGAGGGAGAAAACGTGAGAGCAAAGGATGAAAGGCTGCTTGCAGGCTCGAGATGGGAGATGCATCCTGCGAGGCAGTCTTCAAATGGATGTACGTGGCCCCCTGAGCTTGTCATCTCACATGGGATCCTCCCTCCGACATCATCCTCCCTCCCAACCTGAGTTGGCAGCTTGTTCTTCCTGGCCCAGAAGGCTTGGGCTGGACCACAGGGGGTGCACCCGGGAAGAGACCCACATGGAACCTGATGGCATTAAGCTTTGAGAGACGATCTTCCTCTGGTTTCAGGTTCCATGTTGGTGTCTTCCACGGCAACAAGGACAGAATGACGCGTAAGCCAAACGACTTCTTGCCTCGCATGGAATCAGAGCACTTTAAGTGAGCCAGCTGGCACTGCCCCGTTACAAATGCAACAGCACCCACTCGCATGGATACAGTAATCACCATGGGAATGCAATTGAGCTGATCATCTCGGTAACTCAGCTGCACCCTGCATATCAAAAGGAAACACGTGACGCGCAAAGTTGGATGGATATTCCTGGACTCGCCGAAGGAACTGGGCACATATTCCCCGGCGGGGTTCACCACAACGAAACCCAAAGAGACAATCATGAATCACCTTAAGCCTTGAGCAAAACTAGGTATTCCATATATGCACCCTCCAGTGACTTCACGGGTCCAATCTGCCGACAACTTTGCCGACATTGTTCAATCTCTCTTCCCACGCTCCTGGCATTGGCTGGCGCCTCAGCTGCTGGCAAGAAAATAACGCCACCGCCAGATCTGAAGCAGCATGTGGCACCTAGCTAGACATCTAGAATTCAGCCAACCAAGCCACGCACACGCACACGCAGCCAAGATCAAAGGACTGGGTGACCCTGTGGTTTTCGCTGGTCTTGAACCCACAGCCACACTCCCCGCGGAGCCCGACCCCGTGGAGCCGGGTTTTCTCAGGCGTGGTTTCCAAGTGGCATAGAGGCTCCTTCGGAGCGCTACGCGCTCTTGCTGTGGCGTAGGGGTTGCCATGGCGATGCAGCTGGTGGCAACGCTGGCTGCCCTGAGCAGGATCTTCCAGATGGTGTCAGTTGGGTGTCAGTGTGAACCTGGTAACTGGGAAAACTGGGATTTGTCCAGGATTCCAGGATATCTATAGATTAAGTGGGGCGATGCGGCCCAAGAGGCCCAAGCCCACATTTCTGATTTGGATTGATTTGGTTGAAGGCCTTTGCTCCCCATCTGGCGAACGCAAATGCAGAACTGAGACCTTGCCCAAGCCAAACATTGACAAGACTAATTTAGACTAATGCCCATGTATGCCCAGGTGCTTTCTTGTCCTGAATTGCTTCAAAAACTGTTCATCCCCATCGATCTTCTGACCCTGCTTTTTATGTCCGCCAATTCTTTAATCATGTTCTTTCTACCACACCACTCCCTTCACCATCTTTATCTCCCTTATTCCCTCTTTCACCAGCTCGCCCTTCACTGCTTCGCTCCTTTTTCCCCTTTTCCCAGGTGCCTCACAGCCGGTGCTCCATGGGAATCGCGAGCGACTGCTCGCTCGCGGGCGCCGGCCGCGCGGTCGGGAGCTGCGCCCCGCACTCGAGCTGAGCAGCCGGTCGGTCGAACACGACGTGAAACGGCCAAGTCGGTCGAACCCGGTCGAACACGACATGAAACGGCCGGAGTTTTTGTTGGACCTTCACCTGCATTCGAATCGAGAGTGGCAAGCAGAAGTGATTGAAGCATGTTGAAACAATATTGGGATCGCATATGTTCTTGAAATTGGAATCTGGAAGCCACCAAGAAATCTGATAAATCAAAGCCAAGCCCTTTGGCAGAAACCTTTCAAATGACAAATATCTCCACATCCAAAACTGCTTGTGCTATGTGGACATTTTTTCACTCACCTACAGTATCTCATCTTTTGTACCAACCCCCAAAGGAAACAAAAACAATTCCCATCACCAAAATGCAAACCAAGAATGGCCTCTCAAAACAAGGCATCACCTCAAATGCTGCTGCTAGCTAAAAAGATGTTGCGATGTGCCCAGGCATCCACCTGGAGCGCGCCACAAACACCACCAGCTTGCAACAGGTGATTTGAGGTCTGGACATGCTTTGAATCTGGTTGGGCAATACCCACTTCACGCCATTGCCTGAGGATACCTGGCGCCCGCCGCGTGCCGAGAACGAAAAAACGACGGCCGAAGGGCTCGAGGCTTCGGTACAACCCCAATGCCCGGCTGGGCATTTCAGGTGTCAAACGTGTCGACTTGTCGGATCTGATCAGGATAGATTCAGCGTCTGGCCTGTACACCTGTTGCATGTAATTACACCATTGTACACGTGGGTCTGAGGCTCCAAAAAGGCTGCAAAACACATGGGCGGTCGTTGCCTTCGAGCTTGTAAAAGAGTCAGCTTGATGCAAAACACATCTTACTTGACGACGTACGCTGCAAACGTTGCACTGAAGCTGCTGATTGAAATTCAGTGCTTATTCCTACGTATTTGTGCCTGCGCCAACCAGCTCCAAGACATGAAGAAACAAAATGAAACAAGCAGCTTTTTTCCTACACACACGGGATCAAAGCAGTCCAGCTGTGTGAGCCTCAAATTCTTCATAGGGAAAGACCTTTGGAGTTTTGGCACCACTCCGTCAATGGCCAGAACCTGGAACCGGTTTTCTTCACGTACTCAAGCACTCCATGCAATATGTCTGCATTGGCCCGTACAAACCACCCCAACAAATCAGTTAAAAGTGCCAGTCCCATTGAATCCCATTGGTCGTGTCTATGTTTTTGAACCCCTTCAGTTCTGAATGGTCGTGATCGACCAAGAATGGCCTTCACGGTTCCAGCTGGAACATCGTAGCCCTCCGCTGAAGTGTCGGACCTTGGGGGTGCTCGGGTCTGCGCGCGCAGATCAAGCTCGCTCGAGGCCCTGCCATTTTAAAATCAAGCGAAAACCAAGACAAGAAGAGTCTGCTTCGATCCCCTCATTGTTGGTCTCGAAGGTGAAGCTCAAATTGTTAAAAGGCTATCCACTGGGTAGATCAATTTGATGGAATTGGTGGCCCAGGTCCTTCGCACCAATTTGGTTGGTGATTGTGTTGAGGCCACAGGAAACTGAAAAAAAAGAAACTGGACAAATGGAGGGGTCGCACGGTTCTTGGGCTGTTGCTGTCGTGGGGTCGAGATGGATGCTGAGATGAGATTGGTTTAATGGATCATGAAGCTTACATTGGTCCATCCATCCAAGCCAAGCCTGATATATATTTTGTTTAGTTATATACATACAGGTTTCAAGAAGGTCTATCTTTTGAGACACCACTACATATATATATATAGAGAGAGAGAGAGATCGGTTGCATATATTAAGTAATATATAGTAAAGTAATAGTAACATAATATACTATACTTTTATATTGGTGTTTGGATTGGATATGATTGGATGATGGTTTTTTGCCTTTCATTGGTCACTGGGCTCAGCGGCTCGTAGGAGGCCAAGACCACGCCAGGCAGCCACGCCTAGCCGAACATCTCCACATGTGGAGTGAAGTGACACGATGTTTTTACCCCACCACCCCCAACACCTTGTGAGGAGGTACAGTACGGAGCCCTAGGGCCCATCATGATGGAAGTGGATGATGTGATTTGTTCTGACCTCCAAGGGGGGAGTTTGCCACTTCCAGGATGATTCCAGTGTAGATCGCTTTCATCTTTGACCCATGCCGGAGATGGCACATCAAGGTGAGTGGATTTCAGGCGGTTCAAGGTCGCATATCCAAAGCTGACTGCTGGGCGGCTGTTGGAGGTTGGTGGTTGGCACAGCAACTATGCCAGCACCCACACACAAGTAGTATCAAATAGTCAAATTTGAGGGTCATATCATCATATCCTATAAACTGCTTGCTCCTACTCCTCTTCCTCCTCCTCCTGCTGCTACTACTACTACAACAACTACTGCTACTACTACTACTCCTCCTACTTCTGCGGCTCCTCATCCACTGAACATCGATGTGAAGATGATCTTCGTTGGACCTTGTGCTCGCAAAGGGGGGGCTTCGTTGGACTCCTTCCCAAACCCATCCACGGATGAGCCCGATGAAAGCTGCATGTGGTTGCAAACGTGGGCGTGTTTGAATGGTTTCACAGAGCATTTGTCCAAATATAATATGTGCTAATTTGTCTAATTGCGCTAGTCCTTTGAAGCCTGGTGAGTTCTCTGGAAAACTGTTGGACCAAACCCCTTTTTCGGATCCGATCTGACCCTTCGCGCCTTCTTGGAGTCGCTCCAAACTTCCAAGGTCTGACCCTTCTCAAAGGAAGACCTAAGAAGCAACATCGCCCAAAAGGAGCCTGAAGAGGTACCCCAAAGACCTGCAGAGGTGTCCCAAAGATCGTCCAAAACATGGGGAGGAATGTGGATCGCTAGCAGGATGGATGGAGGTCTAAGACGTTCCACCGTCCAATGTCCAACATCTAAGCAGGAAGTGGCATGAAGTGGCATGTGCAGTAAGTTCCTACTACCCCAAATTGGCCTCCTCCTATGGCCAGGGCATTTATGTGGACATCCCCGTCTGACATTTGCACTGATCAAAACTGAGCATCCTACGACCAAACAAGTCTTCTGCTGCTTGAAGGTTCTGAAGATCAAGAACACCGACTGGAACCACTTCCAGTGGGATTGCGCCGCAGGGCAAAAGACCAAAGCTTTCAACAACAACAACAACAACAACAACAACAAGTAGTGGTGCAAACCATAATTCTGAAATGAACTATATATCCTAGGGATCCAAGTACCTTCTTAGAAGGTACCCTCCAAACCTACATTAAGAGTGTCTCCAATCACCGTGGATCTCTAGGGTATACCATATACATGATAGAAGAAAAAACAGCATCATTTGCAACCATCCCTTGAACCTGAGTGACACCTGCCAAATGGAACACAAGTCCAGTTGCCAGTCGTTTTCTAGCCAATGGTTAGGGCCTAGAGATGCATAGACCTTCTAACCAGGATCATCCTGTCTGGGTGTCCAATGGAGGTCCGTAAGCAGTGAAGGGTAGTGTAGGGTAGTCTATAGGACCACCCAGACAGGATGACCCAGGGAAGGTCATGCTTGAGACATCTTTTGGGGGGGATACGGCACCATCCCATCCCAGCTGCCGCTTTGCTGCACATCCCATCCCTCCCATCGCGCCACGCGGTGGACCGCTCGTACCGGTCATCCCCGGCTTGGGCGCATCAATGTGACCCAGCGTGCCCACAGCTGGCAAGGCCTCATGGACCGGTCATAGGTCGATAACATGGTGGTTCGATTCCAAGTGCTGTACTTCACACCTGCGACTATTGGTACTAGACTCACCTTGAAAATGTCCTTCTCAATGCTGCTAAGCCAAACAATTTTTTGTGGAACAAGGCTTATTTGTCCTCACCACCTGATAGAAGGTCTGGTAACCCCTGCAGCCCTAGTTTGTCCCTACAGTACCATCCGCTTTAGTTGATGCAGGTTCCAACTGAGGAACACAAAACGCACTCTGCACTCATCATGCCTGTTCTTCCGGCAAAGCACCAAGGTTGCCTGACAATGCATTTATGGCTTGTAATTAGATAAATGTTCTTCCAGGCAATGTGTGCAAATCGCAGGCGAGATGGATGAACACAAGCACCTTGGTCTGAGGATGTCTTAGTTGTAATTGTAGTACCTCTTGTTCTGACACGGGTTTGGTCTGTGGCACTCCGTAGCAGTCGCGTGCCCAAGACTCTTCCAAGTCAGCTCTAACTGCCACCAGCTTCTTCAAAGTGACCCGGATTATTATATAGAATCGATTAAGACCTCAAAGTAGGACGCCAAAAAGAGCAACTTGGAAAAACCGATCACCTGAACTGAACTTGAAAGTTGTATAAGCTGGATTGGGTTTCAACCACTGGAGCTCATCTCATTGCCACGCCTTTTGCCGTGTTCGGCATGCCGAAAGTGTTCGCCATAGCGCTGCCCATCGTGCTGTGGACGGTGCTTCCCATCCGACTGGGGGATGGCACGAAGCTCTCCTGCACGGGGCCAGGTGGAGGTCGAAGGTCTGAGGAAGACGATCTGAGGTTAGGTTCCATAAGCGGTGTCACAGTTGAGGAACCACACCTTTAAACAAAAGCACCATGTTATACAATGTTAATCATATGTTAAGCCGCTTGTGTCAAGTCTTGGCATCAAGAGGGCTTGCCGATGTTGCAGCAGGCCAGCCAAACTGGCAAGTTGGGCATTCGGACTAAAACACCAATTTCATTCATGCAATTTTTATCCAGCATGAACGCCCAGCACCTTGTCCAGCTGTACCCGCTGAAGTGTAGTTTCCTTTTCTAGGGGATGCTGTAGATACCCCAAACTCCATGCTAAACATCGGAAACATTTGAGGTTCAAGAGCCATTTCGGACAACTGTGATAAGAGAGCCCTTAGCTCCGCCCCAAATGCCCATCCCCGCAGGCTGCGACCTGTTCTCTCACTGAGGTCCCAAAAAGGTTCTTAGGAAAGCTATCGTTACAGGGATGAAAACCGATGGTTTCCTGTAGACGTTCCCTTAAACCAATCCATGGAGCCAGGTACCAGAAACATCATCTGCGCAACCATCCTGGGTTCCCTTCTCCATCACCTGCACGCCGCACACCGCACCGCTCCAACCCCGGCTCCAGCCCGCCGCACCCGGGGTGCTGCGGCCTCCAGTGTGGTGTAACCACTCTTCGGCAGGCCGGGGTGGGGAAGAAACCTGAGGCTGAGGCTGAAAGGGGACGCTGATTCCCTAAAAATCCAGTCGTACCGAACCGCAGAAGGTAGGACTGGACCCTCCAAACCTACATAACAGTGCCTCCAATCACCGTACCTGAGAAGGTACTTGGATCCCTAGGGATTGTTTGTTTGGAGCACAACTTTTCCAAAAACACCACCTGTCTGGGACTGGCACATATGCCTACATCGATGCCGGAATCCGTTCTCCCCTTTTTGTGGTTCGGCTGAAAATGCTCCGTTGGGCTGGAGCGTTAAGCTGATGTGGAGTTGCGTCCCAAACGCGAAAAAAAGGAATGAACCGCGTAACCGCGCTTCAGAGGCTCTTTTTACTTCCAGAGTGGAAGTCGTTGGGGCACCCGGGCACCCTTCATCAAGCACGGAGAGTCGCACCACTCGCATGTGCCATATGACCTTCTGGGCTGTTATGGGGCAACCATCCCGCGCAACCCAACATTTAAAAGCCAAGATAACATAGAAGACACACATCCCTAGGGCTCCAAGGAGCTTCTTAGAAGGTGTTTGGGGTGGGCTTAGAGGGTCCAGTCATACCTTCTAAGGAGGTACTTGGAGCGCTAGGGCATGGAATCTCAACTTGGGAATTTTGGAACTTCAGGTTGGGAAGCTATTCACTCTCAGATCTCTCAGCGACCATCACCGGAGATCCACCCGCCAGTCTCATCGGCTCGTTTGCGATCCACCCCCTCCGAGTGGCGATCCCACGCTGCTGGCGACCTGGCACCCGGCCAAACCTGGCGAAGTCGCCACGTTTGAACCGGTGGAGATCCAAGTGGGAGTAGCTGTTGCAGCGCCCCCCCCACAGCAACTGCTTGACCAGAACCTCCCATCTCCAGGCACATCTCCAGGCACAGGTGGAGCATTTAGTTCAGTGTTCACTTCGTATGTACTGACTGGGATTTGCTCACCGGGGACGGAGCGGCCCGTATGTGGCTGATAGACCCCAAAAATCCATCGATCTGATCGAACTATATACCTAGAACCCATTTGACCCCTGTTTTGAAAGAAAACAAACATATTTTGGTGGGTTGGTGGTTCAATATAGAGATCATTTAGGTTCAAAAACAATAAATTAAATATATATATATATATAATTTATATAATATCTTGGCTGCATCTATTTGGCAATAAGCAAGATCCAGTAGAAACACTGGCAAAGACGTCCGCCCAGCTCCCTCCAAACTGCATTGGAGCAGCCTGACATGCCTGAAGTTGGTGGCAAAGCAGGACCTCCTGAAAGATGCACTGTGGGTCGAAACCCTCTCCAATGCCGAGTTGTTTCTGAAAATGACATGGAAGGCAAAACAAAAGATGTCCAAATTCTGGGTTCGCAATGCTTCTCCATTCTTAATTCCTTAAAGAATGGTACCTGGTACCATTTAAAGCCTCCGAGCGAATGCCGGCATTGGTCGGACTCAACTCCCAAGCATTGGAGCCACCGATGTCGCGAGTGTGATTCGACGGAGCCACGTGGTGGCTCCGAGGCTCTTCTTGCACCGATATCAGGAAGGGGTTTAACGAGGGTTTGATCCATCAACATTCTACTACAGTTCTACCATGCACCCCCCAAAAAAAATTATAGTGCAAGAAAGTGTGACCAACCACTCTTGACACCTTTATGAATCACCTGCAAAAACTCGGAGAGGAAGCTTGCATTTGTCCATTGAGGTGTTAAGGGAACGCCTTTTGTCTTTGGGCCATTCTCTATCAATCTGGCTTGGGTCTATCCTTGTCATCCAGGGCCCAGTGGATGATGATGTTTTGGTTGCAGGCCTTGTTCAAAAACAGTGAACAGCTTGTGAAACCTGATGGCTCTACAAATACGTTTGTTTCAAGAAACATGGAACAGGTTGGGTTGGTGAAAACGGGGGTGGCGATCATGGGAAGATCGTTGAACATGGGCCGACATGGCCGGTTTTCCGCATGCCAGCTGAGAGATTGGTGTGACCTTGAAGGGTCTCATTATGTCTTGAAGTAGGCTCCAACAACAACGCGATGGTGGAAAATGCTTTCCACTCTCTGGGTTCTCTCTCACTTGCCAGTGCTTCTGTGCTGGTTCGTCTAGGTTTTGTTGAGCTGACGCACCAGCAGTCCACTGATGTCATAGCACACGCCAACTCATCCAAGTAGGCTTCAGCTATGTATCCCATGATCTATCTCGAAGTCTGTTTACTCACCTTGATCTACCTCTCAGACTTCCTGAAAACAACCTAAACACCCTAAACCCGTCGTCCCCCCAAAACAACCTAAGCCTTCCCGATGTTGTCAAACCCACTCCCTCTCCCCGCACCGCCTGACATTCCGGAGGTGGGCGGCAAGGACGACCCGCCGCCTTTGGCGAGTAGATCCGACCGAACTGTGTGACGTTTGTGGCTCGATTGCATCACGTTTCATCCATATACATTATATATTGTGTATTCTATATCTATCTAATGTATATATATATTATATTATACAGACATACATAAATATCTTATATATATATGTGATTATATGGACCCTTAGCTTCCAAACCCTGAAAAACAAAAATATGTCATGTCCAGATTGAAACCTCGTGTTTACAGACCATCTGCACAAAAAAAAAAACGGGTTTCCAACCCAAAACCTTGGGTGTCCCTAAATTTCAATCAAGTTATAGCAACTTCCCACACCTGCAGAACCAAAAAAGGATGTCAGTTCGGGGGGTGCTTGACATCGGGGCATGTTGTGGATGCCGCGATCCACAGAGTCACATGGGAGATCTTTGGAGGTTTGGAGGCGAGTAGCAACAGGATGGAAGTCCTTCAAGTGACTTGGCAGAAATCCCAAATAAGCAGTGGGTCATGGCACACTGCACTCGAGCATCCCAAACGTGAGCAATCTAGCTGGAGATGTTTACCTGTGCCACGGTGTTGACTCACATCCAAAACGGCAACGCAACAATTCCGAACAGTTTATAGACCTCGGTTTGTAGAAAAAAAGGGGGCTCCATCGCTCCAGATCTCGAGCGATGCTGTGTCTTTTCCTGGACATGTGCATTCCGGACGTCGCTTGAAACTCAAGCGCTAGCGGTAAGCGTTAGTAAGATGGCCACAACCGTGCTAGCGATTGTACATCCTGAGAGGCGACTTCCCACCCCAAAGCAATGCATTGTAAAACGTGTGCATAGAAACACCCCCAAAGAAACCAACACAAGTGAACCACCTCAAAAAGAGTATCAGAAGCTGTGAGGCTATCTATTTGGGCAGTTTTCGGGGTAGAAACTCAAGTCTCAGGCGTGGTGCTGACTCGCACAGCTGGAGATGTCTGGAAGCTAGTCCATCTACTATACACGATCAGCACTTTGTAAATTTTGAGCAACAGGTAAGCCCTCGGGTGTGGCAAGAGCAGTTCATAGTCTCATCACAGTGATTGGCATTTCTATATCATTCTATATCCTGTAAACTTGCAGAGTGATCCGTGCGCCCATGAACTAGTTTCAAACGCCGCGCGAATGAATGTAGCCATAGTTCCTTGGCCTCTGGAAGGATATGATGTAAATCTATCATCTACAGTATTTCCCTGCTCAGATTAGCTCCGGTCTTTCCAAGGGATTAGCAGTGTGGCAATCCCTTGGCCACGGACGTCACTTCCAGCCATCTCCAAGGGTTCATCGAACATCGAGTCGGGTCTGTCCGATCCAATCTCGAGGACATGGACCCGGCCCTGAACCACCTGTTACGCAACTCACATGTGGTTCAGAGCAGCGTGAAAGTGACACTCTATCGGCGCATTCGACTGCGCCACGCGAACCCGCACTGCGCTTAGCAATTCACCGGCGCTGTGCGAAATTACGGTCGCGCTGCCAACCAACGACGCTTCCCAGGGTGGGAAGCTCTAAAGCTCTAGAGACTCAAATGCTGAGAGCGTGCCGGCCCACATCGTTCAGGGCTGTTCTTAACAAAATGTGTTTGCAGTTACAGGGAGAGCTGTACCTGGAACTAGAACCATCTAGAATCTAGAACCACTGAGCGGAGTTCAGAACCCTCCACCCAAAGGAATCTATAGCAAGACTCTTGTGTTGCACCATGCGGCATTAACATTTATTACTATACCTTGTCAGTTATCCAAGTCGAGCCTTCAGTTCATGAAACACTTGGATGTTCACACCATAGCCTTTGCTTTGGGGAAGCCGGAATGATCTATACATCTGCTTTTGTGACCTTCTACATGCTAGTTTCAACAAACTTGCAAAATACCCTCCAAACTTCAAACTCTTATGAAGCCTAAGGCTAAGACTTGGAACCTCTATATCGAAGCGGTTCCCCTCCAAGCTGCGTATGGTGGTTCATGATGGTTCATGTCATGAGTCCAACGTTTTTAACGTGCAGCTTAAGCTGCTAAGCCTTTCGCCTCGCTTTTCTCACGCCGAAATCAGCACTTCCTCAGGGTAGCACTTCCTTCCGACAAACCGGACACCTCAGTAATTGTGACAAAGTGACACATGGAGACGTCCAACTCAATATATTAATATGGATGTTTGGCTTTGCTGAGAACGCTTAATGGATGAAATCCACACTCTACAACACAGCATGCAGAATTCTAATGCAAACACATTGCTCAACATGCTCCAAACTGGTCAAATCTGGTCAGTCACTTCGTTTACGCCGGTCATGCGCCCCACCGTCATCGCCTCTGACCCGGTTGGAAGGACGTCCTTTTGCCCCTCAGCGGAGGTTGCTGGGGGCCCCACTGAGCTGGCTTTAAGGGAGCTGGCACACCTGCGTCGATGCTCGCCCCAGGGTATCTGTGGCGTGGGGTGAGCCACAAAGGCCCAAGTAGGGAATGGATTGGAATAATGATCTGTCATTTTTGGTTCAGAATTGGAATTGGATTGATGTCATTGAATTTGGCGCAAACTGGAGCAATGGTCATTCCATCAAAATTAGGTTTTGAAGTTTGGGACTTCACTGGAATGACCAGTAGGGAGTGATCTGTGCATTGGACAGCTATGTTCTTTTTCAAGTGTTGCACTAATCCGCATCAGTCAGTTTGGTCGTTGCATCATTGATATAGCATGCAAAACTGCCTCGCATCGAAGGCCTCGACAAGACAAGAACACATTGAAACAACTTCGGAAGGTAAAACACATCAAAACACATGTCCTTGGGCCATCCTGGGCGGTAAAAACGACCTTCAAAGGTCCAAAAAGAACCTCCAAAGAAGACCTCGCCAAGGTCTCGCTTTCACACGGTTTCACCCGGTTCCCCCCCACCTAAAGTGGATGGCCGAGTCCTGAGGTGGCTGGCAGAAAAGGCCGATCAGTCCGATGGCTTGGTTGGTTGGGTTTTTGCGTCCGATTGGTAACTCCAATACCTGAGCCTGTTTCTGTTTTGGTGGAGTTGTATCTGTTTTTGTTTGTTTTGCCAGTACCCAGCCTGAGCCAACTCCATCAACCCCAAGTACATCCACCGGTAGGAGCATCGATTCTTCTTTGATCCACTGGGGAGAGTGAGCCTGGTTTCAAAGGGTTCCATGGAACACTCTCATGAATAGATGACTCCTCATCAGGCACCATCTGGCGGGTCTTCACCAAGTGTGGCTTCTGCGCAGTCACACAGACCCCACACGCATATCATTGTGTGGGGCCATGGGGTGACGGAAAACACCCTGCCCCTTATCTAGTAGATGTTCCCCATTCCCACCCGTCACTCAACAGTCCAAGAAAAACACCAGCCACCACACGGAACCGTGGCTTTCGAACCTATCAATGGACGCTCAGGCTTCTGCAGGGAATTGGGGGCCTCCGCACAAATGACAGGTGTATTGCATAAATCCATGTGAGAGATAGAGAGAGATCAAGTATAAGCAAATATATTATTATATTGTGGTATACCTGGATCTTCAAACGGCACTAATTTTTGCCGCCGCATACATTTTTTCAGTGAAAAGGCACCGTAATCAAAAAATTAGCCGTTTTAAAAAACGACATTTTTTTTTGGTGTCTACCGGTTTCAAAGATCTAGGTATATGTATATGGATATAATATTTATATATTTAGGGCTCGCATGATCCAATGTTCCATCCAATATCATCCAATTATTTTGGCTTCAGCCCGGCTTCAGCCCATGAAATCCTGTGTAGTGTTAGGGATGTGGGGCCCACCTGCCCTTGAGTAAAAGACCCTCCATCTTGGCTTTGAAAGGTGCTATCAAAGGGCCAGAATGGTCCAAGTGGTCCACTGGACCTGCCATAGTTCAGGGCATCAAGTCTTCACTTGCCATGGTTTTTGGATGAGTATGTGATGAGTATGTGATGAATGTCAAGCCATACCTTCGTCGACTCTTCTGACCTCCCCCCCCGGCGTGTCACACTTGGACAGGGCAAATGCTGCCAAGGGGACGTGGGACTGCTCGTCTGCGTAGTTTGATGGTTCAAGTAGGCCGTCACACAGGTCTTGTGGAGCATATGGCCACAAGGCATGCGGCAAATACCCTGGGCTGTGGCTTGAAGTCAAAGGATGTCCACGGAGGGTCTTCAACATACGTATATGTTCCTGGATGTTTCTGCCATACCCCTGGCTGTTCTTGTTCGGGAGAAGAACTCGGAAAGATCCTCCTGTTGCACAGTGACAGACCTGGAATCCGTGGATTCCTCAAGAACAAAGGTGTAGTTCGCACATGAAAAACGCACCGCGCTCGCACGCGGTTTCAACACGCAAGGTCGGAGCTCAAGACGTCTGCGGGGAGGAACATCAGTGGGACTCATGCTTTGGTGGAATGCTCATGGAACATGCGGTTTCCAAAATGCTGTGACTCAGCCCCCCAAACTCAAGTCCACCAAAGCTAGTCTTCATCCGATGCTCACTTTGCTTTCCCCTCTGAAGGACTTCGGTCTCCTGTTCAATCCTCATGGATGAAGTTCTCAGGAGGTCGATCAAAGGGCCAGTATGCGCTCCTTCCAATTTGGTCAGGGCGTCAGCTGGATTGAAATTGTGCGGGATCCATCTTGGTCGCCCGCCCACAATCGACAAACTCTCTTTGATGATTGCGATCTCCAAGGCTGACCGCTCATCATCTCCGGAGCACTGGTCCGAGCAAAGGGCATCGTACAGGGACTTTGCGTCTACGACCACTATGGAGTTGGGGTCGCAGAACGAAGCTGACTCGCTGGCAATGACAGTGCTTTTGCCCATTGCCGCCAGCTTTTCATCCTCTGACTTCTGGCGCACCCTTGGCTTGAAGTGCGACATGCGGATGCTCTCCATGAACACGTCCTGCCGCTCAAGGGCGGCTGTCGCAGCCGAGAGCGAGATTGCCTCGCAAAGCAGGCTTGAAGCGGCCTTCCTCCTCAGTCGCTTGGAGCGCCACTGCATGAGCGACACTGGAGCTTCTCGTCCTTGGTTCAACCAAGGATTTGTGAATCCAAGCAACCAGCCATGCTGCGAGCGTTCACGTCCGCTCGTGTCAAAGCTGCTGTCAGCCACAAGGATGTTGCGCAAGTCTTTCTCTTCGATGCTGTGGATGACCATCTTGATGGGGCTTGTTTTCACATGGCGGACCATGGCATTTGCTGCCAGGATGTGGGACACTGCAGGCTCTGGAAATGCTGAAGCCAGTATCGAAGCTGCAGCTGCCACATCAGGTCTTCCCTCACGAGCTAGCCAGTTCAAACTCGCAATCAATCCCCTCAGCTGCGTTTTCTCGTTCTCGGACAGCTTGACCTTCGCAGAGTCCTTCTTCAGAACGCGCCGAGCTAGGGCGATTGGCTGCAGGCGAGTGTAAATGAACTCATCCATGTCGGCCTCAAAGGAAAAGTCGGGCCTTTGCCGGAGTCGTCGTCCAGCATAATTCGACCCAGTGCTGCTTTGGAGGTTGTCCACCTTCCCGAACGTGAGCATGCTTTCCATCTTAGTCATCAGCTCTCGGTGCCTCGCAGATCCAGCTTCAGCGATGTCGTCGACCTCAATGACGAGGAAGCCTTCAGTCAGCTTCTTGCTCGGATCGGCAGAAGGCAAAGTGAGCACGCACTTGTCGTAGGGGTTCACCTCAAAGCCTAAGTCCTCAGTGGCCAACTTAAGCAAACTTCGCCGCCACCATGATGGTCCGCTCACCAAGCCATAGACCTCGGTGCACAGGAGTAGCAGTTGGCGAGGATCATATCCTTCCAGAGATTCGTCACGTGGTTGCCGAATTGCAAGCTTGCGCTTCCGAGTTGTTGGCAGGGCTTGAAGGAAAGCGGTTTTGACGTCTCGAACTCTTGTCTGCCATTTGCGAGAGGCGGCTAGCTGTAAGCAGCAATGCAGGGAGGTCGACAAAGGAGTCGGTGAAGAACGTTCCACCTCGTGGATCTGAGGGTCCTCCCAACCGATCACGCAGAGTCGTGACTTCGGGTTTGTCTGGTCCTCCTCCAATGCAATTGCTTCCAACATGCCTTCGTCAATGGCCTTTTTCTTGTAGAGCTCAATCTTGTCAGGGCCAACGTCTTTCGGCTTGTAGCGGTCCACAAAGCGGGAGTTGATCACCTGCTCAGGGAATTGCTCTTCAAAGGCCAAACTTTCCTCCAGGGAGAGGACCTTCACTGCCTTGTTTTGAATCAGGCTGTTGACCTCCTTCAAGCGGCTTTGCCTGAACTTCTTCTTCTCACTCTCAGCTAGCTTGGAGAATTCCACCTGGCCGAAACTTGACCTTGCCTTCTTGACCACATACATACAGCGGTCTTGGTCACAGTAGCTTGCCTCGGCTTCCCAAGCAGCAAATGATTTGCTTTGTCGGGGAGCCCGTGCTTGTAGGACTGGTTCAGGTTGGCCTCGTTCTCGGCGCCAAGTGGCTCCGATGAATGGAGACTTCGAACCCATCTGGCGAAGCATGTCGTCGCCATCAAAGTCAATGACCTCCAGGTAGAAGGAATTGCCTGGCGGTGTCGGCAATGGTGGAACCTGCTGCTGAAAAGGATACGGCATAGCTGGTGCCGTTGATGAAGCTGCTCTTGAAGGCGGCACATAGCCCAGTGGTGGTGTCTCAGGAACTTCTGCAATTGAGTTTGGCCGAGGTCGTGTCAACGGGGGTGACCTCGAGCGATCTGGTACTGGAGCAGGTGGTCCAACATGCATTGAACCATGGGAGCCCTCATCAACTTGGATTTGTCGTCGTTCAGGAAGGTTGGAGCTGAGACCGAGATCCTCTGTCTGCATGGCGTTCTCCTCCTCAATTGGCGGGAGTGCCTCTTTCTCTTCAGCAGTGTCGGTCTGAATGCTTGCCCTCCTGCTCTGTGTTTGAGAAGCATCTGGAGTCATGGTGGTGTCATTCGACAGCAAGTCAAACTCCTCCTCCTCAGCCATAGGTTGATGAGTGCTGTCAGTGGTTTCTCGTTCCATGGGAGTGTCTTCCACTTCACGTCGTTCCTCTTCCACACGCAGGACACGATGAACGTCCTCCAGATCGGCATCTTCCGGGAAGGTCTCATGGGTGATGTCCTGGTAGGCAATCTGATTATGACCTGGTTTTTGATGGAGTTTGTCGAGCATGTCCTTGGTGAGCTCCACTACGAGTTCTGCGCCCAGCTCTTCTTCTGGAGTTGCTGGCCTCAGCTGTTCTCGAGAAGTCTTCCAAAGCCGGCCGCGCATGCTCACCCAGGCCGCTCGATCATTGAGATCAGGTGCAATCAACACGCCAGGTCCTACCCAGCCATGGTAGCTAGGTGAGTCTCTGAAGACATAGACCCATGTGCCAGGAGGAAGTGGTTTGCGATCTGCCGTGCGGCTCTGTGCTCGAGAGGCTCTCCGGATGGCAGCCTGATCCTGCCTTCTCAACCACTCACGGGATGCGGCTTCCCGGATCTCCCATGACCGGCGAACCGGTTCTGGTGCAGCTGCTTCCACAAGCTCTCGATCGAGGGCATCCGTAGCCATGATGGAAGCCGGAAGCCGTAGTGAGCGGCCGAAGACTCTTTGCATTGGTGAGAACCCAAACCGGTCCATGTAGCGATTTCGACTGCTCACCACTTCAGCCAGCACGAGTGGAAGTTCATCAATGGTCGCTGTGGTCTGGTGGATGGTGGCCATGATCTTCTCCTTTAGAACTCCTCCGGCTTTTTCTGTACGAGTGTTTTGCCATGGACTTTCCACGTCGGTGTAATGGATGGCTGCCCCAAGTCCACCGATCGTCTCCTGGAATTGATGGTTCTCGAACTCCTTTCCTCTGTCCACTATGATGAGTGAAGGCACTCCGTAGTGTTTGATCCACTCATTCATGAACACATTGAGAACCTCATCAGCCGACTTGTCGCGGCACAGGGCAGCCTGCTGGTAGTTGGTGCCCCAACAAATCATGTTGAGAATCACGTGGAGCTGTCCAAAGGCCTCCAAGAAGACAAGGTCGAGCCCAATGACTGAATTGAACTCCATTGCTCGGTGCAAATGTCCCGGGCGCTGTGGTGACACCCGTGGTCGAGCATCACAGGTGGGACACCGAAAGTGATGCTTTGTCCAGCTCAGAACTTCTTGCTTTGCGCCCGAGTTGCGAAGAGCACGCACGAAGATTTCCAGTGCGGGATGACCCAAGTTTCTGTGGATCTTGTGTACCTCTCGTCGAAGATGTGGAGGTAGGGAGAAGTTGCCGTCATCCATGCTTTGGAATGTCTCAACGTTTTTCAGGGCTTCGGCAATGCGAGGTTGGTCATCGAGTTGTCGCATGTTTTGACGAAGCTCTTGAACTGCATCGAAATTGTCTTCCTCCTCCGGTAGTGTCGAACCCAGTCGATTTGCCTCCTGAGCGTTCTGCAGTGCCCAGGCGGTCACTTTCTTACCTGGGCAACCCTCAGGAAATTGGTCTCCGCGAGGGGGTTGCCCAGGTGAACCAACGAACTTGCCGTAGGTCTCTTCAGTCTCGACATCATGGACATAGTCGATCGTGCCATGGAGCTCTGAAACCTCGTCGTCAAGGGCCGCGGTTTCCCGCGCATAGTCATAGACCAAATGGCCCATAGCCTGTCCCCACTGAAACCACTGAAGGGTTTCTGCCGTTGTCTTCTTTGTGGGAGCAATGCCAAGTGCGGCTTTGATGCCCGCCACCAATGCTTTCACGAAGGACGGAGTGTAGACCGCTGCTTCTTTGGCTGAGCCACCCAGGAGCATACCATGTTGATGCTGCTTCAAGCATTTCTTTTCCACGAACTCAGCCAGGCCTTCCAGATTGGTGGCCAGGGCGGTCGGTTTTCTCACCGGCATGTCTTTGAAGGGGCCCTTGGATGCACGAAGGCCAAAACGGCATTGGTCCAGCTCCAGGCGATGGACGTCAGGGTGTTCCATCAACCGCTTCACTGAAGGTCGGGACCATGAAGTGGCTGGAAGAGGTTGTTCCATGACAAAACCTCGTCCCTCAGCTATTTGGTCCTCAGCCAGCTCAACTGAGAAATCCATGTGCACATCGCCTTCCTTCTCTTCCGCCATGACTGTCTGGTAGTCGCGCTTGAAGTTCGAAAGGCGGCGGAGAGGCGAGTAGGTAGTGCATGGTGGACTCAGAATGAGGACGGCTGGCCTCCACTTCTTTATCAGCTCCTTGGCTTTCTTCCGGTGCTCCGGCAGGGAAAAGTTCCAACCGGTAGTGAGATCCAAGGCCAAGCGAGCTCGAAGACCTTGACGACGGGCTTCTGGCGTCACCCGAGGAGGACTGTATATCTCTCCAACGTGGTCCAGGAACTTGGTGGCATGGAAGATCACCTGACTTCGTTCCTGGCGTCCCAAAATCTTCGCTCCGACAATGTCAAAATCAGTTCGGCCAAGCTCAGTAAGGCTGGCGTTCAAGGGAAAAGATGCCATCTTCGATGAGGGCAAAGATGAAGATGAATTCGCAAAAGGATCTCCTGAAGGATCACCGACCTCCAGTCGGGAACCCAACCAAGATAGTTTGGCTGAGGCTTCAGGCACCATGCAAAGGATTGAGACCGTCAGGAATGCGGTCATTGCCATAGGGCTCTTTGAGCAAGTAGTCGTAGCGCTCTTGGAGCAAGTTCTCAGTGAAGAGGATCGAGTAGGGCATGACGTGGGCGATGCGTGCAAGAACTTGCCATCGCTCGTAGTGCTCGTGGTGGTCGTGGTGCTCCGAGCGCCATTCGCTTGCTCCCTCGTGGGCTGACGATCTGAAGATCGCTTGGCACCGACTCTCCGCCCGATGAGTGGATCTCGAACTGCTCCGTCGAGTTCTGAAAGTGGGCCCTTGGCTTCACTCGGTGTTGGGCTGGTCGAACTCCTGAAGCCATGCGGCGACGACGGTCGGCGCTCTGAGATCGGCTTGACATGCGCCCACTCGTCTTCAGCGGTGCTGCGGGTGGAGTCTCCGGCATTTCGCTGGGCGATGCCAACCATGAGGGGGTCACCGGTGCTGAGGTCCGGTTGGAGACATCCTGGATTGCCATTGGCTCCGTGCTCGGTGTCATCTCTTCCGGCGAGAGCTCGGTGATGGTGAGCGTCGGCAGGTCCGAGCGATGCTTGGGAGGTGGCAACTTGGCCGGATAGCTCATCAGCGACTTGGTCACCAACTCCACTGCCGTTGGAGGATCTGTTGAGGATTGTGCCCCCGAGTTGACGGCTGCATCTGCTGCCCATTCCACTCGAGCCCATCTGCTGCCGCAGTCGAGGCATGTCCACCAGTAGAAATTCTTTGAGCCTCGTTGGCGTAGCTTGTCTTCTGGATGGGCACAGTCCGATGGCTCGCAATGCCATGTCTTGCAGGCTGTGGAGCGTCGCAGCGGCTGACCAATGCCGCGGCGGATGCGCCCGTCCCCGATCTGCTTTGGTGCCTTCTGTGCACTCTCCTTGACTGGCTCGGCCAACTCGTAGCGATGCCTGTTGAGCAGGTAATCCGTGGCCGACTGGCGAATCGTCGTCAGGATCATGTTGATCGTCAGCTGAGCCATGCGCCTCCAGGCAGCGAGCAACTTCGCTGTGGGCGTCCTCTTCTTGGAAGCTGGTGGTGCTTCCTTGTCGGCTTGCACCAACCATTGGGTGATCTTGCTCTGCATGCTCAGGGAGGTGCGCACGATGAGGCGTACTTGAACCAGGAGCCAAAGCTGACGGAGAAAAAGAAACACTCTGCGGCTCTTTGGACATGGTCGGAGGTGCACATGACGCTTGACTCTGCTTGCAAACTGGTTTCAAAGCACTCTTCAACGCCAAAGCTTTGCCCTTTGAGTCCTTGACCTGGTTGGCGGCTGCCGAAGGTGCAAAGGCAGCCTGAGGCCGGGGCACGACACAAGCCGAAGACACCGTCGAGGGTGAGGTCGAGGGCGAAAAAGGGTCCAAAAGCTCGAAAAACACGTCACCCGACCAAAAAGGGAGTTGGCGGGAAGAGGGCAAATGCCATGTATCATGGATGCTGATGGAGGTGTCGTCCAAAAAGTATGCACTTGTCACCCGGGACCGATCCAAATTCGAAAGCATGTGCTTGGGGAGAATCTCAGAAGGATGGACCAGGGTTGCGCGAGCATCCATGGAGCCCATAAAGATCAGCTCACTGTCCTTTTTCAACCATACTGCCACTCCGGGTCGTTGCTGAAGCTTGTCTCCAACTGAAGTCCGTGGCAGCAAAAATGGATTTCCATCTGAAGAGATTGTGAGCTCCTTGGCGAGTCCCTCTGGAAGTTTCCATCGTCCATTGAACTCCAGCACAGAAATTGTGCGATGTCCAGAGGGTAATCGCCGCATGGTGGTCTTCTTGCCACCCTTCAACATGAACATGTTCTTGCCGGTGTCGATGACGCCTCCCACCAGCTCAATGAAAGAGATGGGAAGCAAGAATGGGGTCTGAAAAGCCCCAACATCCTCTATCTCCGTCACCCGGAGCAGCCCATTGGTCTTGGCAACTCCAATGGGGATGTCATGCCTCCGATGCCGGCGCAGGTCGCCGTGGTTCCACTGGCCTCAACCGGCCTAAGGCCAAATTGGCCAAGTGCAGCACGCAAACGGTCCATTGCTGTCGAGCCAATCACCGCCTCCTCTGCTGCGGTGTCCACAACTCCTTCGAAGCTCTCGGTGCGAACACCTGCAAAGACTTCCAGCTGCTTCTGCACTGAGGGCTTCACGCTCACGGCGTAGATGCGCTGCTGCTCATGACCTCCATGGCTCACAAAAAAATGACTGGGTGGCTCTTGCTGAGGGCAATCCTTTGACATATGTCCAAGGCCACCACATGAAAAGCACTTCGTGCGAGCCAGAAGATCGTCCGGTGTTCCACGGCCGTGACCACGTCCACGACCAAAACTGCTATGGCCACGACCTTTGCCTCCATGGCCTTTACGCTGTAGGCCCTTGGTTTTGCCTTTCTTTTGAACTGGTGGTCCATTGCCCTTCTTGAAGAACTGGCGGCCTTTCCGCCTAGCTTGCAGTTCTCGTCGGACATCTTTGTAGGCACTGTTGTAGGCCCATATGTAGGTGGCTTCCTCCTCCGTGTACTCCTCGGCCGGGTCGAAACACAGAAAGGTGAGGTTGCCTTGACCATCGCTTTCAGGGCCTTCTTCATCATCCTCTTCAGCCTGCACCTCATCAGGCACAAGCTCGTCGTCCTCATCCTCCTCATAGTCATGGTGGCCACTCGAAGTCGCGAAGGTCTTGGCAACTTTCTGAACTAAGGCATCCGGCCGATCCAACGGCCTCAAGGCGGCTGCTGCTTGCTCGAAGGTCAAGAGGGCATTGTACTTCACAGCCATAGCCTCACGTTGGGCGTCAGACAGATTCGCGTGGCGCAAAAGGATACGCCCTGCGATCCGCCCAGGCAGCTTCTCTCCAAGGTGCGCCTCCATCTCCTGTAGAGCGACCTCCTTGGCAGCCACATAGCTTGAGAGATTCTCTGACCGACTGCGTTCGGTCCCATAGAAAAAGGTCTCGATGGCGGCCGGTCCAGCAGCTTCCAGGTAGGGACCGTACTTGGTCATGATGGCCGTTAGGATGGCCGAGTATCCAGCTTCGGAAGTCAGTGTGGGAAGGTCCACCGTCTCTGCAATCCTTCTCGGAGGTGACTGGTCCGAGAAGGCCTGAAGGAGCTTCAACCCCCATTTCTGCTTCGGGAGGTTGTTGTCCATCTCCCAAAGCGTCAACTGGCGAAGCCATGGTCGGAGGGTCGAAACATCACCGTTCCAGCTTGGCAGACTCCTGCGATCACCTGAGAGGGCAGCAGTGAGGGCCTTGAGCATGACCTCCTGAGGATCTGCAGAACTCGCAGGCACTGATTGCACCGGTTTGCCAAGCATCTCAAAGGCGCTCTGCACCGGCGCGGCGGCAGGAGGCAGTGCTGACGCATCCAGTTGCTGACACCAGCTAGCCGCGCTGCAAGGTCCAGGCGCTGAAGCACAGGCACCGTTGCTCGGTGCAGGTGGAGCCAAGTTCCCGAACCCTCTTGAAGGGGGAGAAGGGGTTCCACCACTATGCATGCCCGACTGATTCCCTTGGGGAGTTGGATAAAAACTACAAGGCTGACTAAACAGTCCAGGATGGCCTGTCATCTGAGCGCTTTGCGGAGTGAGGTTCGGGCTCATCCAAGGTGCTGCTACCGGAGTTGATGTGGTAGCGAAATTCCCAACAGCATGAGAGGGTGACCCAGGCATTCCTGAGGAAGTAGCTCCTGGCCCCTCAGGCTGTGTTGCAGGTCCAGCACCAGAACCCTGTCCTGGGAAACACGACATCCGGGTTGAAGCATCACCAGCACATGGTGAGGTAGGGGTCCTCGCAGCTCCAGCGTAATGCAGCCAGGGATCGGTCCTCAACCAAGGGTCCTGGGGCATCTGCAACGGAACTCACGTGGCTCCGCTGCCACTGTTGCACAGTGACAGACCTGGAATCCGTGGATTCCTCAAGAACAAAGGTGTAGTTCGCACATGAAAAACGCACCGCGCTCGCACGCGGTTTCAACACGCAAGGTCGGAGCTCAAGACGTCTGCGGGGAGGAACATCAGTGGGACTCATGCTTTGGTGGAATGCTCATGGAACATGTTTCCAAAATGCTGTGACTCACTCCAAGTATGATCTACTGAGCCGCTTCTGCTGAGCCAATGAGCTCAGTATCTGGGACCCCTCAGTACTCCATAAGGGTCCCTTCACAACAGTCATGTGCTAATCGGTGTGGGGAGGCTTCGATTCACAAGCGAACCCAATTGTTTTGGGGATGGGCTGATGGGCCGGTTTTGTTTCAGGCAAGTGTCACTCAAAGGAATCACCCCGCCTAAATCAAATGGGAGTCCCACTCATATGATATCAATCATACCTCATCACTAGTTCTGCGAAGTCCCAAGGGAACACCCTGCATTTCCGCCTCATCTGGCTCCACTCTGCTTGATTCAACGCCCGTTGTCGCACGGCGTCACCATACCGCTTCTCATACCGCATACCGCTCACCCGCCTCCTCGCTCTGTGAACCCAGCTCGGCCAGGCAGATGGCACAGATCTCGCCCTTCTCCGGCCGCGTCTGGGTGTCCACGCGCCGAATCTCACCTTGTGAGGTCGGTCGTAAGCGGCGGTTAGGTGCCTATATGTTGCCAAGACCTGTTTAAGTAAGCTCTTGGCGATAAAACGGTCCACCACATAGATTTCAAGAGTTAAGAAGCATCTACAAGTGTCACTAATTATACTATGGCTTAAAACAATCTGAAATCATTTTTGGCAGGTCACTATTACCATAAGCTTCACTGCACTTTAAAATCCTCAAACATCCACAACCAACTAACCAACCAAAGTCGTTGCTACATGTCCCCCCGAGCTGCTGGCGATGACGTTCAGGTTGTTACTTTTTCCATCCTCCCGCCATGCGAAGGCCACCGTGATGCGGCTCGTGGGGTCCTGCCATCGGTCCCACGTCCGGTCGAGAGGTCGACCGAGGTCCGGTCCTGGGGAAGAGGGAGATCCCTTAGGTATATCCAGGCCAGGGCAATATCCATTGGGTCTATCCTATTACATCCGTTCTTACCTGTAACAGTGGATGATGATGGTTAGGTTGCGGGCCTAGTTCCAACATTATGATAATGGTTTACTGGCTGTTACAGGTAAGAACGGACAGACCCTAAATATCCATGTATATCCCAACCTCCTAGAGCTCCATGGATGATGATGCGGCCTGGGCAAGCAGGCCTGAACACATCTCTAAAATAGTGAATCAATGTGAATCATCTTGTATACTGACCGTTAATCGGCAGTTACTGGTACTTGTAATGGGCCCCTATGGGCCCTCTAGATATCCCCCCACCTCTGGATTGCTCCCGCTGGTAAGCAGCTAGACGGTACCTTTTGAGGGAAGAGCAGAAACGGGCTTGCATCATGGTCCAAAATGGTCATGTCAATGTTTTGTTTTTTTGGGGCGTTGCATTTCTGGTCTTGCAGCCGGCCCCTTCAGGACCTCGGCGAAGGCCCTGCTGACCCACTGCTGATCCACAAACATATGAAATCAGGACCTCAACGGCCCAAAGAGATTCCAGTAGGTGCCAATACGGGGTGTAGGATGCCGGACCCGGTGTTTTCCCTGGTATGTCATCCGCTTCACCGGCTTGAACCACCACGCCAGCCACGCACCCAACATACGAGCGCAAAAGTCGCAGTCGCAGACAGACCGTCAGCCGCTCTCCTGGCCAGAGGGGCCCACCACGGTGCCCAAAATGTTCGCCCGGACCACCACTTTGCCACCCACGCCTGTAGGCCCGTGGGTCGCGAAGATAGCATCGCCCAAGGCGGACGATCCGGTGGGCCGAAAGGGAGGGTGCTCCTGTGCCGAGCTCGGACGAAACCGCCAAATCACCGGAGGTCCTGAAGTCGTAAGGGACCAGAGTGTCCGACATCGACCGACGGACCGATGTGCGAGAGGTAGTAAGATGTTGTAAGGGAGAATTCAGGTGAAGGGTCAACCAGCCCACTCCCAAGCCCCATCTATACCATGTCTTACCCCTTTTCTTGAGATACTAAGGGTTGTGCTGGTAAACCAACCAACTAACCAACCAAATTGGACATCCTTAGACCTTGCAGATCCTTGCAGGCTTTGCTGCAGGCTTTGCTGCCAAAGAGCGCAAATCGCGCGTGGCTGCCACTGCATCTCCGCGATTGTAGCCTCCTCCCAGGGAGAAGTGACGTAGCATGACTCCAATCCGTGGGTCGAATGCATACTGCGCCCTATTGGTGTCAATGCAAGTTTCAACTGTTGGCATCTGTTGGCTGGAAGGCAGCCACGGTCCTAGTATTTGTACTATATTCAGTCGGCTAACATACTTGTATTATAAATCAGTTTTTGTAAAAATGATGTACAGTAATTAATGTGTTTTTAGAACTTGTCAAGTCTACGTTGTGTATACTCAGTAGGGTCTTACTCTCGTGCCCCTTGCGCCTGCGAGCGCAGGCCCCGAATCTTCAGTGTCATCCTCTCTTTCAGGCCTCAGGCCAGTGCATCAGGTTCTGGACTACACGTGCCTACTCAAAGTGCCACTTTACAGCTGCTAAACTAAACCTTCCAAGGAATGGGACATTTCAATACATTCAGCAACAAATCAAAACATTAAAGATCATTCAAGTCAGATAAGTGACAGTAACAGTTACAGTTACAAGTTTGCCCGGAACTTTGTTGCTGCATACCTGTGCGATGTTTCCCATGTATCCCTTAAGTTGTATAGTGCCTGTGTGTGTGCCAGCACGTCTTTCATTGAATCGACAATGTGATTTGACGCAGTGAACATCAGTGAACCCTGTGGTCTGAGCACGTTCCCATCATCTCAACACAAAGAGCCCCCTCCCACATCCTCCCACCCAGTCACACACCCACTTCAGAATTCACCCACAGGAGCAATCCCTCAATGTCACCAAACCGATGCAGCCCACCGGGTGGCCTTTGAAACGGAGCCTCCGAGCCTCCGAGCCTCCCTCCGCCTCGTGGAGCCACGCACGGTCCGACCGGCATCGTCCGCCGAGCGGCTGCAGGGCATCGTCCACGTCCTCCGCCACGGCATGGAGGACTTTCAGGTCCTCCGGCTCCACATGCAGCACCTCGGTCCGGGCGACGACCACCGGCACCAGGCCACTGCTGTGTCCGTGCGACGAAGGAAGGAACGAAGTATGAAGAAGCAGACGTATAGGAGCCACAAAGACGAGGTGCCGAACTTGGCGGATAGGAGTGCCCATATTTCCTCTCACTGGATGGGGTGACCATTAGCCACCCTGACATGTGACTCTTGGAAAGACGTTGAGTTCTGACCCTTGGGTGCTGGGAGCCGAGACGCCTTGCATGTTGAGACCGGTGCATCGACCTGCTGCGATGCGTCGGCCAAAAACACACTCCTTCGGGCCGCGGCTTTCCGGGCCAAGCCGCCACTTCTTCGGAGGAGTCGGCGCACTCGCCGCTGCTCTCGGCGGAGGAGGAATGGAAGCGCACCGCCACACGGCTGGACTGCGAGCATGAGGGGCCCACCACCATGCCTTGAGCGCCTGGAAGTCGCGTGGCTCACGGGATTTTTTCCTTGGGAAGGCACACGACTTTGTGGATTCCACGAGTTTTGGGGTGAAACGTGTGGGATAGGAGCTTCTGTGCATTCCAAATTTCCTGTGAGCTGCCCAGGACTCAAAATAAGCAAGAAACACGGACACCAGGGGAACATCTTCACACCCTGACACATTCAACGCATTCAACTCCTTCGCCGAATTGGAAGACGTAGACGTAGACCAAGAAAATGGATCCCTGAAACGATCTTCCTACCCCTAGAACGCAGGGGAACTCTTCCTCCAAAGCAAATCAAGTTTGGAGAATCCTTGAGTCTGAGACGCGGCCACTCTCATTTATCCGGCCACTCTTCAAATCCATCTGGACATAGACTTCCAATCATCTTCACATACTCATGTGGGGGGGGTCTAGTCCGTCTCCTTCCAAGAATCTAGAACCTGAGTGGGCCCTATTTTGGACCACCAACCACCCAAGATTATTATATGGTCCTTTCATGTCCTTTCCTATCAAAACAAAGGTCAAAAGGGCTCTCGGTATATATAATGTAGAATGTAGACTTTGTTGCTGAATTAAAACCACCTACATATTAGGAGACTCCCTACAATCCCAACTTGAGTGTTTCATTCATGAACCGTCTACATTTAAGTCATCCCACCATGCTAAAGTCTTAAGTCTTCCGTCTCCATGACCAGCCCGCTCCCGGCGGGACCCGATGCCTTTGGGCACCACCAGGAGCTGTCGCAGGGCGGCGACCCGATCGCCCGGGACTAGGCCGCCCGTGCAGGGCATGTGCCTCCGAGGGGCGGCGGACGTCGTGCGTCGTGCGTCGGAACGTCCTCCGCCGTTTCGTCGTCTCTTCGGCGTTCGCGGTGGTCTTTTTCGGGTGGGCGCGAAGAAGGGAAACCGTGGCGCGCAATTGAAAGAGCGAGGCTCTTTGAAGCGCTTTTTGGGGCTTCGGAACTTTGTGCTGAGGATTTTGGAGGAACAGGTGAAAGGGGGTTTGACAACTTGACTGGAGAAGTGACTTGGAGGGTGTGTGTGTTTTTGTATGTTTTTGTTGTGTTTTGCACAGGTTGGTGGGTCAAAGCCTTCTATCGACTTGATATTTGGCAGGGACATGACTGGACACTGCTTACAGGGCCTACGCTTGGGTGGCTAGAAGATCTACTTTCCATTACTGTCACTGTCAGGATGAGTTTTTTGCATGGTCCATTTTGATGATGTAAAGGCTGCCGCGAAGTTGTTTGATATGCCCATTGGTGAGAGGATGAGTGAATGGTCTTGATTTCATAATATGGGGGGTTTGAGGGTATTTCTCAGGCTTCTGCTTGGAACACATTGTGGCAATGGTTTGCCTGTAGTTGTGCACGTGCTGCGTGCTGCATGTGTCCTTTGCAGGGGTGTCTTGTCATGGGGTAGTTCTTGCTTGGGCTGCAAATTCTGGGAGCAATCCAGGCAGCAAACAATTGGCTACGCCCTTGGTAATTTAAACAATGGTATCACGGTATCCTGGTGTTTGGATATTGTCTTTTCCATCCTCCTGATTCATTGCTATTGGGCAAATCTAACACAGTGAAGCGCAGTCCGTTCAAGGTTCACATACGACAGCCGCTGCAGCAGGTTCAAAGCAAATTGAACAACCCGTTTTCCGGTTTGCCATCACGTACATGAATCTGCTCAAGCACATTCAAACCTCTGATTTGTTGTTATCAATAACCGAGTGATATCAATAACATCAATTCCCGCCACTTAAAACACCCGGCCCCCCACAAACGAGAGAATTCCCTCATTTTTACAGATGCAGGTGCTGGATTTCGGCCGGGACCACATTCCTGAGACGTGGCCGAAGACGTGCAGCTGGTGGGGCGTGGTTCCCCCTACTGTGAAGAAGGCGATCCTTCCAAACAAACGCTTTGACTAGAGTCGAGGTAAGGATTAGGATATATTAGGATGCAAACCGTTGAACATGTTGTGCGCCTTCCCAAAAAGCTATGACTCTCTCTCTGTCCAATAGCTGGGGCTACATCCAGGCAGGTTCCATCTGTCCAAATCAAATGAAGCAGTCAGATGGCAGTCTCATTCAAACGGGACATCAATCCATACACTATATACCCCAGACGCTCCATGTATCCAATATATGCCTACATTGACCCCCCAAACCACCCCAATGTAGGCATATATGGCATACATGGAGTGTCTGGGTACAGTTATTTACTGCTATGTTATTTTGCAAACATAGCCGCTTCAGCATGCTTCAGCGCTTCATATGACGCTTCTGTCCCAAAGGGTCTTAGCGCCTACCGCATAGAAATACATAACACCATCTGTTTGGAACATGCAGGCAATTTCAAAAAGCAAAAAGTACCCTCTGACCCCATCATGCACAGAATATTGCCAAAACGTCACAAATCGGCAGCCCCTATCACCAAATGCCCAAACTGGTAGATTGCTCCATGTCGCCTCCAAACATATCCGTGCTTCAATCTTCACGAGAAGACTAGTGCGGCTAGTGCAAAGGTATATACTACCATTGGCGGTACCATGGACGGACCTCTTGCCACTGGTAGTACCACGGCTGGTAGTACCACTGGTAGTACTACCACTGGCGGTACGGACCTCTTTCCATCCTCCTCCATCCGCTCCCGTCGGCCCCAGCGGCAGGTTGTTGCTACGGCCGTCTTCTCGACGAGTGAAGCACACCGTGACGCGGCCTCCGGGGTCGGTGGCACTTTGACCCACCACGGTGCCCAGCACGTTCCTGGGCGCAGCCGAAGCCCAAAACACCGGCATGGGCGGAAAGCCATGCGCGGCACCGGTGGGATATTCAGTAGTAATGTTTTGCATGTACATGGTTCAAGAAGGTTCCAAGTGCATAGGTGGACACGTCCACAGCAAAAGAATCCCAAAAGGACTGTTTTGGGTTTTTTGAGTGGGACCACCAGCAAGCCAAATGAATCTGTCTTTTCATATGGACTTAGTAGTGGAAGGAACGTAATTCATATTTTTTGAGCAAAAGCAATGAGATTCCATGAGTCAAACGCACATCCGCAGCATCCTCTGCCTGAAACAGCCATGGAAAATTTATGGGATTGTTGAAACTTGTTTACCTCTACTGCCCAGCACATGCTCATGAACCCCCTTTCCAAGCACATCTCAAAAGAACACATCCACAGGTCCACAAGTGCATGTCGTTTCTCAAAAGAGCTCACCTCCTTCTGGTACATGCCCATGCCGACCCCCACCTTCTGGTACAGGCCCTAAGGCGGCGGGGGGTGCCCTAAGGCAGCCAGCTCTGCTCTGCCCCCCCCCCCCCGCAGCCCTTCAAGGCCCTAAGGCCCACTGAAGCCCTTCAAGCCAGCTCTGCTCTGCTCAGCTTCTGCTTCACGACCACCAGACCTTTCACTCTCAGATCCTTCGCCGCTAAGACCGTCTCGCCCCGGCGGAAGCCGCCCGCGATCCTCGGTCCACCGTGCGAGATTCGAGGCGCGGAGAAACAGCGGTGGGGGTTGGCTTAACGGCAGAACAAATGGCAGTCCGTTCATGCACATGTCAAGTACCAAGACCAAGGAATCATACTTCTTAGATCTGATTGTACCTCTAACCACAGGAGTAGAAAGAATATGACATGCGTGGGTTCAATTGATATTGCATCGCATGTGCTGAAGAATGCACTCGGATGTGATTTCGGAACATGCTTCTCTTGGCTTCAAATGGGCAGTGTTTCAACACAGGTTCCAAGAAGAAGAACCCCTCAAAAAATTAAGGCGACTGCAACTATAGGGGTCTGGAAACCTGGGTAATGGGTACACGCTCTATATATCGAACATTGTTTGTCCAGCATCGGCCACTCCAACATAAAGTGGTTTGCCTTGTATATAGGAAAGCCCATTGCCAACACATCAAAAAAAGAACAGTTAAACAGTGATCACAGTGGCGAACGCCGCACAATCCGCAGCCAATCCGCATGACCCGACGATGGACAAAAGATCAGGTGGGGGACATGATGGACGACGCCGGGAGTCTTATTGGGTTTTTTCTTCAGCATGTTCAGCAACTGGCGACAGCATCTCCAATTCGCATCTGCAAGAGGTGCTGATTCTTGATCCCAACCGGTAACCCACTCTCCCTCTCTCTCTCTCTCTCCCCCCAATCGCTCCCGAGGCTCATAAGCCTCAAATCATCTGAGTGGGCCTCGCGCTCCTCAGCGTACGATACGCTTCGTACGCTTCGACTCGCCCCGTCGCCCCAGTGAGAGGGGGCGCTTTCTGGTTCTCGGCTGGGGCGCTTGTGTTCTGGGCCTTTGGGAGGGTTGTGACGTCGATCGCAGTGGCTTATATGTGTTGCTTATTTGGTTTCTGTGCGATCCCTACACCATCGCCCAGCAACAGCTATCAAGACCACATCTTGTGACCAGTGAGGTGGCAAACATATGCAAACCCCTCAGGCGTTCCGTCTCTCTGGAAGGTTCAAAAAATAGACCAGTCTGCCCAGCGCCAGGGGTCTCCCTATTCGAATACACACCCCAAATCATGCAAATATCCCATATCGATCGTTTGATTTTGATCTGGCACTGATGAACTATAGCTTCATGTCTTCGACCGAAACGCTTTCACCCCAAGATGGATCCTCCGATCGTCGCAGCCGACGACGCATCTCACAACGGCCCGACCGGTACGTCGGTCGGACCGAGGCCACGGTGTACCGGCGGTCCGGTCCTGAGTCCACATCCATGGAGCTTCCATGTCACCCACTGGGCCGTTTGGGCAAGCAGGCCTGTCCATCCTCTAAACAGGCCGTCATGTTCTGAACGTGGACGGAGACTGACTGTTACTATAGGCTATAGGCCGGCATTTGGACTATGCCCATGACAAACCCAAACTCCATGGAGTTGCTTGCGGGTGACCTACCCACAGTTCCATGGAGGCCAGGCTGAGGACTCCATGGAGGGTGCGGGGTGCCCCTAAGAAACCACTGGATGGAACTGGTGCATGGATGGGTCATACGAATGGAGTACATCTCTGGCAACTCTTCCAGTTTCATCCACTATATCTACAGGTACCATGTAACTGGGTTTATGATCTACCACAGAAAAACAGGTCATCCTCCAGTTTCATGGGGATGCTCCAGGTATCTTCACCTCTCACCTTTCACCGAGCCTCTGGGGGCGCTCCTGCTGGTGGGGCGGAGTCCCAGCGCACCAAAATCCGCGCCAAGGGCTCATCCTGCGCGGGGCCCAGCACCGTGCCGATGGAGCCGGTAGGCACCGGCGCCAGGCGGTCGTAACCTCGGCCGCCGGGCCCACGGAAGTAACTGACCCGTGCCTTCACATCCAATGGAATTGTCAGAAATTGGAACTAAACCCCAAACTAGAAGGTTTTTTTGCCTCCCGGAGCCGGAAACCAACACACTCTTGCTGCTTGCTTTGATGTGAATAGTTCGGAAAACTTGAACCTCGATCCGCGAGGTTCTGGGGGGCCCAGGGGGCCCCCCCCCGAGCGACACGGAGCTCCACACCTCCACCGAGCAGCTAATGGGCCGCGCCGCCTGGACACGAGCACCCACTTCTAAATTCCCAGCCAAATACCTGACGGGCAGCGGGCCGCAGCTCGGGCTGCCCTTGCTGGACACAAGAGAGAGAGAGGGAGAGAGAGAGAGCGAGAGAGAGAGAGCGAGCGCGCGCGCGCAGGCGACAAAAACAGGAACACGCATGGAAACACATGAAAACAGAATACGCATCAGTGGTCCACAAGTACCTGTACGTAAGTTTACCTATAGACTACTATCTAATTATGTATCTTTGTTGATTTTGGAGGGAAGCGGGGGGTGCTGCTTTACGAATTCAACACATTGCGAAACACATCTAAACATGGCGTTCCGGTGTAGGATCCTATCCCTCAACCTAGTAGTGAAACCCATGGCTGGATCGACCCCCAGCTGGACACATTCACCCAACACAACACAACAGGCCTGAGGGAAGTGACGCAGAGTTGACCCAGGCATGTGAAGACAAGGAGCATGTCAGGCGTTGTGGATAACAGAATGTAAATGAATGTAATGTAGAGTCTTAAGGACTGAAAAGCAAACATTTGGATTGCCAAGCCTGTTCACATGGAGTGCTTTATTAATCAAAAGTCTAGATTATGCTAAATCACTTGCAATGAATACTAATGAATCATTACCATCAGCTCCTAGGTAGAGCCTTCGACTGCACGGCCATGGCGAACCAACAAATTGAAGCAGCCCCCGCCACCTATTCATTGACACACCTCTGCTCACACCTCTGCCCTCTCCGCTGTTCTCCAGGTGGCAGCTTGATCTCATTGACCACGCAATTCAAGCGGTTTCGGCTGCTATCCTTGGGTGCTTGAACCCCAAGGAGAACCCCTTTCAAAACTTTAATCTCACATCTTCCCAAGAGAAGACACATCTTTCCTGATGGTTTTTCTATTTTTTCAAAAACGGTTTCCGGTGAAATCGATGCAGTTTTTCTCCTGGAGAATGCTTCGACTGCCAAGTCTCCTCCCGATGGCTGAAGCTCACCGTGACTCTGTGCTGGGAATCCTCGGCCGTGAGAAACGCGCGGGGTGGCGGGGTGGTGGGGCGAAAGAAATGGAAGAGACCAGGAGCATCCCACGGGGATTGGATAAATTTACTGTAGATCGGATTGATATACCTCATGAAAACTGAGAAAAACTCAGTGGGTAGGTACGAGTCTTAAGGTGTTATTTGGTAAGCCAACGGTGTGATCTTCGGTAACTAGACCTATAGGTCACCGTAGGTATCTACTCCATGGATCTCCATACATGGATGGCCTGGGAGAAGAAGAGCCCCAGCCTCACCAAGTTGGAGACTTCAGCTGCCTCACCAAGTCGAACGGCCCTGACTCAGGAACATCCCCAACCTCCCGGGTGAATAATGTAAGGAAGCGAATCGAAGCCAGCCAACATCAGCCAACCATCTAATCTAGACGGCTAAAATGCATGTTGATTCTATTTCAACCTCCCACCTTCAAACATCTCAGACGGCCCATTTTAGGCGGCCGTATGGTGTGATTCTGAATATGATTGACTATGATGACTATGGCAGTCATGGGTCACATGGAAAAAACCTATGGCAGTCCACCAGCGGTTCGGCTTCCACCCGGTGACCCGGTCACACCACGCGGGTCCGGTCCGGTCACCGGTCGGTCGTCCCTCGGTCGGGTGGTTCTGCCAGGTCACCGAGTGACTGGGGCCCACCACGGTGCCCAGCACGCCCTCCCGGACCACGACCTGGACGACGCGCGGGCCCGTTTAGAGTGGAAGCATTTGAAAGCAAATGAAACCAAACCCACTCATTACATCTCCCAAACCACTCCGGTTCCACTCCAAGACTTACTCCAAGTCAAGTGCCGGGTCCCACCTGACCATTCACTCGGAGGTCTCGGGTGGCGATCACCGCGTTACCCCGTCGGAAGTTCCCCGGGATGCTGCTCTCCACGTCCTGTGGGTCGCACACCAACTCTTCCTCGGGGCGATGGACCAACGCGGAAGTGTCGGTCGGGGCCTTGTTTTGGAGGGAGTGGTCCCGGTGTTCAGCCTAGACCTGGGGGGATGTAGGTCAAGGAATGAAGCATGTAGTAAGTTGTGGACCTGCCCTGAAGCGGATGTCTGCGTGGTGTTTGGCAAGATTTTTTGTTCTCAGACTCTTCAAAGCTACAGCAGGGGTTGCCAACCCCAAGCACAAGGGAACAAAATCCTATGAAACAACACTACAGTATATCAATCTAAATCATACAATATACATAATACAACCAGGTTCATTCAACCACTGGGGCCAGTGGGGGGCCACCATCATGGCTATGTTTAAATTGTTGTTAGTTCCGCCGCAAATAGGATATCCGTCAGGATCCATGCAGAGGCATGAGTCCAATTGGCTACCAATCACGACTCTTCCACCTTTCTGTGGAATCACATTTCTGTCAAGGTTTGACACCTACACAGAGAAGGCCCAAATATTTACTCTATATATCTCTATATAATGACTTTGGCTATCCTACTGAAGTGCATGGCTCTGCAGAAACTACGAGCTCTGCTCACCAACATGAGGCATCGTGGGGCCAAGAAAGACATCTCATATGGTCCAGTTGCCCTTTTCCATCCTTTTCCCAAGCATGCACAGTGCCACTGGTCGAGGTGCCAACCACAGAACTGCGGACTCAAAGGATCTTAAGAAGTTGGTGATAAGCATCTCTGATCGCAACACCTGTGAGTCCCCGTTCCTGCCCCTAAGAAAGAGCGTGAGAAATCGATTCCTCCTACACGTCCATTCGTCAAAAGCATCATCCAATCATCCAGCTCCAACACACCACACGTCCGAAACAGGACTCACTCCAAGCTGCTACATGATCCTGACCGTTCAGCGCGAAGCGGACGAGGAGTCGCTGGAACAAGGGATCCCGGGCAGGGCCAATCACCACCTCAGTTGAATGAGAGAGAGAGAGAGACGGTGATTGGCAGTGGTACCGTGGTACCATGTGCTAATTACTGGAGCCAGAAATTCTGCAGCAAATCTTTACAACGGTTTGGTAGATTTGGGTGGTGCCAAGTGGGGTAGAATGCCTACGAGTTCACGGGACGTGTGGCCAAGCACTGGATTCAAGTCGTGAGCTGCCCAGGTCCGCCTTATGCGGCGTGACAGTACTTCGGTCTAGGAGGGGGTGTGCAATTAGCACCTGATCGGGTGCAAATCTGGTTGAGTCGGGTCAGGTGTATCGAGTCCGGATTGTCCCAGAATCCGACCTGCCTTCACCGATGTCCTTTTTGGGAAGAGAGGGTTGGTGCCAGGAACCCTTTCTACTTCTCATTGAACGTGGTGCTACACGACCCAAGGGGATCGGGGGTCCCCTGAAGGGCGGCCAGTCGAGCTCCGAGCGGCACCAGAGCAGCCAGCTGGGATGGAGGTCCCTGCAGGAGACTCTAAGGTCCGGTGGCTACGCACGCGGGTGCCGGCTAAGTAGCCGCCCGCCAAGGTGTGCCTGACAATGGGGTGACCGCTGACAGCGCACGCGTTTCGGGTTGCCATTGGAAAAAAGGGGTTTGAGGGAAGAAAAGGATTTACAGGAAATGGTTCGGATTGTTTTTTTGAACCAAAACCTGTTGATCTCCGTCTTGTGGATGTCCTGGTGTCCACTTCGGCTAAGGGGTGCTCCTCCTCCCTCCAGAGTCCGACCTAGAGACGAAGTCGTCCGATGAGCGTCCCAAGATGTCCCAATCATTCGAGGGCCCCGCCAGTTGATTCAAACATAAATACAATGATCGAGTGATCGAGTATTGATTTGTAAAACCCCTCCCTAGCTAGAATGGTCTCACACCTCCTAGCTTGGGAGGGCTTTGTGCATCAACAATCTACATGATGATACATGGAAGCTACGGTGCAATATGTGTTCGATGAAGAAGCTACACCCCTGGCAGGATCAGTTCAGACATGTCCGTCTCGGTAAGAAAGCGGAGCATCCGAGCATTTCGAACCATCAGAGCTACATTCCCTGACAGCCCTGACATAAACATGGAAGTGGACAAGCAACGGGACCGAGTCAGAAAAATGATTGCACCCTGGAAGATTAACATAGAACCTGAAAACCACTGGGTTGTAGAGGAAAGTAGCCTTCCGTCCAGGTCCATGCCATCAGGTTCCATGTGGGTCTCTTCCCGGGTAATCGGGGCCATGCCATCCACTTCAATCACATATTTCTGGATATTTCAAGGGGTGCAGTGAATTTGATGATATTTTGGGCAAACATGTACGAGACATACACAAGTTCCAGTGCCACTGGATCTGACCCTCATCTGGCTGATCCCTCCATCCGCCTGAGCTCATCGGGAAGGCAGTTCAAGCGATTCCTTAGGAAGTTGCTCAGCGGGGACTTTGAAGATCAACAAGGCAAGCAACACCTTGGGTCCTGCAAGATGATTCAGCAAGAACACCTGTACTGAGAGCATCGTAGCATTTCCCATGCATCCACTGAGGTTAGTTTAACGGTGGACAATGGTGACAACGGGTTCGGGAACTTCCAAGACAGCACTCGGCCAGCAATACAAGGAGCAAATTATTTTCGTGTGCAAGTTGCGGGGGGAGGATGCGGGGGTGATGCAAGTTCTTTGGACTCACCGAGGTATGCATGGGCCAAGTGCACGCTACTATATATTTGGGTCTGAAAATTACCTGGTGCTTTGGGTATGGGTTGTTACATAAATGCAGCATCTGGCAAGAAGTCAACAAAGAACGACATCTTCTGCACTATCTTCTGCCCCTCCCCCCACGTTGCTCAGTTCCTGAGTGTTGGCCCCGCATGAACAACGTTGACTGTCGATCAATGCAACCCCCGAAAGCCTGGCTGCAGCCACTAGAGGATGTGGGTGTGTATTCTAGTAGTGCGACCCCCCTGGCTCGCTGTGGGTAGACAAAAAGCCTCTCTTTTCCTCAAACCTTGTGGTAAAAGGTCGGAACGCCTGGGAGGTTTCCCGGGGGCCTGGAGCTACATGGCCCATATGATAATGACTCAAAAACTGACTCAAACGTATTCAAGAGTCCACCATCCTGGACCCTCCAGACTGATCCTGGACCCTCCAGACTGATCCTGGACCCTCCAGACTGATTGACTCCATCCCTTGACCCCCTGGACCAGGCTTCTCGCTCTGATCCTCCCGTTGCTCGAACTGCACGCAGATGCGCCCCGATGAAGCTGCAGGGCCGATGACATAGCCACTGCCGCCCTGGCCCCGCGCCGCGCCCCGCAGCCAGGCTGAACGCGGAAGGCTCCGTATAAAGACCCTGAATAATGACCTAACACTGTTGTGTGAGGAAACTTGACTTCTACATATAGTATAGTCTATGGTGGGGATCCATGTGAGCCTGTCGAGGGCGCAACGCTCTTGGAGTGGCCACTTCATGATTCTTTCCCCATACAACTGGTTGACACCAGGAGAGAAGCATGGAATCACTGGAGGAACAGGAATCCAAGCAGTATACCATCCTTCATAGAAATGAGAAATCCGTACAAGAAGAAAGCAAACGAGGCCGCCTTTTGGGTTCCAGACCCTTTTGGACATGAAAACTCCAAGCCATGCTCTCTCCGTGCCCTGAATTTAATTGCCCTAAGAATCCGGGCCCTCAAACAACCCCTCCATATGAGGGTCCAACCCCTGCCATGGACAGCCCAAGGGTTCTTAGGGTGAATATGTATTACATTACTTACGATTTCTCAAACCTATAAATGGATTCTCAAACCGTGGATCACCGGACCGACGGGTCACGGGTCGGCGGACGCGAGCCGAGCCATTCGACTCGACCGAGTCGGAGAGACGTCGAGCTGAAAAGACGTCGCATGTGGGAACAGCTTCGGTCTCCAATCACTTCTCTCTCTCTCTCTCTCTGCTGTATACTAGGGTGAGATGACTTAGGCTTGGTTTTCACAAGTCATTTCAGCCTAGTATATACTCTTCTTGTTTGCTCACTCTTCCATCAACTGGACACCGAACATGTGTCGCTCCTGCGGCGTGCGGCTCGGTGTGCGCCTGGCGGACCACGACCTTGCCCCGGACCCGTAGGTCCCGTGCGGCCACCACGGTGTCGCCGCAGACGAAGCCCAAGAAGGAGTCCGAAGTGGTGACCTGGTCGGGGGCCGGGAGAGAGAGAGACGAACCGAAGTGCTTTGGGGGCGAGTTCCTATTGAGAATGAGGCATACCGTGGACAGCTACACGTAGCTGTAGCTTGGTGCTTGTCAGGTGCATCTGGTGCATCTGGTGTAGGAGTGTAGGAGAAGTCGGAAAAAGTCTTCATGAAGAGCAGCGCCTTCTCCCAAGGCACCCCAAACCCACAGCCTTCGGACTTCGGAACAGGCCCAACCACGGCCCCGTGAAACCAGGATGAGTTCGGCCCCGGGACGGGAGGGGGCAACCAATTAGTAGACGCTCCAGTCGTACCGAACCGTTTCGTGGTGGGTCGGTGGGACTGGGGGCCCGGGTGCCATGTTCGAGTCCAGTCATACCGAACCGAACAGGCACGACTGGAGGTGTAGGGAAGGGCAACGAGTTTGTCGGTGTCCAGAATTGAACCATCGAGCAGGCCTGATCTGTCAATCCATCGGAAAGTGACTCCTCATCCCAACTGTCTATACAACCCATTTTGCAGTGCCGTGAGAGCCTGGCTGAAAAGAGCCCGACAACGCCAAAAGGCTGCATGGCACAACAATGGACCCGGGATGTGGGGGACTGAATACATCATGGTTACGTGGATGGCACAGCCCCTTGGACGACCATGTTCCGCATATCAAACTAAATGGTTTTCCACTTTTTTTTGGGTGGGGCGTATCCTTTCAAGTGGACGGCCACCACACTTTCTTGGGAAAAACGAGTTTTCTCATCATGCTATCAGACTCTCTGTGGGTCTAAGCCGTCAATGGGGATGACACCTGGATCGCTCCGATCGCTCCCAGCCACGTCCGCAGTGTCAGTGGCGCCACCCCCAGTGGCCTCGCGCCGCGAAGACGGCCAGAAACGTCCCACGGCTTCTAGGGGCAACTGCTGAGCTGAAAACCACTGTGCTTTCCAGCGTGTAATTAAATTTAATTAAGAGCACAATGCATAATACATAAGACTATAATTATTGAACACGCTCTCCATGATTCCATGGCACGGAAAAAGATACCCTAAAGCCGAACGCGGCCGGAAACTGCATCTCAACACGTTTCACACCCATTCAGCTGGGACAATGATATCATCAAACACACCCAGCTCAAAACCAACCAAACATCAAAGCAGCCCCAAACACAAAAAGAACCAACCAACGCCGCCCCAAGCATTTCACCAAGCCCAGCGGCATCCGTGGGAGGACTTGGAGGAGTTGGCATGGCAAAAGCGGCCAGCTTCGCTGTGAGCCCACGTGAGCGAAGACGCGGCCGGGCATCAATGGGCGGCCCCTGATCGGACCAAAACGGGCCCTACGGGATCCAAGTAAGTACCTTATCAGAAGATACGACTGGACCCTCCTGGCACCTACATCACAGTGTCTCCTTCTTCACCGTACCTGAGAAGGTATGTGGATCCCTAGGGGATGGTTGACTTTTTGGGGGGACACGAGCTGATGGTGACTGTCGGCTACGGTGGTGTGGGGCCCTGGTCTTTGATGATTTTGTTCCCAGGTCAGTAGCTGGGTCGAATGGTGAACAGGTGGTTTCCATTGGTGGCTTCAACTGTCCCAACACCAGTGCCAAATCTAATTGAACAACTGGTTGGTGGCTTCAACTCATTGGTGTGGGTAGGTTCAATCAAGGCAAAACAAATTGAAACCACCACCCAATCCTCCGTCCTTTACACCGAGCTGGTGGTTGGGCCCGCCTCTGCTCATGAGACATTGCGACATGCCTCTGCTCTTTTTTTGCTGCTGCATGCTGGTCAAGAGGTACAGCACAGGTCTGAAATCACAGGCAACCGCCAAAGTTGGCCAGTTCAAACCGTTGCCAAGGAAGTTATAAAACCAAGTATAGTGATTTCAGAACAAATGGCACAACCCCCAAGATGTCCTTTACATAGGGGTCCATATAAACCACCGAACTTGGGGATTGTGCCATCAACTCTGAAAACCACTCTAATTGAAGTTCCCAACGTTGGCCACCTTCGTCCCGCCCCTTTCGTCCTGGTCGCCCTTCGTCCCGCCCTTCGTCCCCACCGGGCACTGAGCCCGGCACCCAGACCGCTATTGGGTCCTCGGACGTGTCCCACCGGCGAACGACGCGTTCCGAACGATCCAGTAGCGTTGTGCATTTCCCAAACTGGACTGAAGCAATTGGATATAGTCTCAGCTATGCAGCTAAGCAAGTGATTCCACTCATATCTACTTGGTTTTTTGGATGGTTTTGGTCACTTAGCCGTACCAGCCTGCGGCCCTGTATATCTGCGTGTCCGAAAGCCGCTTGGATGTTGAACATGACGTCCTGAAGCATATCACCTGACCTGGAATTCATGCTTTAAACATCTTTAAACAGGCACCAGCTGAGAAGGCTTTACAATCCATGTCTGGAGGGGGTTTTATTCCAGATTCCAGATTGATCAATTCATCCAGATTCCAGATTCCAGATTGATCTAGATTGTACCTTGTTTTTACCCCTCAATGCCACTGCCGTGCCTTTCGACCTCGCTTTGCTGTGCTGTACCTGCTGCCGCCCCAGTGGCGCGAATGCGACGGCGAGCTGAGCTCCACGGATCCAGCCTGACGGCAGATCACCGATGTGGAGCCTTTTTACCCTAGCCTTCAAAGAACTTTAACAACATGGTTGACCTGGTTTGGTTGACCTGGTTGACCTTCAAAGAATGGTTGACCTGGTTGAACATTAAAAAGGTGACCTGGTTTGGTCATGTCAAATCCTTGTAGTAAAAGAATGGTTGCTTAAGTTGCTTGGCAAGAAAACATTGGAACGATGGTGGATTGAGAGTAGATTGGACAATCCCCAGTTGGGGGGTGCCAGTGCCACCATTGTATTTGGATGTATATGATGTATTTGGAGCTGAAGCTCGTTTAAGCATCTCCTTCCATATAGTGTGAGCTTGAGTCCTGTATTCAAGTGATCATGCATGTCATGATTGATGAGTTTGCAGAATTAAGCAAACCCCAACTGCAGTCCTAGGCTCTTCACATCCAATGAGCATGCTGGGTAGGTGTACTCGGACAGGCCTGTTCCAACTCGATGAGCAAGAGCATGAAAGAAAAAAACAACTTCTTGGCTCTGCTACAGTAGCGTTTGCGATACTTTGTCGTGTTTCATGCATACATGTCACCTTGTCAGTGCATGACGTGCAGTGACACCCACGTTTGTTTGTCCTGCACTCTGTCGCAATCCTTCCCCATGCAGTGCACCCATGGAGCCCAGAACAAACCACTTGACTTGATCCCCATCAAACCCCGAAATCTCTTCGGGTCGCGATAAACCTTCGCCGGCCGTCTGGGGAAGCAGCTGGTCGTCTAGCCACCAGTTGTTCCCAAGGAATGCCCCGGAAGGTGCCCAAAAGAGGGAGTGGATTCGATGCGATGCTCAAGGCACCCGTGTACCCTCGGTTCGTGAACTGCACCCCGTCTACCCTGCAACTCCTGGTATGATGCTCTTTAATGATACATCAAGGGCCACATGGACTCTCCAAACCTTTTTCGAGGTTTGGACGCTCGAAACCACTCGAGTATGCTCGAGTTTTGAGGATGTTTTCCGGGTCCATGTGGTTCCGGAAATGGTAGCAACAAGGATCAACAAGGTAACAAGGTATACCATCCCTAGGGTTCCAAGTACCTTCTAAGAAGTCCAAATTACCTTCTGGGGAGGTACCAACTGGAACCCAAACGGGGGGCATGGTATGCCTCATTCAACCGGCGCTGTTCCTTCGTTCGCCCCTCGGCCGCGCACCTCCGGCGGCAAGCGCTGCAGGCCTGGAGCCGCAACACACCGGCGCAAAGGCCATACTAGGTGACCGTGGCGCGTTCACCGCGGGTTGGTTCAGCCGTCAGGTTTCTCAGGTTTTGGGGGAGACCGCGGTGTTGGAGAAAAGGCATGAACATGCATGGAACATGCTCAAGAAACCGACAGAATATGGTGTAGTTCCAAAGAGTTGCGTTTGATTGATCAATGAATGAGGCTTGCCCTGGGTAGTGAAAACAGTGTCAAAACGGGCCAACCACCCCGAGTGGAGGAACATCTGCTTCCAACCACCTCGTTTTGTGTAGTCTGGCACAGTGACACAAAAGATACAAAAGAACATCTCCCCCACAGGGGTTGGGGCAGCCCCTCCCTTCCCCTCCAAAAATGCAGCAAGTGGTCCAGGCAGAATGAACACCGTCCTGGCTGCTTTCTTCACCCCGTGCAAGATGTAACCCCCGTGCTCTCGTTCCAAAGAGCACTGGGCCACCCTGGCCAAAGCTTTCGCCAGTCCTGAGCTGCTGTGGAGTGAAAGCTGGTGTCCACAAGGTGCCAACAAACATGCTTCCCCTTGATGGTGGAAGCCCGCCACCACCAAGCGAATATCCCATCTCTTCCATGTTTCGACATTCCTAGCTGCAGAAGTTCGTCGATGGCAGGCTCTTGATGATTTTGCAACTCTTCATAGGGGGGTTGATCAGCACCATGGATCAACAATCCGACTGACATGGACGGTCTTCCCATCCAAAACCCGAAATGCGGCTCTTTTTCGACCCTGGCCAACCAAGCGACAACGGTGCTAAGACGAAAACAGCGAATTCACATCCGCTGAAAATGAGTTGTCTGCACGTGGCAAGGGTAGAATGTATTGAATAAAAGCCGCCTGAAAGTCTGCGACCACTGACTTCAAACCAAATTCTTCCAACCATTTCACCCTCAAGCCATGGTCGAATGACTTGTCCCCTGTCATCAACACGGCCCCAACAGAGGAACTGGCATGCAACAACTCTTGTGTGTGGCACACTGGTTCAGCGGATGATCTAAACCGCATGGCCCCTTCCAATCATCCAGAGCACCAGGGTGCCCGTCTTTCAGGGTGAGAAAGAAACGAAACTAGATGTCCAGCGAAAACAGGCTCCAAAACACCACTTCGGACAGGACTTCGATGTCTTTGCATCCACCACTGGCTCCTTCGTAGAGCCAGTGCTTCCAGCATCGGAGAGCAGAGAATCCACATCGAGCGAATGGTGCCGTTCGCGCAGTTGATGGTGCCGCGCTTACAAGCGCGGGCGTCAGCGGAACTGAAGCCTGCCGGAGTGCCAAGGAAGGAATTAAATTGGAAGCTCGTATATTATATACCACCTGTTTAGAGGAAAATGGTCATCGAACACCCCTGGGTCATTTTCCACTGCCAGGGAGTGTAAACTGAATTGGACCAGGTTGCAACAACTTGAGGTGGGTCGAGTCGCAAATCCGCATCTAATGTTGTGGGGTGATCAATGAATGATGACTACTTCGACTACTATAAGTACTACTTACTACTTGAAGCGCTCAGCTGGTGAGTCATCCAATGTCATCTACCGTTTTCCTCATTTGTGCGGGTGCTCCAAAGCTCCCGGACCAAATCGGGTCAAAAACCCAGAAACCAAGTCATCGTCCACCTCCTTATACGAACATCTCCCACGCACCATCGTAGAATCTGGTTGCCATATGTTTCCATGTACAGTACCAAACCGGTGAACCCAGGGAGGGCTGCGGGCTAAACCATGCTAAACCAAACCCTCTCCCCCTTCCCCCCTGAGGGCTCAAAGAGTCTCCTTTTTGACACTTCCGCCGTGTGGATGGGTCGGTCGTGGCCGTATGCCCCAGGGCAGCGGCAGCCGTCGGAGTCGAGAGCTGCGAGGCGCGAAGAGCAGGTCCAGGTGCAGCACACGGAAGACGCCCTGCTCGGTGGTGGAAGAAGCGCAGGAAAGGGAAAGGCCAAAACGCTGGTGAGATGCAGTGAAAGGAGTGGTAGTGATTCAAGACTTACTGCAATTGTATACACATAAAGAAAAATAACAAATCATATCAGCATTATCAGCATCGTGTGCGTGGACCTGTCTGGCAGTTGTTATCTTAATAGTTAGGCGTGCAACAATTAAGCATCTCTCGGCTGAAGCCAAGAATTGAAGAACTCCATCTCCAGTTCCCACGATCCACGCGAGCTTGGGAGCCTCCTCCAAGCCACCCCGCCCGGTGCCTCCGAGTAGGTGGCATCCGCCACATCGACCAGCTCGAAGTGATGGGCCGCCATGAAGGCAATGACTTCGCTGAAGGATGGCGCACCCTCGTTGTAAGGCAAGACTGGGGCCTCCAAGAGCACCAGCTGCGCCTCGGGAAAAGGCAGCTTTGATTTGGGGAAGGGCAGTCGGAAGGTGGTGGAACAGTGGAGGCTAAAGAATGAGGTTCCGCAATCCGTACATACAACAGTTATGGCATACAATATGGCTGCGGTGGTGTCGTGGTGCAGCGGCGACATGAACATAAGACCATTCAACCCTTTCAATTTATTGGGGCAAATAGAAGCCATTTTAGTCCACATAAGTGACAAATGTTCATCATCCCTGCCTGAGATAAGGTCTTTAAGCCACCCAGGAGAACTGTGAGCTCTGCGCCCTGCACATCAGCTTTCAGCAAGTCGCAACATCGTTCGCCCCGAAAGACTTCTGAAACCACCTGGCAGGGGCCGTTGAAGCTTCCCGAAGCGGAACGGCGTGGAGACGGGGCCGAATCGACCGATGAAGCTTCCCAAAACACACGATCAACAAAGGTATGATCATCTACCCTACTTGTCAAAGAGCTCATTTTCACTGGAGTTGCTCATTCAATATGACAACTCCATGAGGTTAAGGACTGGCTTTTATTGCATTTTGCTCATTGTCTTGGACCTAGTAGGGGTGTCACCGATGACGGAACATGATGTGATGCAAACCTCCCGGTGCTGGGAGGATCGCATCCAACTTCGATTCTTCTCAGGTCCCCATGTTCCACCCAGAAGTCCCAGAAGTCCGCCTCAATGGACCGATTTAAGATAGCTCAGGTAGCAGATCGATCATGTGAGAAACAATGCTTTGAACATGCCTAGCACTTCCAATGGGTGCCCTGTTTGGAGACCGGTTTACGTAGGGTAGCGGTAGTCTATTGGACACCCAAACAGGATGACCCTGGTGGTTCAGTTTCTGCAAACTTGCAGGTCTCCCCTGTAACTACTTCCCTCCATGCCTCATCCAAGCTTCGTGTCCTTAAGACCAACGTTTCCGCGAAGCGCGGGTCTACAAAGAGGTCGCTGCGCTCGCGGAACATGGAGGCACCCGTGGTGATTTGGTAGCGGGTGCTGTGGAACTGCCGCGACTCGTTGCCTGAACACATCTTCATCTGGCAACGATGAACATGTGGCCTGGTACTTGAAGATGTGTTCAGGCAACGAGTCGTTCGTTGCCTGAACACATCTTCACCCACATCATATCATCTTGCCATTACCATGGCCATCCAAGTTTTGTGGGGTAATGATTGCTGTACGGGTCCTTTGCTTGGTCCATGTGCACATGATATTTGTTGGATGGGCACCCCGCAGCAACAAAGGCGCAGGTCAGGGCTCACCAAAGTTTCCACTGGGGGCGCAGATAGAAGACCATGAAGTTCGGCGAGTTGCATGTATAAGTGTGTTTGGATGGTCATTTTGCAGGACATTGCTGAAATGCTTGAATCTCTTGAATCAGCTTGACCTAGATTGTCAAAAACAGCCAGTCAAAACCGCAGCGGTCTGCATTTTCCCTGCATTAATGTAAGCCTCTTGATTTCTTGATTTTGTTTGCCCACCTCTCACGCCCCACAACATTCCCGGACCACGGCTTCCGCGCCTTTCGCCGCCAGCAGCGCGATGACGAAGGGCTGACCAATGGCTTCCAGCTGCGGCCGGTGAAGCGGGTTGGCCTCGATCATCAAGAACCGCGCGGATGGGAAAACCTGGACAACGGCGGGCGTTGACAAGGAGTACAGCTGGTGACACAGCAGCGTAAACAAGGAGTATATGCCCGGGCAAGCAACTCATACGACCCCACGGGCAGTTGCAAACCAACAAAACCAAGGAACTGGCTGCTGGATTGCCATTGTGGTGTTGGTTTCACCATTACTTAGTCAGTCTGGACTCAGAGGAATAGCATTCTCTGTAATTCCATTCAGGCCCCATGTCGTAGATGCACTTTGATTCCGCATCATCATAACTAAACCCGTTTCCAAAAATACTTTGGATCCTTTGGGCAATCCTGTCTTCTTCGCAGGACAGCAATTACAAGTGGTGCCGGGCAAGCCGGGGGCTGATTTTTTTAACATATTGTTCAACTTAACTTTATTAATAATATGATTATCGAGCCTGATCTTTACATAATATCTTTACTAATTCCCTTCTGGTCTTTGAATGTCTAACTCTACTCTGCAGTCCTCTGCTCTTCTGTTCTTTCCAGCCCTATTTGTATAACGTAACACGGAAGTTTGTTTCTCTTCCAACCCCCCATCCCCTGCATCACCTGACCCTATATACATCAGAAGTTGGAGATTCATGCCATGCACGGAACAATTAAAATGACCCCCAAAAGTCACCGCAACCTCCGGATGGTCCAGACGCATTGCCGTGCCGGACGTTTGCCGTTCGGCGTGCCTCCAGCGCATCGGTGGTCCAGTTCCCCACGTGCGCACCGATGTCGAGGACGTGTCGAGCTTCAAAGCCCAGGCGCTCCTGGAGCTTCGCCGCTTTTGACCAAGACGCTGGCGGGAAGGTGTTGGTGGGATGTGCCGAAAAGCTAGCATGTTGGAAATTGAATCCTAACTTGAGGCCAGGGGGAGGAGGTCGAAAGCTAGCCGAATCGCACCGGATGTACTAGTCACATAGTCGGCAAAGCATGTAGTGAGTACATGTTCTGGGAGGAAGGTTGCTATGTACATACTTTGCGCTAAAGAATGTAAATGTGACATCGCTGACTGGGACTGGGAAGGGTACATTGGAACAACCCGGGTGCACTCGTTGGCAGGCACGAAGATGCGTGATCGGCAAATCTGGGGGGTAAATTTACCCTCCGCTTTTGTATGCCTTGAGGGGTAAGCATTTCTGACATCATACGGACTGTACATACACTAGGGCGTCCGTAGTGTAGGAGAAGCACGGGTAAAAGGTATATGGAATAGAGTGTCTTGAGGAAATAGCCGGCTTATGGTTATTGCAAATCTGGGGGGTAAATTTACCACCCGCTTATGTATGCCTTGTGCCGGAAAGAGGAGTAAGCATTTCTGGCATCACAAGGACTGTGCAAACACTAGGGCGTCCGTAGTGTAGGATAAGCACTGGTAAAAAGGATGTAAAAAGTATCAGGCATAGAGTGTCTTGAGGAAATAGCCTGTGTATGGTTATAGCAAGCCTTGGGAGTAAATTTACCACCCGCTTATGAAATAGGGTAAACAACTTGTAAGGGTGAAGTACAAGTCCTATGCAGCAAGCAGCAGCCAGCAGCAGAAGCAGCCGCCTGCAGCCAGCAGCCAGCAGCAACCGCCAAGCAGCCAGCCAGCAGCACCACGCAGCAGCAGCGCAGCACCAAGCCGCAGCAGCAGCAGCAGCAGCACCACCGGCAGCAAGCAGCAAGCAGCAAGCAGCAGCAGCAGCGGCGTCGTCAGCAACAGCAGCAGCAGCACCAAGCCGCAACAAGTAGCAAAGCATGAACTACCTCAAACGATCTCAAATATACACGCAACTCATTATCATTATACCTATCAGTTTGTTAACTTCTGCATTGAATGAGCCACTCGAACCAGCAAAACGACGCCAACCCTGGACGGAGGCTGAAGGAACGACGTAGCATGGAGGTGAAATGGAGCGTGCTCACCGTAGGACATGCCTTGACCAAGGATTGTCGATGCAAACAATTGCACAAACATATGCACACCTTGCCGCTGTCTGAACACCAGCAGAGCTATCACGCAATTCATTCAGTGGAATGGTGGTATGCACCACAACAATAAGCGAAGCGGCGCAGCTGGGAGTTGAACCGCGGGGGGGGGGTTAGCTTGATATATCAATCTTTAAGGCACGCAGCCCCTCCCACCACAACATTGCTAAAGCAAAGAAGAACTCAGCTAGCATGCTAGCTTTCGTGATTATAGGACTAGGACACCCCAGGTTGTAAAGGAATGTCAATCCAACAAGCTTGCAAGGTGTGGCAGGAGATCTACCTGTTTTTCCAATCCGATGGATAAGGAAATATAAGGAACATGAAGGTACAAATTGATCAACATGTTGTTGGGATGCTTTGATTACAAGCAGCACCATGGGTTCGTATGGGTTTGTACCAGCTATATGCGGAGGGAAACTGATATTATTCCGCTGCCACTCCCTCTATTGGAGGCCAGCAACAAGGTTTAACTGTGCTTCTTCAAGTTGAAACATCTTGAAACCCTGAGATTGGATGACCAAACCTATACCACTTCATGGATCGCCTATTTAAACCTATTTGAGTGCATCTCAGCAATGGCATGTTCCAATTCTTTTTGGGAGACCAAAGTCTTTCATTGGGGACCCTGTCTTGGTCCTTTTTTTCAGCCACTCAGGCTAAGACTAAGAAGCCATACATCCTCGGGCCATCCATCCACCCGTTCGATCCATCCGATTCTCGGCCTTGAAGAAGCGCAGCCGTTGGATCCCGCCGCCTTTCCACCCGAAGATCTCCGCCGGATCCAGATCATCGTCCAGGTCCGCGTGGCAGCGCGGACCGGCGGCCCAGGAGGGCTGCAAGAAGAGGAGCCACAAACGAGCGCCATGAAAGAGCCACATGGCGCCATGAAGGAGTGGCCCTTTTTCGTGGAGAGATGCTGAAGAAGGACGCTGGCAACATCTTGCTAAAATGAACGATCTATTTGTCTAATGCATCTTTGTGTGTCTTCGTGTGTTGAAGCAAACATGATGAATCGTGTGGCCACCATGCTGTTTCGTAGAAGAAGGCCGGCATTGTATGGGCCCACTGGGTTCATTCATGGGCCCATGGGCTATTGAACCTTGTCAGTGCAAACTGGCGCTCTGGCACTTCTACAACGGGTGCTTCATTTGTGTTTCTCTATCGGATAGTGGCCTCCCTCAATTTGCTCCATGGCTTTTCGTGCACCAGTGACCATGTTTGCAGCGGCGCCCGGCCAACGCTTGCGCTTTTCATCGGTTTTCATTGTTTGGGGTGCCCTTGGTGCTTGTCAGTGGGTCACCAAGAATAGAAGGGGCTAGGAATCCTGAGGGGCATGTCAACCCCTTGAAGCTTCCAACCCACACTTTATTCTTGTGGCTGTCAGCATCGAACCATCTGCAAATCCCAAATCGCGGTGGCTCAAGGAGAAGTTTTACCCCATGCAAATGCTAATTAGGATCTAATAGGCTAATAGGCATGAATCTGTGCATCAATGGCTTGCCGTTCTTTTCATTGATGCTCGCCACACCACATATACCAGGACAAACCGGGACTACAACACCTTCTGGACATCTAAGTCTTCCCTGACTGTGATCCTCTTGGTGCCATGGCCCACCTGAACATCTGGCGGCAGGCACCGGGTACATGGCCGGACTCCGGTCTCCGTGGTGCCGTCTAAGCGCCGCGTCGCTGCGAAGCGTCGAAAAGCATCCTGGACGGGATTCCTGTTCAGACCCGGGGTCAGTGGAAAAGCGTTCCTGAAGCCAATTGGGTTCCACAACAAGGTCGGTTTCGGTTTGAGAAGCCTTCAACTGCTTTCACCCAGGGTCCCACCCATGCATCTCAGCTGTCAAAGGTGGGGGGCTGCAGCCCGGAAAGAAAAGCAACAAAATGAACACCCTCGAAGTAAACAAACCCCCGCAACAGCTCATGTCCGCAACGGCCGCCACCCCACGGTCGAGTTCCACGAGCCAAAAGGGCTATGGCGGCTATGGCATGCGATGGCAAGCCAGGCAAAGGGTGAAGTGAATGCAGTTGATTCCCAGGTTTCCCAGTGAAAATCCACTTTCGCCCAGAATCAATCAAAATCAGAACTATGCTTTGGCAGAGTTCACCCCATGTTTGTTCCTTGGAAGGCCCTTATGTTCATCCATCTTCCGTTCGGGGTCAGTAAGTTTACCATGTCACTTGGAGAAGAAATTATGGTGACGCAAGGGGAGGTGGTGCCCTCCAAAAGTTCGAGCTGCATAGTTAGTAGACTTCCACCACATGAGTTGGAGAAGCAAAGCTTCAGACGGGTGGATTGTGAAACTGTTCAGCAATCGTTGAGTTCAGTAGTCGATGTCCTTCTTTTTTGCCAGTGGTTCCCAACCATGTACACATATGGAGCACCCAGTTCTTCATCACAAGCTTGGTGAAGAAATCCTTCTGTTCAGTATCCAATAGCGGTACTGTGCTACGCAATGTTCTTGATAATTATATCTTGATGTGAACGCAAGGCGGTGAGTGAAATGAATGGACCAATACGGATGTTTCTTCTGCTATCGCCCAGGACGGCCAAACCACACGGTCAGACACGGCCAGGACGAGGTACCAGGATGGGGCGCTCGCCGGATCTCGCTCGTTGTGACCTGAAGAGTGTGGGTCACGTGAGAGGAATGGGCCTGTTCCACTGCAAGTTGGAAACGCATATATACTGTAATCATATATACACTACAGTATGGGGTGGGTCACCCAAACGACCTCCCAAACCAAACATATGGCCAATGATAGAATTGCTTTTTTCTTGGGCGACTAGACATAAAGAGTCTTTTCCGAAAGCCGGCCCTTGCCCGTGGGGTGGTGTTTGGTGGGAGGTGTGTCTGTACTTCTGAGTGTGGTCAGCGCGGCCCTGATGGAAGAGTCCAAGCTCCAACTACCCAAGGCATCCCACACAGTCTGCCCCCTTGCTCCAAGAAGAGAGTCCGGAGCAGTCCACAATTCACAGTGCAGTTGGACACGTTGCTGCTATCCGATACCGATCCCGCACATGACTTCACAGCGTGATCGGATGACCGGATGACCCGGATGATCGGAGGTGCGTAGTTTGATCATAGGTCTCGACCTCCCAGGAGTTCCCACCCGCCCAAGAAAAGGAAGGAACATAGACATCATAGACCAGTCTACCTAGCCAAGGCCAGGGAGGTCCCCCTACTAAAATATACACCCAAATCAACCCCAAACACATCCGGGCCTAACGTCGCTGTGGGAGGCATGCCTCGGAGACATTTCTTGCGCCCTTCGCTGTACTTGGTCAAGGCAACAGGGCAAAGAAGGGGCCTAACAAACCGTTGGTGGCTTGGTCAAGCATTTAAACTGCCCTGTTCAAAATGAGGACAGCCCTATGGCCCTATGGCTACTCGAACTAGATCAGTTATTAATGATGTTGGAGTAGATTCTACGAGCCCCAAAAGGTGTAGCCCTAGCTCTTGAGTCCACTTTCCGGCGAGGATCACAAAACACGATAGATGATATAACCTTTGGCGTTTGGTCCAAATGTCGGTGCCAACCCATTGACCCGACAAGCAACAAAAGAGATCGACACTCAAAGGGGAGGTTGCAAGATAGTTGATTCTCTACGTTTGATTCAACGCAAGCCCAGCCCCAGTACATTGGTGACTGTCCAAATGTTTGCCACACTCATCCCTGACACCACCCCAAGCTGGAACATCACGGGTTGTCTGGGTCAGGTAATCCCCGTGGACGTCGCGCGCATGGAATGCCGCAATGCCCACTGCTGCCGACTGCTTCCGGGCAACTGGCTTTGGATCCGTAGATCATTGACCTCGGCATGAGGGCTGGGACAACCCCTGCGCATCCTTGTTATAGGCCCGGCTGGTAGTTTGTTCCATGAGGACCCAAAAGAATTTGATGCAATTATATGTGCATAGCTGCATATGCAAGCTTACAACATGTTTGGGTTTGCCTTTAGAGTGCAGTTTGACATGCCTGATTTACTGATCAAGCAGCTCAAACATACCAGTTCATCCGTGCTGCCAGAACAATGACATCTTCCAAATCATATTGCAGCACAGCCCTGTCCAAGCAGTGCCCAATTCAATTTCCAATCAATCGGCATCTGAGCAGTAAGCTTAGACTGACATGGGCCAACAAACTGCCTTGAATTCGTGGCTTGCGAATTCCACATGCCTTGAAAGGAAAGGCCCAGCTACATCATCTGACTCGGCAAGCTTTGTGAAACAAAGATGAACAATGAATCCAAATAGGTCCAAACTGTTGTGCTCTCTGAGTCTCTCATGACGTCACTGGTTCAACCAGCCATCCGCGCGTCCTCAAATTGAAATCCTTAATGTCAAGCACCCCAGTACACTGGTTCCTGCTTGTAGTCGAAAGGACCGCACTTGCGCCATGGATAATAACGAAGCAACTTCCACAAGAAGTCGGGCACGGAAATCTCCGCTTCCGGATCACTTCTGGTCTTCAAAGCCTCCTCTGCAAACATGCGTACGGGGCCCTCGAACTCCTTGTAGTGCTCATCCAGGAAATCGGTGAAAACCCCCACAAACCCCAAAAAGTCCACTGTGTTATAGAGAGGTACGTTGCAGCAACTGGCATAAAATCGATGCATAAAGATCTGCCCCTTGCTGGAATTCTTTGCTTTTCTGGCCAACTTAATGAGTCCGTTGCCTTGCGTGATCTTGACTGCGCTCTTGCAGACTTGTACCACTCGAGTGTCTCCGAATTCTCCAACGGTCGTGTCCTTTTGATTGCCCAAGGAAGCGATGAAGTTGGCATACTGCCGGCAATCGCCGCAGTAGCAGTGAATGCGTATGGAATCCTGGCGGATGGCTGAGAGTTCGCCCTGAATCTTCCCACAGCGGCATGAGAGCTTGGAGACAATCACTGGAGACCGGCGCCGCCGAATGGCTCGCACCACCAGCAAAGTGGTGACGCTCGCTGCTCCCAGCATGGCCACTGACTTCCACCCAGTGTGAGTACCCATGGCGCAAAGCGACACGTCGTGTGGTACAAATGATCAACGCGAACGAAGCTTAACGGTCCAATTCTACAATCACCGTTAGCTTCGTCAACACTGACCGTTAGATTCCATCACCGTTCACACTGACCGCATTCCGTTGATGGTCTTTTCTGGCCGTTCTGGTCACTGACTTGAAGACTTCACCGTCGTTTTCAGGTGGCACCTACCCCAATGGACTCGGGTGGACGCCCAACGAGCCGCTTGCGGCCGCAGGAAGGAAGCGGCCCGATGTAACGATCCCATGGACCCCATAGGGACCCTGAAAAACCCCCTGGTTTGGCCTGAGGAAAGCCCATCTGACTCAGGGTTGCCATTCCACCACAGGCTCCATGGGTTCGTTTTCGGGAGTGGTTTTGGGTGGCTGGATCCTGTTGGGTACCTCTGGTGGGGATTGGCGGGGGATCATGTCCTCATTTTTTCCTCACGAGTCAGTCAACTCAGTCGCAGTCAGTGATTTCCAAAAGAGCACGGCCCATCACCTCTTCCATGCAACGCACCTCCCATCACCTCCCCCTCCACCTGGCCAACGGCGGCCCGCCGGAACAATAAATCAATGAAAAAACCAATGCCATTCTGAAAGCGAAGGCATGACCTTTATGAGACGAAAACATAGCTACAGTCACAGAAGTGTCCCACTAAACCATCCGAAACAGTCTCAACTCTCAGCCACCTATGGCCTTCTATGGCCTTCTCATTCAACTTGGCACCGGAAACTCCCTGAAACACCGAGAACGCCACCGGCCGCCCCAACTCGCCACCGTTCCGAGTTCTGCCCAGCAACTCGCTAAAGGAGATGTTCTGCTTGTATTCGAAGTCAGACCTCAAGCCAAGCAGAACAGACCGACATGAGCTCAGTGTTTGGGTTGGAGACCAATTTTTGGGTTGGCCATGTGCGATCGACTCTTGACTGTAGAACCTCCCCATTTGGATGATCCATTTGGGGATTGTAAAACCTCTTCAAGGTTGTTGTATAATATGTTGTGACAAAATGTGACAAATGCCCTCTCAAATCATGTGGACAGCTGCAGTCAAGCTCGTTGACAAGCCCAGTGAGTTTGAAGATTGTTTTCCTGATTCGCCCCATCTTGCCCGTCCCACCAATCTACACGCGCGGCATCGCTATTTCTCAAGAAATCTATGACGAGCTCTATGACGAGACTCGGTGAGACGATTGTTCGATCGAGCTACATCGCTACTTGGATCGCTCCACGATCTAAGCAGCGCAAGAAGCGGAACAAACAGGACGGCCTTGAGCAAGGTTCCCTAGATTTCAATATTGTTGGGAATTCCTCACGGATCTCCACACTTGCCTTAGTCATAGCAACATTTGAAGGATCTTCGGCCACAAACACCTATGGACCTGTAAATCTTGCCACGCCCACTTTAGGAGATTAGTCAGTTCCATCATATCTGCCACCCTGGGCCTCAAGGATCCTAGTATGATGGCAGGTTGGATGTAATCACACTCAAACTTGTCCTGATACCAGATCTTCTGTTGCAAATCGCCATGATTCCCAATTCCCTGAATGTAGAAGACAAGAAACTAGGAGCAAGAAGCTACAGGGGCTCCTGGCATCGCTACTAGGAGCAAGGACATGCAAGGACGCTACTAGGGGCTCCTGGGCGTACTACTAGGAGCATCCTTACTACATCACCAGGGAAATTCCCAGGGAGCCCTGCTCAGTGCGGTATGCCGCTGGCCACCGCTCGCCCGGAACGACGGAGCTCCAGCTCGCCGAAAACACTGCCTGAGCCGTCGCCGGCTCATCGCCTCATCGACTGGGACCAGTGGAGCCGGGTCCGGCCTCAGCAAGCTGTGGAGGCGATCTCAGCGTCCGAGGCTCCAAGTGATTCTTTTGAGGGGAAGGGAAGGCCCTGAACCCTCGGAGAGGGTCAGAAGTGGTCACAGCTTTTTTATGCGTTTCGGAAGGCGCCATTCGGGCGCCTGAGTCCTATCCGAAGTGCATGTACAAATTGGAATGGAAGAGCGGCCCTCTTCAGAATACCTGTTGCTGATCGATGCTCCACTTCATAATGGTCTGGTCTAGTGATTTCCAAGATTCAATCTAACAACACTCCAGCCGGCCCACTGAAACTGCACACCTGCTGGCTGCATTGTTCCCCTGACACATGCAGACTTTCCCCAGCAATCCCCAACTGCATCGCTTAGCATAAATACGTTGATCGTTTTTTATCATTGGCCCTTGTATCCCTCATGGTTGATACCCAAAGAATCCGGACCCTTGAGCACAGTGAGTGGTTGAGGGTGTATATCCCTACCTCTTGCAACAGCCACCCCTTCCGATGATCACCCCACGGACGGCGGAGTCCAAGACGGACTCGAAGCGAGTGCCAAGTCACTTAAGATGATCCTAAATGGTCAAACAAAACAAACACAACGAATGATGCACTCAATGCGCACATGTGAATGAAAGCTGCCCCCCTGTTGGGGGCATGGCAGAGTGGACCGGTTTTGGTGAACACAAACTTGTCCGAGATGTGCTCTAGACCCAAACACTTCCCCTCTTGAATCAGACTCTGTCATGTCCAATTCTCTACCTTCAAACATCCGCTCTTTCCATGCTCCTTACAAAGAACAAGCCACATGATTACTCACATGAGTGTTATTAATGAATATGTCTGAATATGTCTGAATTGCACTAATTATCACCATTGCATGCTGTAGCTTCCGTGTCTTGCTCCATCTCTTGCTCCATCTCTTCGACTCGCCCTGTTCCGGGCTCCCCGGCCCGCGGCGGCCCACGCCCGGGCACGGCCCGGCGCCGCGCGGGCCTCCCCGCGGCCATGGCCACGGCGGCGGTCGTTTGATCCACCGAGGCCTGGAAGCGTCGACCGAACGGGCCGGGTCGAAGGGGTCGGGCACCGGCAGGATGGGTCTTCTTCTGAAGGCTCGGGGGTCGAAGGGTTTCGGAGGGTTCTGGCATGTTCTGGATAGTTCTGGGTGAGATGTCCTGAGTCTTTCGAGTCTTCGAAACCGTGTGGTTTTTCCTTGGATCGAAGTCGTTTGGAGCCTCAAATGGCGAACGTGAGTTAAGGGAAGGTTTGGCACTATGATAGGGTCAAGGCTCTTGGGAGTGGGGTCCAATGATGGTTGAGGGACTTGACAAAAAGGAATCCCTATAGGTCGCCGGCTTGCTGTCCACCAGTCCATACCAGTCCTAATGATGTCCTAAGGGGACTAGGAATACCTCGCCGATCCTCGCCGGTCTCTTTCTCCAACACCACTGGCGTGGCTCTGACAACCAAACCACAAAAAAAAAAACGTTCCAACAAAGCAGGCTCTGGCGGCCATAGAAATTTGGAACTTCCTCTAGCGCCCATGTTCCGTGGGGGAACCAAGAGAGGTTAAGTGACCCTATAGGACCCTATTGGGGTACCTAATCATGAGATAGTTTATTTATAGGGTTCTTCAATGTTCTTCAACCACTGTTTGGAAGGAGGTTTTCCCCAATCGATCCTCCCACTCGCGGCCTCAGGCACTGCCACCAACTCGCTGCCTTGCATCGACACCTGAGACGCCGATGGAGCGGCGATGAGCGGTGCAGAATGATGCAGAATGGTGCAAATCCCAGGGTCTTCGCTTTCGGATGGATGGGGATGAGAGGTGATGCTGTATATCCCAAACTCCCAGGGCCCCAGTGGATGAGGGTGATTGACCCACTGGGACTCCCACTGGGTACTGGGCCACACCCGATGGATGCAGTCACTAACTCAGGGTCGCAAACCAAGCCACGGGAGCCACCTGCCAGAAGCGCGCCTTCGCGTCGTCCCAGTCCTCACCAACGGACTGGGGAAACACGGGTTTCGGAGTGACCAAACCAGCTAGTTGCACACGGTCAGCGGTCAAAATCGACAAAATTGGTATAGCGAATAGTGAATTCTATATGGCCAATCGAACCAAAGAACCTCTTGAATCAATTAATACCATTATATACTAGCTCTTGTAACAGAAAGATGTTCATTGAGCAAACATGCTGAGGGTGTCTGTCTATTTGTTTGTTGGCCGTTTTTGCGTGGCTTACTTGGAAGGCACCTGTCCGCTGTGGGAAGCTGGGGTGACCAAGGCATAAACCAAGAGGATGACCCAAAAGCTGCTGGTTAGCTGAATCTCTGGAATCTAGTTGCAACCATTTTCTACAATAGCTGGTCCCAACTCAAGTTGCACCGCTCCTTTTCTCCACCCTCAGGCTGACCTGCAGGCTGCCGTGCACGGTTTCCAAAGCTCCTTTCATGCACAACTTCTTGGTTGTCCCTGATGTCCGGTTCAAGCTGCTTTGTTTAAAACAACTGTGATCCTTCTTGATGGGAGCTTGCGGAACACGGCAGAGGGACCTATTATCGTTCCCAAGCGCATCATGTCAGAAGTCGAATCGACGTGTACGTCCAGAGCATCATAGAGCTTTCCAATCAAAAGATGGAGAGGAAGTCAGCATGTGGCAGGGACTCTTTCACCTTGATGGGCTCCAGCCATTGCCCATCATCACCTCGAGTCGGACGTCTTCGACATCGACGTGGACCTCGACGGCAAGCATGAAGTGGACATGCGGCTGCTGTGCTCAACCCTTTTCATCGACTTGAACTACACCCCGGCAGACTAACATGGACCCTGAGAGTGCACCCATGGAAGATCGTGGAAGACCATTTTCCTCTACAACCCAGTGGTGTTGGGGGGCAGGGTAAGTGGAAGTACACCCCCCCACATGAAGAGATGGGTCTTGACAGTCTTGACAAGCCACAAGATCTATACAATTCCACCCCCAAAAACGTCTTGGTGCCCACCCCATCCCCCCAAAAAGATCCTGACACGGACACCCAGCACCCAACAAGTCGCGACAATCTTCTTCTCTTTGCCATTTGAGAGTTCGTCTGAGGGACCTGGATCTCTCCTCATGAAGATATCTAGTCTTGGGGCATGTCTCAAACCTTCTCAAACCCATGACCCCCCAAACTAAAAAAGAACAACACAAAACCTTCGGATCTATATGGATCTATATGGGTGGTTACCTTCGGCACCCCGGCACCTTCGGCACCCCGCCACCCTCCCGCCACATTCCCTCCGAGCTCCAGTGGCCATGCGCCGTCACGAGCACGTCGCCAAAGCCGTGCTCGACGAGCAAACTCCGCGCTCCAGAAAAAGGTGCCTTTGAGGCAACTCGGCGAGCTAGGCTTCCTTTTTGTGGAGGGCTTCCTATGGAGCGGGCTGGTCCGTACTAGTTAGAATTCGAGTGGCTATATGTATTACTAAAAAGAATAGAATGGCGCTTGATTTGTTCAAGGTTTTTCAACGAACCACTCTGACTTTTTTTGTGCAGAGGAAATGAACCGTCCTCGATCCTGAGTCTATCTGAGTATATCTGAGTCGTGCTTTTGTTGAAGCGTAATGAAACATGTCTAAAGTTCAAAACAATTCCAAGTGATGTCAAGTGCCTACTCTACGTACTGTATACATATACACTGCTGGGTGGCCTACGCTACAACCACGTGGTCTCCTTATTAAAATGCACACCGTGTCCCATGTCCGGCCCTGTTTCCAAACTCCTTCCACTCTCAGAGCCTCACTCCCCATCCTCGGCCTATAATGGCCTACACACGCTGCTCTGAGGCCCAAGTCCAGCACAAAAAGGCTGAACACATCTCGAACCAAAACAGAATTTAAAAAGAAACCAATACACACACCAAACATCGCCCTTCGGGTCATGGGCACTGCTTGGTCTGAATTTATCGAGATCCTCCATCGCTCCACCTGAATCTCTAACCCGACGACGGCCCTCCAAGTCACGTGTGCCACTCCAAAGTTGTCCACCTGCATGAGCACCCTCGCCCGCGAGGTGTCAGAGTGTCCACGACGCCGCTGAAGCTCGGGGATGAGAAGGGAGGCTGCATCCACAGTGCAGCCGTACTCGATGCCCTTCAGCTCCTCAGTGAATTGTTGAGTTAGACTCTAGTGTGAAAAAGCTGGAAGGTCCCTTTCAACCATCATGGTATCAAAACAGCTTCAAGTCAAATGATAAATATCAGTTAGAGAAGTTGAGGTTGGTATCTCATCTCTAATCTTGCCAAAGCCAACAAGGCAGTGGGAAAAACACATAGCTTGAGCATGATTCCTTTCTTACTAGCTTGCAAGACCATAGTGAGTCTGTGTAAATATGTGATGTCTGCTTAGCGAACCTCTATGACATGGGCGCAAGCCAGCTATCCAGCTACTCGGTCTTCAATCCCCTTCTCCTTGATGACCGGAGTGAAGAACCCATACTGTAGACGCTCCTTCCAATAGGGAATTTTGACCCCGCGTTAAGCACCAAAAGGAACAAGAACACCTTCAAACATGTCAAGATCACATGTGAAAGCATCTCAATACCTGCCAAGTTTGTTCCTGACAACTTCATTCATATATATATATAGAGAGAGAGAGATCTATATATATATATCAGTATATATCTCTTTCACGGATTCTTCGGAAGTTCCACACACCCCACATGCTACATCGGCAGTGGAAAACAGCCTATATATGATATCCTATAAGGGCCTAGCAGCAATCAACAATCCAAATCCTCTACGCAGAGGTGCAGGCTCCACCAAGCCGTCTACCCATGAAATCCCCTGCACATCAACAATCTCACTCACTAAAGGCAGGGGATGAAAGTTATCAAGATTGACTGCTTGTGTTGCCATTCCAGGACCTCTGTGCCCCCTCCCCTTTGAACTCCAACCCACTGCTTCTCTACCGAAGCCACCGCGGCAAAGGCGACCTCGCCGTCCTCGAAGCCCACGGCGGCAGCGAAGGTGATGGGATAAACTACCGTCCTGGGGCAGGTCATTGCATCCGATTCCACTGGTCTTTTCACGCTGGCGGATGAAGGGTCCAATGAGTCCAATGGGCCTCTGAACAGGATTTGGACTCGCAGCATCCGGAATAGGATCAAATCCATAGGATACTGAACAGGATTTGATGACTCCATAGGCCCCATATGGTCCCATGATCTGTGAATGTCGATTCTTCGCACTGGCGGAAAGCCTCACATCGCCATCAACAAAGTCGCTTGACCCTGGCCGGCAGTTGCGGTGGGTTGCTGTGGGGTGACGATACTATGACACGGGGGATGCTTCACAAAAAAAAAGAACAATAACACAATGCAAGATTCATTAAAACATATTAAAACTAACCTGCCAAGTAAGATCAATCTGCGTTGTCTTGAATATTATATCGAACATTGTAACAATGCACAGGAATGAGGGTGCCGAGTAATCCGGCGTTTTTCACATCAACAATGCCGATCTGAGGGCGCCCGACGTGCTCACATGTCATGTCACTGACGCCGTATGCGACCAATACATCAGAGATTCTTCACATCCCCCGCCACAGACTAAAGGAAGCATTCAACCCTGTCTTGGTTGATCATGTTCATGCACGAAGGTGAACAACCTTCCTGAATTCCTAGATGTACACTCTGACTCACTCAGGCTTCCCAAACTGGGCCCTTGCAAGACCATTTTCCTTTACAAACAGGTGGATGTCCACTTCCATGTTAGTGAGTGGGAGGGTGATTTGATTACTATAAGCACCTCCTCCTGCGATGGCTCGATCTCGGGCGCTTACGGCCGAATGCCGAGGCTCTGAGGCTCTTGCTTTCGTGCCAAAGCGAAAGCTGCCTTCACCAGGGGGGGTCACGTGATAAGATCAGCATCCAAATCCAAAGAATCCAAGGAAATGGATGGCGGGTGCTGTCACTATGGCCTTCAAATTCTTGAGCAAAGTTCCTTGACATGAAAGCTTAATGAAACAGTTGCTGATAGTGGGGGTGTAGGGGAGTCCCCCAGCATCTTTATCTATGGCTTTCAGTTGGTTCGGCAAGTCTTGCTGGCCTGCCAAGTAACTAAGTACACCCCCTGAAATAGTCATGGAAGATAATGGAAGTGGACAATGGCCAACTTGGATGGCCATGTTCCTCTACAAAAAGCTGGTCTTCCACTTCCACGTTAGTGACTCAGAGTGTAAGTACAATCACCTTGACATTTTTGCTGTTTTCCCAACTCACACGGACATGCGACCAGTGTCAAACATGCCAAACCGAAAAAACATCGAAAACCGGTTCCGTGAGGTGCATGAATCCCATCGCTGGACCCACCGCTCAGGGGGGTGGGATATTGACCAAGTGGAGGGAACCCCTGAGAATCCCAGTGATGAAGAAACAATGTTCGCTACGAACGGAACAAGTGCATCGCTTCGCTCGTAACAAGTGCCTTACTAGTAGTAACAAGAAGCGATATGAAACTATTAGAAACAATAAGCTACTAGGAAGGTATATATGCTGAAGGGCCTGTATATAGGGACTCGTGGTAGGACATGCGCACATGTCGTCGGTAAGTGAACCGGTTGGTCTCCTGATGCGTCATGCCATTACCCACAGCCAGTTGGGGTGGTTCAGAGTAGGGGGCCTGATCGGATTGGGCATCAAACACGAGCAGCAGGCAGTGGGACGCTGTGCTGACTTTTGCTTTCCCCTGTGCGATTGGTTCGAGTGACTTCCTCTAAGAATAGAATCACCCAATCACCAATGATCACAAAGTGTGCCAATGTCGAATGTGTTTCTTGATGAGGTTGAGGGTGTTGACTTTCCCTACGGCATTTGAATCATTCTCGCGATTCAGTGGTGCTGAAGGGTTCCCCAGCCGATCATTCTCTCGTATATGAGCACCCTTTTGGCAAGCCATCCAGCCAGGACTGTACAAAGCTATTTCTACAAATCTTTAATGAACATCTCCTTCGACTCCACCGTCTTTGATACCTCGACTTCACGCCTTTTTTTGATCAAACTCAACCCAAACATACCCAAGCATTCTTCTCAAACCATCCTTTCCCCAGCGTTCGACCTCCCTTGCCCCTCCCCATACATCCCCAAAGTTGTGCCACTCCGCCTGGTAGACCTTTGCGGCCAGCGCGTCCTCCGGCGGCTTCACCTGGCCACCCAAGGCCGAGGCCTTGGCTTTGGCCTCCTGCTGTGCCAGGCCGCGGTACGGCGATGGCATCCGGAAGAGCTCCCTGTCAGGCGGGAAGGGCGAAGGGCGAAGGGCTCAAGAAGCGTTCACAAACCTCACACGCCGAGTAGAAAAATGAGATGGCAACGCACTGGCACTGGCCACGCCTTGTTGAAACCATGACTCCTTCCCCTTCCCAACAGTTGGCCTAACAGCCGCTTGAATCTTAAGAATCTTGTTATGATGCTGGCACTGTTTGCATAACTTTACCCGTTGTAAGGCCCGTGCTCCTTGCTTTTAAAGACAACGTTCGCGCCGCTCGTTCACATCAACCTATTTAATACATTGGGTATATCATGGTATATCCCATCGCCAGTAACAGTGGATGATGATGGTTAGTAAAGGCCTTTCTCCAACAAAAAAGAGTGATAACTGTCACTGTTTACCGACTGTTGCAGGTAATGACTGAGGCAAACCCAATAAATACACACATAATCTGATACAATTCCATGCGTGCCTCCGTTTCCTACGCTCACTTGACCCCTTTTCCTGCATCAATGGCGCGCGCACTCGCGACTCACGCGCCTCAAGGGTTGCACGACCCAATTTCCGTCGGAGCCGGTGGCCACGATCTCAACCTTGCGAGGGGCGTTCCAGTCCTGTCGACATCTTGGATTTGCTTAAGAAACTAGGAGCAAGGATCCGACGAACGTAGCTCCTGGCCTTACTACTAGTAACAAGAAGCTACTAGTAACAAGGGCATTGCTAGTAGCAAGGACGCTACTAGGTGGAGGCCATCGCACAAACACACACATAGATATAATATATATATATATGCAAACATATATTATATACCGATACCCGCACAAACACACACAAACACTCACTTGAGAAGAAGCTCGTACTTCAGGGTGGTATCAGAGATGCTGTATTAACTCGTCAGACTGGCACACGATGTTCTCCCCCAGCCTTCTCCCGGAAGGGGGTGTATAGTATATATAGAGAGAGAGAAATACGCACACACACATATATATATATAGCGGTATAGCGTGATTCCCATCAAAACAAGTTCCACCAGGTTCAAAAACAGAACCTGGGCAACAAAATACAGTAAGTCCTCCAGTGCCCAAGTTGGGCCGTTCTTTGAAATGATCCAGCAAGAACAAAATGACTTATACAGCATCGGGGGAGGAAAAAATAAACATGAAGGATCAACATTTAGCAAAATAATTCAACATGGACCAAGCACTGGATCAAGTAATTATAGGATATTATAGGGACCCTATTCCATCCGATTCCCTCGTGATCAAGTCTAAACCAAGTTCTTAGCGAATCAAGTCTGGCCATCCTGGTGGCCGGTGCCACCCCGGCCCTGCGCCTCTGGTCCGCAGCTGGAGGTCAAGAATTCCCGGCAAAGAGGGCCCGGGTAGATGGGATCCTGGAGATGGGCCAGGGACCTGGGGACCTGGCCCATCTTGACGACGAAGGGGAGTGGGTTGGTTCGGATGGGTGTTCGGCAATGCTCTAAGAAGTGTGAACCTTGGATGCGCGGGAACCCCCCCAAAAAAGAAAATGCACATTGAACCATGATATATTTGGGCTGCTGAACATGACAACACAGCCCAAACACAACTCGACTTGTCTGTGAACATCCTGGCATCATCACTGACCCCAAACCCTGGCAGCTCAGAGCGTCAATGAGACTTTCAGCAGCCCCAGATCAGCAAACTGGTCACTCCTCAGCAATGCAGTGGTTTCAGAGTAGATGGCACAATCCCCAAAAGGTGATTTTTTGGACCTCCATCTGAAAGACATGGAGGGGTTTGAGCCATCTACTCTGGAACCACTGTATATTAACTCTCATCAATTTGATTCGTTTTCCAACAGATTCACCCAGGAATCACTGGAGCATCAATTTGCCACTGCACTTCCACCCATCTCAGGTCGTTCTTTCCTCCCACACATGACACTTTCCATGGACCGGTTTTTCAAACGGCAAACCGCACACCGACGTCGCTCCGTTTGCCGTTCTGCTCCGCCCGGCCTTGCAGTCCGTCGCGCACACGACGCGACGGATCTCCGCGCCGTTGCCCTCGGTCTTCTGAAAGAGGCACATGGCCGCGCGTTCCTCGGGGCGCAACGCGCCGGTCCCGGCGGCAGGTGGAGCCCCCCCAGCAGTGCTAAGAATCACTATACGCACTATACCTGGATGGAAAACGGATGAACATGGTCCCTTGGATGACCATTTTTCCACCAGAAACAGGGTGGTGATCCACTTGCTTGAATGATTCTGTCAGTGCCAACCTGCCCGCTCTTCTCGTGCTGCCGGCGGATCGGCGCAAATCGCACCACGGATGTTGGCATCGTGAGGTTCGGCGTTCACAGCCTTGCACGCTCGATGGTTGGTGGCCCGTGTCTGGCCCCGCATGATGCCACGATTGAACCCAGCTCTAGTCGACCGGTCGATAGTCGAAGGCTGTCAGACACCCACCACTATCACCCCTATCACGAACAGATCGTGATGATTGCTTTGAACATCATTTTAATATAACCATATGACTATATCTATAACTGTTACGTACTGTTACTTTTCGCCTGATGAAGCGATATGAAGCGATACAATAGACCACTCAATCCGGACGGTCTCTTGACCACCCTCTCCGACTGTCCGAGCGATGTACCGGCTCGGTGCCCCCGCCTCCAGGGTCCCCCCCGCTGCCGTCGGCGCGCGTGAAGCGCAACACCGCGCTGACGCGGAAGTTGGATTGCCGCGGCGGCGCGTAGCCTGGAGCCAGCGCAGGTGAAGATAGGTGAAGTCAGGGTGATGCAACTGTTGCCACATTAACGCGTGGGGGAGGCATCAAACACCCCCAAATGAGCCAGAATTGGCTGGCATTCCTTGACGGTGGAATGGAGATGAGTGGTATGAGAACTTACCCATTCTGTTCCCTTCAGACTCTTGGAAAGCATACATAAACAAGTTAAGTTAAGACTGCCAGCAGTCACAAAGGGGTGCTTAATGGAGGTTAGGAGTGCCCATTATCCACTCACTTGGAGACTAAACACCACCCCTTTGTGACTCCTGGTGGGTTTGACCATCCTTTGCTCAAACATCCACGTGGTGACACGATCGCTTTCGGTTTCGCTTGACGGGCGGTTCTGCTTTCACCACCGCAGTGGCTGCCGAAAAGCTTTCTCGGAGTCGATGTGCCGCCTTCACATCCTGCACACGCCACCGGGCACCGAGGGCACCATTGGAGTGCCCATGTTGAGCAATTCCACTGCTCAAGACGTTTTGACACCAAATGTTCGTTTTTTTTGTGAGAAATCACCCATGTTTACAGTTTACTCTCAGTTCGTTCTGCTAGAATCTTGGCCCCACCGACAGTTGGGCGCAACGACCTGTAAACCAAGTCTGTGGCTCTTGACCCAGTCTTGGCACGACCTGTCTCAACCAGCATCCTATCTCAAGATGAACACACGACCCACTTCCTGCCACACGACCCCGACGGCTGGCAAGACCTAAGCCTATATCAAACACTACTCTCACTTGAGGTATACTCTTTTCGTGCATCTCTTGCGCATCCCAAGCCGTGCACACCAAGAGCGGCCGGTACTCACGCGGTCCGTCCTCCTCAATCGTCCCCCTCTTGGGCGAGCGGCTGCGGCTCGACATGGCCGGGGACCGAAGGGCACCGGGACTTCGTCTGATTGGTCTGAGTTCACCCTTCGTTTGAGTCTGAGAAGCAGGTGGCCCAAGTATGACAGAGGGATCGTGGAGGTGAAATTCATAGAATGACTTGGATTTGATTGGCTGAATTCTCAGTTGCCTGGGGGCGTAAGCGTTGACCCTATCACAAGTGAGGGGACACCCAAACTTATTGGGGCCGATCTGCTGTTGCAACGGTTTGAGGCAGTCTATGTCACAAAGTTATAGCCTATGCCCTGAAGCTGTGAGGACTGATCAAGTTGCTCACGTATGGGCTACCAGCTACCAGTGAATGTCCCAAAGCTACCTGGCAAGTGGACAGTTTCTTCACTGGACGGACATGGGTGTTACGTGCCCCTTGTTCTTCATGATCTTGAGCAAGCTTTGTGCTGTTCAGCTCCGGTGACGCACGGAGACTGTGGAGGTCACGAGCCTCTGAACATGAAGCCTACCAAATCCCAAAGGGGTATGTGTTCAGCATCGATTTTATATGATTTTATATAGTCCCCCAAGGTAGAGGCGGTAGAAGTGTAAAAGTGTCTCACAATGTGTCACCTCGGAATTGTGGAGTCTTCCATCATGTTCCATGCATTCTCAAGACTTCCCCCATCTTCCCCCCAAAGTGCTATGACCCTTAACATCACCCCTGCTAGCTCAGCGATTGCTTCACAGTCTTCACAAAAGAGAAAACATCATAAACATCTCTGACTCTGCAGGGACCTAACAAGACAAGTAGGTGATCAAGCACAGCGAGTAGGTGACCACAAGTGGTCTGAACCCCAAGGATTAGAAGCCTCAGACCTGAAGGAGCTCGTGTCTCCGGCCGCGGGCCGGCGTCCTCCAAGATCTCAGCCGCTCGCTTACTGCCAGTCAGTTCATGATGTTTCCTCATCTGCGCGGCGGAAACAAAAACGCGAAGCTCGAGGCGACTCGCTGAAAGCTGAAACAGTCGTTGGGCCAGGCCGGGCTGATGATCTGGTGCAGGGATTGTTCAGTTCGGTTCAGCTTCAGGCCAACCAAATTTCAAAGAAAACATCTCTGACAGGAAGTGAACATGCTCGCTTCTTTCCCAAGCCCATCGGTTCAGATGGCGCACAAAAATCCAAAAAATGCACAAGAAGGGGACCCTAGATTACTACACAAGAAGGGGACACAAGATTACTAGATCTACAGTATATAGATCATCCATCTACTTGGCTGCAGCTTGAAAAGTGGATTCTCGGACCCCAAATGGGCGAAAGACCTGACTTCAGGAGACCAACGCGCTGACATCACAAACCTTTCAACACCCTATTGACCGTCTTGATGACTTATTGCCCCAATGATGCTCTGCCCGTCTTGATGACCTTCCAGAAAGGCGACCGGGGACCTTTGATCTATGATGACAGGACCTAGGTCCCTGTTGATCAGGGTTCCCCACCATTCAAATTCACATGTCACCCATTTCCACCACCGAGCAGCTCGACGAGCTCCTTGAGCTGCTTCTCTCCAGCTTCGGAGGTGACACGAAAGACGTTCCGCGCGTTGTCCGCGTTCAGGTCCATCCGCTCCCCCTGGCTCGAGCGCCGCGCAGGCGGACAGTTTGGCCCGAAAAGGGCCGGAAATGGAATGCCCTGCAGCCGACGGCCGACCAAAAAATCCCGGCAGCTGGGGTTCTCCCTAAGTTTGAGGTTTGGTTACCTAAATAGCTATGTCTGAGCATCCCTTTGATCAACACAAAATGAGTTGGCTCCCAATCCCTTAGCACGCGGTCTCGATGCCGCACCTTTGCTCCAAACTGAAGCACTTCCACGATGGCATCGGCACTTCCATGGAGACAAAAACCCATCCAACAACTGCCACTTGAAAGCAACTCCATCCCCATCCACCCCCTCTGCAATGCGGGAAGCTATGACAAGCTCCATACATGCAGACTCTTGATTAATAATCCACCCATTGGAATTGGAAACATATGGGGGGTTGTTGATCAAGAGTCCACATTGCATGAAGCATTGAGAGGTTTCTACCTTCTCTTCCTCCCATGCGCTCCTCGTAGATGTAGAGCAGCCCACCGCTCATGCCCGCTGCGACGTTCCGGCCAACACGGCCCAAGGCCACAATGACACCATTGGTCATATACCTTGGACGCAAAACCAGATCTGGCCGCCATTGGCAGAATCTGGACCACTGGGTCTGACGGTCCTTCTTCCCTTCGTCAGCGGTCGCATTCTTGAAACATCTTGTCACACCGGTCTCCTCACCTGTCCCGATGCATCCAGCCTCCGCGACAGGCCGTTTTCCACCCCGTTTCACGGACGGTCGCCCAAGCCGCTCTCCCAAATGATCTCCAGCGCCTTCGATCACGGCGCGGCATCCAGCGTTGCGCACTCCGAAGCGCTCCCCCACGCGGCCGTTGAAGAAGACCTGACAAGAGAAAGGTTGAACAGCCCTTTTTCGCCCATCCCATTATGCGCATTATGTACCACTACAGGGTCCGAACGTCCAGGTCTCTCAACCTCTCTTGGCATGACCATGCGGTCGGGTTTGACCCAACGGATCGTGGTCGGTGGTGACCGAAACCCGATCTCCAGGGCAGCAGTTGACCACGCCGGATTGGGGATCCCGGCTGTTGCTTGGAATCTCAGGTTGGTTGGTTCTCACACGACGACACCTTTCAAGGTAAAGCCTTCCCAATGACTGGCGAACCTTGGCCAAATCACCAACAAATGTCAAATAACACAATCGTGACAACCATGAATGGTCAGAATGGCTTATTCAGGACACATTGAATGGTCTTCTTAAAGGCTTGGGTTCATCCCAAGTATTTCACAAGAACTGGAACTTTGTGTAATTAGCACTTCGCAGAACATATGGGAAACCAAACTGCTCAGAGCAGCAAAGCAGCTCGGCTCTTAAAACGTCCAACCAGATCAACTGCAGCAAAACCTCTCCAAAAGGATCCTAACAGGCAGGTGTCTGGGGCAAACCCTGCTGATGTGGAGTTCTACATGTTCACATAACACATGGTCTTTCATGGCTATGAGAGCCCAGCACGAGCAAACACTCTCGGTAGAGTGGATTGAGAGTATATAGATGGCACCAGAACCCCAATGTTGGTGGTTTACATGATCCCCCATCTATTCAGAACAGCTTAATCTCTGTGCCATCTAATGTAGACTCTTGATATGTGTTTCACCCCCCATATGAGGAGGATGTCCTATATTCAAATGGGGGGTGCTCATCAAGAGTCTACCTTACGTCTGATGGCCCACTGTCAAGAACCTCGTGCCTCACCCCCCGGTAGCGCCGTAGAGGCATGTGTTGCCAGCGATGACGTTCTCCTGTGGTCAAACGACCCACAGGAACGGAACCTTCCGTGGTTGGTTGTGAGATGTCGTGAGGTATTGGAAAATAGAAGACAAACCTTCTTTGGCTCATGCATCACCACTAACCTCTAACTCTAATAAATACATAATAATAGGAGTCCTTGAAGCCAAATGCTTAAGTTCCATCTGTTCCATTGCGGGGTGTTTTGGGAACAAGGTGGGCAACTTGGTGGGGGCGGACGCTCCAAAATACCACTTCAAGGAACCTTTCTGAAACGTTCCAGTGCTGATCCCGCTTTAGCCACCAATGACCACCAACAACTCGGCAGTCCCACCACCACCACCACACCCGGCTGGAAGTCCGTGCTCCGTGCTCTCCTGTGAGGGGAAGGAGCTCTCGGGTGGCGCAATGGCCACGATGGTCCCGCCATTCATGCCCTTCCCCACATAGTCGTTGCAGTCCCCTGTGACCTGACCACGCGAGGGTTTCTTCGGCGGTGCCTCTCTTCCGATCTGTCATGTGATAACGTATGATAACGTGAGCTGAGAGTGGATTGGAGGTTCCCAAATCAAACTGGGAAATGATTGCTTGATTGATTGATTGATTGATTGATTTCTCCCCCGCCCAGCAGCGCCTACAAAGGGTCCTCGGGTGAATTTGCTAGCCCCACCGCAAACTACAATCCCTGGATCTTAGAAACATCTTCACTGCATGACTGTGTCCTTTTTGGCAGCCCTGCCACGCCTTCTATAGAAACAACCAAGCTATACATTGAGTCGACCTTGCTTGCTTGAGTCGACCTCTTGGTCTGACCGCACCAGTGGGTTCTGGTGAACCCGACCTCCACGAGCGGGTTGCCTCGTGGACCGGGCCCCTCCCTCCGTCTCCGCCTGAAGGAGCACACCACTGGTGTTCCAAGCGCCGAAGGACTGACCGGCCGAGCCGGTGAAGTTCAAGTGGATCTCACCCTGCCGCCGCCGACGGCTGCACTGCTCGGACGGTGTTCGCTGCGGTGAAGTTCGACGCAAGCCGGTGGGTTCCAAGAAGAAGCCGAGTGAACCCAAGGATCAAGTGGCGAGGTCGCTCTCTTTTGGAACAGTGAGAAGCACCCCAAAGTGCCGTCGTGCGACCCCTGTGCCGTCCGCATGGGGGGAATTCAAGGCAGCTGCAAGGTGACTCGGATGGCCCAGGAGAAGGGTGGGCTGGATGTTTTGCAGAGACACTACGCGGGGCGTCTGACCAAAAATCGAGTTCGATGTCTGACAAACGCAATGGCATAGGCTGGCCGAGGGCAAGTGATGCAGTGGGACAAGAAACCTACTGCAAGTGCAGTCCACTCAGTTCAACCACGACGACCACGGCTTCAGTCTGAATCTTTCCGTGCCAATACACCGGCCAACAGGGAGTCCCTAGAGTGGAGGGGGCTACGCTCTAGGAAAAGCTAGTACACTATTCACTTCCTTTGCCTCTATACATTCTGAAAAGCTCACCATCGACCATACTGTTTCAAGTAGCTCCCAAGAAACCGACTCAAAAAAAACATTATTTTCGAGGTCACCCTGTCCAACACTCTTGGGCCACCAACCCGCCGCCTGGCCACCAAGACACGCGCCTTAAACCCGTGGTCACCATACTTGGACGCGATCGTGCCTGCCGGAGAACGACATGGACCCTCCATGGTGGGTGCACTACATCATCGACACCAAAGCAAAAGCTCTACATATGCAAACCACCTTAGAAAAACTGCAAATAGATGCCAATTGTCTGCACAGCCCCCCCCCCGAAAAATCCGAAAAAAAAACAAAAGAAAACAGGTAACATCTACGACTGCAGCTCTTCCACCCGCTATGGCACCAAGTCTCCGTCAAGTCTCCGTCCGCCCCCACCTGCTATGCGTCCGCCTAAGGCTCTGTTAGTGTTCTGGATGTCCATCGACATCCTTGGTTTCGACATCGTTTCGGCAATGCATAGCTGAGCAATGCTGAACCCAATGCAAAATGCCACAGCCGGGGTTTCCCAGGCGCGCCATGCATGTTCAAGCCTGTAGCGTTGCCCTTCTAATGGAAGGAAAGCATCTTCTGATATCTTCCGATGTCTTTTCTATCCTTTCAACAACCGGACTCTGGTAGTTTCAACTGCGCATGCCCTGCGCATGCCACCGTGTTCAACCGATCCAAACCCGGTCACCTCAGCAGCTCTTGGAAAGAGGCCACGTAGTTGTGAGATCCCATTTTCCTGGATATACATCTGAGTGAACTCTCCAAGTCTCTCCACTTTGCCACTGTTCTCTTCAATGACCTTGGCCACTTTGGAAACTTCCAGAATGTCATCGTCCAGCACTGGCCCATTGCCTTCAGAAAAAAATGACGACGCACAAATCCTGCACTCCAAACCACGTGGATGATTTTGAAAGTATTACTGGGGGCTAGTGTTTTCCAGGTGGTGTATGAAGTTGTCGCAGCACGGCCCAAAACAATTTCCGTTTCTGGGTTTGTCAAACGGAGAATTTCTACTACAGGATGTTCGATGAAAACGCAACCCAAAACAACCAATGATCACACGAAAGGTTGTTTTTGACCCGCCTCCAAACCCAACTTACATAACCCCGGTGACTCCTGGATCAAACACGTCTCTTGGATCCCCCCAAATCTTTCAAGTTGCTATGTGCTGCGCTGCTTCTCTTCACGTCGACCCAGCTGAGCCGGTGCTCTTCATTGGGCCTTTCCTCCGCGTAGAAACTCGAGAGATCCACGGCTGCGGTCCTGAGGGGGCAAAAACAACCAGGGACTTGCAGCGTTTACAGTTGACAGTGATCCGGATGGAACTCTGTTGAGGGGGCATTGTCACCCTGTAGGGCCGGCTGTGGTTGGCCAAACCCACCGCAAACGATGTACAGGCACTGGATGCTGCAGGAATGATCTATGACCTGCATGCACATTCCGTGACAATCTTTGACCCGCCCTTTAACTTGAAAGTACGTGCTAAGTAAACTTACTCAGGGACTCAGGGCCAAAACCGCTGCCTAGACATGTCTAAAACAACATATATCGTATCATATAGTATATAGTTGTAAAATATTGTTACTACTCGTTACTTTTGAATACTTTTGCTACCAAAGAGGTTTTTTTACAAGCATGCTTCTCTTACTGAACCAGACGGTCAAAGTTTGAAAGTGCAAAGTTTTTTGAACCAAACAGCGGCCTGTATGTGAAGCCTGTGCTGTCTTGTCATGAACTGTTATGTGTCCTTCGCACTCCGCTAAGTAAAGGAGAGCCACGGTGTATGAAATTTGACTGTTGATAGGGTTCCATGCGGTAGGATTGATTTCCAAGTCTAGCAGCTAGCATATAGGTCGCTTGCATGCTCAAGTTTCAACAGTTCTTTTCGAGTTTGAAGCCAACGTGTCAAACATCATACTTCATCTGCATACACAGTTTTTGCCGCCCAGGCCCATCTGTGAAATCTGGATGGGACGTTTCGTACGTCACGACCCCATTTTCATTTGAGTTCCTTTCTCTCAAACTCTCATCAAGCGGTTCAATCCCCTCATTGCTCCCGAGGTGCAAGGGTCCCTTGGGTTCCTATCTATTGGTTGAGGCTGCATGCTCAACTGAGATTGCGCCTCTCCTTGACTGCCTCCATTATCCAGAAGCGCAAAAGTGGTATTCTCCACTCTCCTGATGCTCCTGAACTCGCTACTCCTCTTGCAGCTGGCCTCAGCTCCTCCCTTCTCTGCTCGACCTCTCAAACTCATATTCCCATTATTACTGCAAAGCCGTTGAGCATTGCAATCTGCAACCCTCTTGTGTCCACATCTTCTGTCTGTCTTCTCCAAGAGCGTCATTCTTCTCCCATCAAGTCCTTTCTACATATCAATTTGGTTTGACTATATATATACGTTGCTCTGTGAAACCTTTGACCATAGCCATGCACCATGTCATCCCATTGCCCTTGGTCTGAGGAAGAATACTTTGGGCGTGATGCCAATCTTAATCCCACGGGCTTTCTCTGCTTGACCCCAACCTTCTGGAAGCTCAGCTGAAATCCGATTGCAAGAAATACTGCGCAAACTTTCCTGGAACTGAAAAAGCAATTCTGTCCGCCGCCACTGTCCCAAGGCCACTGACAAACATGATCTTCTCCAAAGCTTTCGCTAACCTCTGGACCTTTGCTTTCATCATCACTCTCTCTTCCACGTTTTCTCCTTCTCACCAACCCGATTTCCATCTTCAACCATTGCGCGGCATTGGAGAAACCATGTTTTGGGATTCCCTCAAGGGCACCATCAGAACTGCACAATTGTGTTCATCTGCCAGAGCTGAACCTGTTCGCTCAATCTTTTTTGAAATGTCTCTTCTAAGCAGACAGGCGTGTTCTTCTGCATGCCGAAAGATTGCCAGCCAAGGATCAAATTCAAGTCGCAAGTGGCCGGTGTCTGGTAACGGGTTCCAAACAGCTTAGCAATTGCCTGTACGCTTCAAACACGGCTTGCCGAAGAATTCAAAAATGACCTGCTCTCAGGAATCCAGCTCAAAAGTTGTAAAGAAACGATCTCCGAGACCACTCTGTGCTCCCCATCAAAGACAGATCGACTTCTGTTGTTGGAGAACCTCCGCGCCCACACAACCCGCTACGCACTCTGAATCCAAAGAAGCCAACTGCTGTTCAAATGACCTAGCAAAGCCACGCCACTGACTAAGCTCCTCTTGTCTTTTCTTGGGCCCTCCTGCTCCACTCAAAAGGACTCAGCGTGGGAGAGCCCGCAGCGCCCGCCATGAGCACAGCTGGAGGCTCAGTCCGGTCCTGGGATCACCTCCGCTACCATGCGAAGCTCGGCGCTGAACCGAACAGCGGCCTGTATCTGAAACCTGTGCTGCCGCTGTTCGCAAGTCTTTTCACGGGTCTTTCACAAACAAGCTCTATTCAAGAAGCTTGTAGTCTTTACATTCAGCATGGAAGGATCCTTACTGTCGTTACTGTAAAGCTTTTGCTGTTGATCAAACCTTCTTGTTGAACTTACAGCCAGCTATGTCAGACCTGATGGTGACAGAAGTACCATGACAAATACATCATGGAAGGTGTTTCGTCAGAGTTGATCGAGTTTCTTGGTCGAATATCCTTGATCCTCGAAAGTCAAAATCCTGAGACCAACTGCACGACAACCATCTATCCACCAATCAAACATAAAAATGGAAACAGTGACCTTAGTTTGTCTGCTCGGGTCTATAGTCTATACCATGAATTTCTGTGTTCAGGTACGCTCTGACTCACTAACACCGGAAATCATCCTATTTTATCCTTGAAAACTGGTCTTGCCAGCCATTGACCACTTTGGAAATGGTCGATTCCTGCCGGGTCTCTTCGACAGCTTCTTGGGTTTCCGCGTCTTAGGCGGTTGCGAGGCCACCGCTGCCACCGCTGGCTGCGGCACGCTGGTGCGCACCGAGCCCTCCACACGGGGGCGCAAGAGGTCGGCGCGGCCGATGATCTTGGCCAGAGAACGGTAGCCTCGGAGCAGATCTGCGGATCTTTACTGTCGGTGAGTCAGTATGGTTATTCTATGCACCTAGTAGATGGGATTGCTCTTTTCCGGTGGAGGATGGCTGCTGTAGCTTCGCCTAGCCACCCTTGTGGGTATGGAATGCAATTATATAGACGCTAATTAGGTGGCATACCTTTTGTTGATTTTTCTATGCAAACTACACACACGAATACACACGGTCTCATATTATTCCGTTCAATTAGTCTTAGTGTTTGCAATTGGACATTTTGGCAAGCCCATGCAAGCCCCCAAATCATAGAATCAACACCGAAACCGACACCTTAGTTCTCCAGCAGTTGGTGCGTTTAGGGAAGGGAGCTCTTGACCTTCCTCAGTTTCCCATTTCGAGCATCCTTGATCTTCCAAGCTGCCCAGGGCTGCGATGATTGTGCGCACCTCTTCAGCAACGAAAAGCATGAAGTTTGCGATGTGGTCGGGCGTGCCGGGAAACTTCTTTCCTCAGATATCACAAAACGCAAAGAATGCCAACTTCCGCTTGCCACCATGAAATACCAAAAAAAAATGTGATAGGGTTGGCTGACAGGATGAAGGCCAAGAAATGCCAGTAGTAAATGCAGTGTCTCCCCTCACCCATGTGTCATACATATTTGCGTATATACATATATACACATTAGTGATGATTCTATGTATTGCAAACGCGTGTAACTCCATCCCAACAGGCTTATGCCATCTCTACATGGTGAATCAGCCACCGCCCCTTTTTGGCCTGCGCCAGCCACCGCCTGAGCCTAGGCTCTGAGATCCTCCCGCTGTGTCGCCACACCCACCGGACAGCGGTTCATGTGGCAAACCCTCGCCATGATGCAGCCCTCTGCGATCATGGCCACGCTGCCAAAGCCGTACTCTTCTGCACCCATCATGGCTGCTACCACGATGTCCTCAATACCCAGTCAGCTGTCGGCAGGTCTTAGCAGCTCACCACGAGGAGCCAAAAGTGTGACACAAATCGAAAGAAAGAGTTGCTGGAATATTTCTTGGAAGAGTGAGCATGGGCAAAAATCAAATGCACATCATCGTGGGGAATCATGACTCTCTCTTGGGAGAACGACAGAAGCTTTGTCAATAGACTTGTTCAGAACATTTCAGAACATTCTTCTACAGGAAAGTCTAGTTCCTCTAGTCTTGATTTGCCTTGTAGGCTGTAGACTAACTCTATGAACTTTTAGGCCGGATTGAACACCCTCTCGGTTCCCATTGTTCCTTGCTTGCAGGCTGCTTCGGGGGTCGTATATTGGCAGAAGCCCTGAACTAGTGCCTGCTGCAAACAGTGGCGGGTTGTTTTCTGGCAGAATCCCTACAGATGTCCAATTCCAGGGCCATTAGACTGCACAGGACCACTAAACTACATATAGGGACGCTAGATTTCCCACACCTGCCAAACAAGATGACACCTACAAACTAACAAGGCCCGCTGATCCAGCCACCAGCAATATTGTACTTGTCTGGTTCCTTTTCTCCCACCACTCACACCAGGCCGTCTGCTGCGCCAATCTCGGAGTCGTTAACATGGAAGTGGAAAACACTCTGTTTGCAAGGAGGAACTGTTTTTTGGCAGGCCTTCCAGGACCCCTACATTCAAACTCCATGATGATTTCAGGCATTGTCGTCGACACTCCGTGCCACTCCGTCACCCTTCTACGTATACTCACCCTGCGGCCATGATTCCCAGCCAGTCTTGATGCCACCATCCACTCTCAAGGTGACCCGCTCTCGAAGGCTGTTCTCCACCAAGACCTCTTGAACCTGACTGCTGAAGAACACTGGGCCAACGACGGCTCCATCCCTTAAAATCAGAAAAAAGGAGTCATTAAAGAACAACATCAGGGATATTGTGCTTACACATTTGCCAAAAGCAACATGGTCAGGACAAGTTTTCATCTCACCATTTTCTGGGGTCATGGTGGAAGGTGTCTAGTACGCACAGGGAGGCGCAATATCTTGTTGGAAGCCTTAGCGGACGTACACTCGCAACTTTGGATGATAAAATTCACAAAGGGGTGGCTTGGACTTGGAATTTGTGTTCTTTTTTTCAATTGCACTTTCTGATGAGATTAGTTGGACGACTCATGATTTCTACTCATCTCCCGTATCAAGCACTGCAAGGCAGTCTGCAAGGCTGCTTTGACTCTGCACCTCGTTCGAAACGACATTGAAACAAAACAGATGTTGCGACACGCTTTCAGCGCCACGCTTTCGAGCAGAATCTAATGAGTGCAAATATATAGTTGCGACATGTCGCGGCATGGATCTCCAAAGTCCTAGCTTCACCTTATAAGGCTTCTTAAGAACTGCTTTCGGTCGCTTCATGTCCGCTTTCGGACCATTGGCTACCGGGATAAGCCGATGGCATATAGATGATGTACATTCCCTGAAGATTAACATTGACATGGACCCCCAAAACCACCTGGGTTGGTGAGAAGGAAAACCATCCTCCAGGGGGGACCATGTGAATGACACCGGATCCATGTAGTGGAAAAGCACACAGGTCACCTCGTCTCTTGGCCAGGCCCCTCACGGCGCCTCGCAAAGGCCTTGTTCCCAGGGGCTACCAGCATGCATAATGCTGCCTTTGAGCGGTTGGGGAATCGGCTCCCAGGCAGGCGGATTCGGAACCAGGGACCCTGGCCCAGGCCAAAGCATAGCAAACACCTGTCCGGGCCTGTCCCTTACTAGGTATACATGTTCTCTGAGAAGGGGGGCTCTCTGAATCTGATCTCGACGAATGCCACACATGAAAGATGTGGTGGGGCATTGGCTTTGCAGTGATCAGGAGCTGGCGCCCTGCAGTTCAACAACACTGCGTATATGGATCTTTGTGAGTATATGATGGGCCCCTCACATTGTGAGTTCATGGACATGTCTATGGGGCTGCCTGATGATGTGGCATCAGTGAGTCAACGCATGGGGCTGGCTAGACATGGCCAAAAGTGACAGCCAAAGTCCTCTGCATATACTACGTATGTATGACCAACATTTACCAACACATCGAAGGGGTCATGTGGGCCATATGGCCACATGAATCAACAAACTCATGATAATTCAGGCCTTCTTTATGATCTTTATGCTTTATTTGATTGATGTTGAGTCCAACCCTGTGACGCTCATGTGCCACTCGGAGATGCTCAAGGGCGAGGCCCCAGTGCCACCTGCGGAGCATTGCGGAGCACTGGGGAGCACTGGGGAGCAGGACGTGCCACCACTCGTGCATCCGGCGACATCGCCCAGCATCCGGAACTGACCACAGGTGTGAAGAGATGTCAAGATGATCTCCCAACTTGATGGATGAAGCCCATTGACCATGGTTGTGAGTTCAGGGTATGGAAGGTGGGTAAGCTTTGAACCAAACTGTTGGGATTCAAGCCACTAAATGGACTTGCCTCATCTGGGCTCCACTCCACCGAACCCAGCGACGCGGTCCTGGGGCCCCCTCACCATCATGCCCAGAGATTTGAATCACGTCGGCATTCGCCTCAGGTGCGGCAGGACGTGCGCCGAGATCTCTAGGGCTGATACACAAGATCTCTATAGGTCTGATCTCTATATATAGGACGTGCGCCAAGCCTCTCAAGTTCATCCAACACGTTCCAATACATTCCAATCCCACGCCTCCCACGCCTCCCAGTGACATGGATGTCCATCCCCTCCGCACCTCGCGTCAAAACACTCCTCGCGCCCGCGGGGCGAACTCTCCCCGCCTTGGCCACGCCGGCGGCAATGGTGCCGATGCCGGCGCTGGCCACCAGCTTGACCGAGACCTTGGCCTCCGGACTCACCTTTGGCTCTCGGCCGGTGCCACCAGCACTGCGACGGTGGGTTGAACGGTGTTGTGACGTGGGTCTTCAGATGGTGTTCGGTGTTCCAGGGCATGTGCTGGTGATCGATCATGGAACGTGTTCAAATGTATAGCAATTAATTATGAAGTTGTATGTTTTAACTAAGGACTATATATACATTCTCAAAAGTACTTTGGATTCGGTGTGAGCTCTCACACTGCCGAACGGGAAGCCAAAGCAAGCTGAACATTAGATGATCGATCGCACTTCTTCCGCTGTGCCTGATGCAAGTCGAAAATCAGCTGCGCCAGGTCCTTGCACAAACGACAATGTGAACGAGTTTTGGGTTGAATGATTTCGGACAACGATGAAGAAGACCACCACAAGGGAAACTGTATGGCTGCAGGTCAAGGTCAATTTCCCCACTGTTACAGTCATTGAAAGCCAGAACAAAGACGGAACAAGTCAGGGTCCAAGCGCATGGCTCATCCAAAATACTGTACATCAAATTGCTGTATAGAATTGTGTAAATAACACACATACATATTTATATATATATTATACATAATATATAGTATAATGTGACGTGTTTTTCTTTTTGCCAGGATACTTCAGGCCAAGTCTGTCATGCCTGGAACTACCTCTGTCCTCGATGGAGTAGATGTCATGATGGGGTGGTGGTGAGATGAGCTCCACACCTGGCACCTGCCATCGCGGCCAGACGACGGTGGTCTGATGGTGGTAATCCAAGATCCCAAGGGCTGTGAGTCAAAAGGCACTAAGATCCCATGGACAAACAACATCTATATATTACAAACATCTAAGAATCGAATACAAACAAAGTCAATAGTCCAATAATATCCAATACATACCCCATCATAACCCCCCAAAAAATAGATCTCCCATAGACCCTGAGAACTGACCCCGTGGTGGAAGACCATTTTCCTTCAGACCAACCCGACGTGGTTTTGGGGGTCCACCAGAAAATCAGAAAGGAGCGGCGGGTCACTGACCCTTTCCCCAACTGGGACTGGCAGTTCCGGTGAAATCTTCCGGTCTGGTCTTTGCGTTCGGAAGATCAGGGTTTTGATTCGATCAGGAAAACACGAGCATCCCAAGGTTCATCAAGGGTCCCAGTCAGCCAGCCTGACTTAGGAAGTTCATGAACGATCTGCATGAACGCGTCAGTGGCCAATTGCAGTATGGATAGCCCAAGACGTCCCGGGCCCACGCAAACAGTCGTCAGACTGAGCTTTCGAACCGAAGCTGGGAGGCCCGCACGCTGTTGCGCAAACGGGCAATGTAGTCATCCACCTGCAACGGATGTGGGAAGGACCAACTGACAAATGTGATTTAAGCCATGTTCGACTCCTGCTCATGAACGTGGAATGGGAAAATGTCTCAAATAATATATATATATATATATATCCAAGTTCCATCAAGTTCCTATTTTAAACATCCATGCGATCTGGTGGGGTTTCGTTGTTGAGTCGTGTCGAAGTGCTTCTTCAACTGGGCAGCACCTTGGCACCTGGCAATTGCCCACCCTCGCCAGGCTTAGCACCTTGCGCAATCCTTGGATCCGATGGGCGGCGGATCCGGTGTCGATCCGGGATGTCCGTGTGAGCTTGGTGAATGGACTGACCCAGCTGAGTGACATTTGAGGTGGGTGATTTCAGGTGAAGATTGAATTTATATATAGTGGAAACCACCTACCTGTGATCTGCATCATCTTGATGCTTGGATTGAATTCGACGGCTTTCAATTCCAAACCCACACGCGGTAACTCAAACAAGAAATAGAAGGAGGAACTGCATGAATCTACAAATTCATCCCAGCAAACCAAGTGTCTGAAAAGTCCTTTTCCACATTTTCCACTACCCTATGGCCCTAACAGCCTGCATGGGAATCTTGTCGGTCTTTTCACTGAGCCATGTCATGCTCATCTTCCGGGAGATTGCCGCTCCCCACGCACGTTTCATCATATGAAAAGCGTTCATCAGCCTAAGGAGTGAATCAAAAGCCGATCGCACTCACCAGGCAGCCGCCCATGGCATCACACACCAAGCATCTTGATCTCCAACTGTTTGGCACCTCGCAAGGCCCGCAGGAATGGGATCAGCGCTAGGCAATAGCAAAGTCTTAGTCTCTTCCCGCTGTGTTGGTTGGTCGAATTCATTGCCGCCTCACAAGGAGAGAAAACTTCTCCGAGCCTGCTCAGGCGATGTTCGATCCGTAGACGCTCCGACACTCCTTTTGGAACGGCGAACAAAGAACCGCCGACCAACGACGCCAGTCCCAAGGAATCTGCATGTCAAAACAAAACATCCGGCCAAGTGGCCCCCAAAGAGCAGTGTTTTTGGAAGTGGTCTTTTCGGTGTGACCCACTCCAGTCGTTTTTAATGAAGTCCTAATGTGTCCAAATGACCTGTAGGGAAGCCTTTTCCCATCCTGTTCTCCAAACGTTTACGGACCCAAATCTTGCACGCCCACCGACTGGGGCCGTGCCCGGCCCGTGCCCGGCAGGCCGTGACCGCCGTGGCACTTCTGAGGTAGGCGGCCGTGACGCCAAAACGTCCCGAGGCCACCTGACGTGGAATGCTGCGGGCACGGGCGGCTGGGCACCTGCGGACCTGTGGACCGGGTCCTGTCTGGGCATCCCGGTGTTGGAGAAGATCACCAGACTTGTGCTCAGACTCCAACTCAGCATCAACTCAACTGCGCGCTGGCCGACGGGACCCCGCCCGTCCCCCACCCCAAAAATCGCCGCACCTGCTTGGTCGCCGAGGCCGCAGAGTCCCCGTTGCGCAAGCCTCGAGGGGTCCATTCGTTTCGTTGGCCGAAACGGGGAAGCCTTCCGTTTCGTCCAGGGCCCTTAAGGGCTCGGAGGACTGTTTTGGGAACGGAAAGAGAGATCCTCTGTTTTTGCTGACCCTCTCGTCACCTTTGTCCGATTTGGTGGTCTGAACTCTTAGAACATTAGTGAACGAATGTGAACGATAATCTTTTTCACCAATTAATATGGAAGAACCTCCAAAAGAACCTCGCGGGAACTGCACCCGCCCACACTCAAACTGTTCTCGGGATCATGTTCCATTCTATGCCCAAGCAGAGTCACAGCCCACACACCATAATCTCAGGCCCAAACCCTGCAAGTGTGGAAAAGATGCCGAGTGCCCTTCCTCGTCCACATCCTGGATGCAAAAATAACCGGAAAAAAGAACACACCGAACTAACCCTAGGGCTCCAAGCACCTCCTCAGAAGGTATGACTGGACCCTCTAAACCCACCCTGAACACCTTCTTAGAAGGTACTTGGAGCCCTAGGGTAAGAAAACATAAGAAAACCAGAACAGCAGCTGGACTGAAGAACATGGTTGGACCCTAGGGCAGTCACAGCTGCTTAGAACATGGTTGGAAATAGAACAGCAGCTGTGACTGCTGGAAGACGTGAACTCCCGGACCTTGGGGAACTCCCTGGGCCGCTCCGAAGGGCGGGAGCTCCCGCGTCGCCAAACCGTTCGGTCCGGTGATTCTCCAAACCTTGAAGCGGAACGTTGCATTGCTATGTATTGCTCAACTCAAGTCAGTGACTCGAGATCATCGTAGAGCAGGAAGTTGATCCAGAACATTCAAGAATAATTACTGTACTATATTGCAGTTACAGTATACACCCCCTTGAATGTCCTTGATAAACTTGTGCACCTCTTACATGAGTTCTTGGAATATTCTTATATTGATGTGATCGTATTTTCTTCGAAGCGACAAGGTCCGCGAGTTCCACCTACTTCCAAGCACGGGAGGGGAAGTGCAAAAACGGGACTCGATCTGAGTCATGGCGGCAGTTTTAGGTTTGGGGTGTGTCATTATGGCATATGATGGCCACCCAAACTTATTTCTCAAGAAGGAAAAACAGAAGGAGCAAACGCCATCTTTGGAGCCACAGATCTCTTAGAGGACGCTTGTTCACTCGTTTGCGGATGAACCGCTCCTGGTCGGCTGGCGATGCTCATGCGGCCCACCGGTGACTCTTGGAGTTGGCGCTGGGAGATCAATCAACACGAGTCCCGGGTAGGGCCTGGAGGTCTCCTCAACCGGCTCAACCTTTGTCAAACTTCCTGAGACCCATGAAAAGTTAGCAAGGACATGCAAGGACACGAAATTCAAACTCAGGATGGTCCCAAACCAAACCACGTTGTTCCCATACCATTGTGTGAACCAGATTTGGCAACCGTGGTGGTCCTTGATGGGATGGTAACGAAGAGGATCTTCTCCACCTTCGCCGCTGTTGCTCATCCCTCCAATGCGGTTCCTGACGTTGCGTTCTCGCAACGCATTCAAAAACCAACACACCGAGGAACCCCACAAAACAACCCTATAGGAGCCAAAACCTGTCCACAAACGCCAGGCTGCTCGAACAAGGGGACTGGGGACTAAACCACCTGGGTCGAAACAGTCCTCAAACATCATGAGAACACGTGCGTCCATGTATGTCGTATGTTCATGAATGCTGACGCATTTCTAGCTCTCCTGAGTGTAGCCCAACGCCCACTCAGCCACCAACGACCGGCTTGAGATGTTTTTGGATCAGCAGCCACCCGGCAACACCCGGTGCAAAGAAAAGGTCTGGTGCCGCCAAGGTTCATGCCGACAGCGATCACTTCATGGGCTTCTCCTGTAGTGTTGGCGCACCGTCACTTGACGTATTGGGATGAAAAAAGAATGCTGGCCTTGTTGGCCTGGGTGATCTTGTTGACCTAGTAGGTCCAATGATGTGTATTACTATATAGTTCAAGTTCAAGGTTGTATTTTGGGTTGCTATTTGCGGGGCCTGACCTCATGTGTTGCATAGGAACTGAATCACCAATGCAATATCATATCCAAAAAACACAGGGGTCAGTAGGGTCTACCTGTTGTAATAGACCCACGTGTAGTAGGGGGGTTCGAGTACCTGTTTACAACATTCAGGAACAGTAAGGTCCAGGTGGCCTTCATCGATGCTAGATTCCGGTGCTTCGTTGGTGCGACGCGCTTGGATTCCAAGGAAGTGGCCATGGGGTTGCGTGCCATGTTTTCCGCCGCGTGGCAGCGGAACAACTCGCGTAGAGCAGAGGTTGTTTTTTTTGCGTGGCGAGATGTCTTGGCTTCTTGACTTAGCTCTCAAACCATGTCTGTACTGCGACATGTCTTGAGGAAAATCATCAGCGACACCGTGATTTGGGAGGTTGTCGTCGATGGATCTCAAGGAGACGACACTGTCTTTGCGGCGTTCGTTGTTCTGTTTTCAGATTTCGTTGTCAACCTGGGTCATTTAGGTCGTGCACTGAGTAGCTCAGTCTGAGTCTGAGTCTGTCGCCACCACCCAGTCCGCGCCGGTGGGTCCTCCATGTGGTTTGGTTTATGTGTTCGATCCATGCAAACATAGAACCTAATTTTAAACATCAACTCCAAGTCACCTGCAGGGTGTCTATTGATAGCCCCTTAGAGGTTAAGGGGTGTCCATTAACCACCCCTTGTGGGTCCTAGTAGAGGCCCCGCAGCAAACTTATGGTTCACTGTTCTTCCAGGGCGTGGCATGACTGCTTTGGAACCAGGTCGATGTGAGCTGCCGATGTTCAGAGCCTTGACCCACAATTCTGTAACCAAACCCTGACCACCATTGACCACCCAACAATCATGAGCCCTGAACTTGGCACCCGTTTCTTCACATTCCAGGGTTTCGCCCCCCACCACTGGACATGTTTTCACACGAATCCACGTCCCACATCGACGCGACCCAAACGTCCCATCTGGACCCAAGTGACTGGACAGGGCGCCCAAGGACATGCCGCCGGTGACGAAGCGGCTGCAAATGGACACCGCGTCCTCCACTTCCGAGAGCGGCACGGGTTGCCGGTCTGAGGCGAACTCCAGGAGATCTCCTTGGATCAGCTTTTCGGCCCAACAAGACACAGCGGTAGGATCACCCACCTCGGACCAAACACAGGGCTTCGAGGTGAAGTTTACTCAACTTGCCGCGTGAGGTATATTGACCCCGGCACACTTGGATGATCAAAGAGGAAGGAAGAAAGAGGAATCTGCCAGCACCCAACTCTACAGGTCTTCGAAATGGTGGCCTTTGGACACGTAATAAAGTCGCAGGTGTTGGAGGGTGCTGGTGTAGGATGTTGATCCAACAAAAACAGACTGAAGAGGTTTTTCAATCCATGTCTGGAGATGTCTGGAGGATCCTAGATAAGGGCTCAAAGGTGGGCAGCTTTGTCAATTGTCTTGGGTGTCCGTTGAGGTATGCAGGTGAGACAATTGAAGACCATCTCAATACATATTTTCCCTATCTCAAGTTGCTGACTCCCAGCACCAGGGACCAGCACTCTTGCTTCCCAAAGCTCGGATGGCCGTGATCGGTCGCCCGTCCATGATCTGACGCCGATACTCCTTGAGCGACGTTGCCCGGGCTCGGATGCCGCACGCTCTGTCGCCGGGTTCGTTCATCCCCCTCCAACGAGCAAAGCCGCGGCTTTGTTGCGAAACAAAAGGGAGCGAAGAAATTGAGCAAACTTCAGTGTTGTTGTTTATGTTGTTTTCGAGTTTTGGAGATGGCCATGTCCTCAAGCAATTGACCAATTCATGCAGCAGTCCGTTTTTTCTGTGTGTCCAATCGATGTGCAGCGCGCGCGGCGCAATGTGTGGCACTCCTCGTATTGCAAGGGCTCATTGTTGCGTACAGCTTTGTGCAAAGCACGGGACATCTCGGGGTTGTTCATATGGAACTCGCCCTTGGCCTTGATATACTTGTACCTCGGCAGATGGCCAAGCGCCAAACCCGTGATCCGTGATAGGAGAAGAGGAGTCAGTCGGCGACAGTGTCACAGATAGGGACTGTTGCTGGGTGACGGGGTACATAATCCAATCATAATCACTACTATATGTATATAGAGAGAGAGAGACCTGTAGGGCAAATATAATATCAGGGGATGTCATAGCAGGAACCTACGAAAGCCAACAAGCAATCAAATAACTAAACAATTCAGTATATACTTGGGAAGATCTGAAAACTTAACCTGAACTCAACATATATGTCTTCTCCCTTCCTCCGCATGTTGTCCTTCCCTATCTCAAGCCCAGGCCACCAGCCGGCGAACTCCAATTTTTCCGCCTTCTCCTGATAAGTCCCACAGTCTGGATTAAGACAAAGACATGGAGAACAAACAAAATCCAAGGCTCTGTTAGGCTCTGTTAGGTGGACGCCCTATGGCGGGCGGCTGGGGTGGCACACGTCAGACGGTGCCCCGCAGCACTTGCGCCAAACATGGCCGGAGTGGTGGAGATGAAGATGAAAAGGAAAAAACAAAGGGCCTCAACCAGAGCACATGTGGGCGCCAAAAACGCTGCAAACATGCTGCCTTCACTTAACAAAGAAAGGCAGCTTAATCTAAAAGAAGCTAACCCCTGGAATACTGCGATGAGAATGGTCGTTCCTTTCTTCACTATATACGACTATATATATATATATATTCAGAAAACGACGTTATGCGGGTGTGGTTTTTACGCGTTTTTGTGATTTGTGGTTTTCTGTGTTTTTTTTGAAAATGTTAGTTGTTTTGAAGAACGTGTCTAGCAAAAATGTCGACTTGTAATCTATCAAATTTCTCATCAATCTGATTCAAACATACTAGTTCTCATTGATTCCCACACAGAAGTCCATCAACCATCATCTATCAGCAAGTCCACGACGTCCCATCATACAACATCAGGTCATCACCTCTATGAGGGAGATCTGGTCTCCAAGACCTCCAATCTCAATCAGTCCTCAATCTCCAGCAACTGGGGCCTGGGCCTGGGCTTCTCTAGGGGGGGGGGG